CGTACAAGTACCCTGCAACGAGACGCCTACCGACGTCGATAGAAGTTGTGCTGCTGATAGTCAATCACTAATGTCTTGTGAGGCTTCTAGAAGAGACCATCCGCCCCTGTCGGACGCGTACGGGTCGTGTTCGAGGACAGTCCAAGGAACGGCAGCGCAAGGCTAGTGGTGAGTCCATGTCAATGTGTCGTCCCGAAACTCCATCGCTCGTCTCCCACGCATCCCTGTCCACCTTGATTGCGCGAATAAGGGGTTCCATATGGTGCTGCAGGGGTTGCTAGGTAAGTTGACTAGAGGTTGTTGAATTATTCCTTCGAGTAGCAGGAAAAGTGTTAGGAAACTGCATCAGTACAGTGTACCGGAATATGGCTAATCCGTATTCCGTATGGATATGTTGCCCAGGTGGCTCACTCGATCTGTTACGCCGTCAACCAAAGACCGATAGGGCTTGGCCTCGGTCATTGTGACAAGCATTGAGGACCTCCTTTTTGAATGTAAATGGGCCGATGTGACGGGGTGCATTGGAGAGTCCCATGGTGCCGACGACATCGTTGCGGGCCCGGGGGGCACTACCCGGCGCAGGATACCATATGCATAACTACCTACAGTCTCGGTCTTGAACTTCGGTCTTGTGAAAAGTAAGAATAATAATAATAATAATAATGATAAAATAGCCATAATAATGGGTCCGTACTTCTATTCACTTTAACAGTCACAACGACGCCGACCCTCCAGTCGATGACGGCGGCATATATTTGCCTTATTTCCACTTCATTGGCTATCGTTCGAGCCTGACACCGCCCCGAAGAATACCGACAACAAGAGCCGAATGTCTCTCAAATATGGCAGCGCGGGCAAGCTCGGCCAAGGCAGGGTTGATACTTCGCGGCGGCGACAAGAGATGCCGTAGTAAACAGTCGGCATTCCTAAGGACCGTCCGGCGGCCACCTCTGCGACGAGGAGCAAGTGAGCACCGACACCTTGCCATAACACTACTTCCCGGTATGTTTCCTCCGAGGTGGCCCAAGGGGGAAGCCTAGGTCCCTGGCGCGTTTGTAGTCAGTCGGCTACCCAACCAATCAAACCTTACTCTAGGTCATGTATGGAGCGTAGGGTTGTTACTGAGACAATTTACCCCGGCCCGCTTTCAACAAAGTCTAGCGCACATGGCTACAATCACGGCGCATCCGGAAAATGTGCAGGTAGAGACACGGCATATGCGGGATGTCTGGGACATGCAGAACGAGCCAATGTATCCATACTTTCGATGCCCAAGGAGCCGATGGCCTGGAGGGTAGCCTGCATGTATCTGCCGTCGCCGCCCAAGTAACTAGACCTTGAACCTCTATGCTTCGTCCCGAGGATGGAGGCTCAGGTAGATGCCATAGACTATGACTATCATCGGTCTGCATGCAGCTGGTCAGCATACGGCGTAGGGCTGATAATAGGATGGTGCATACAAGCTGACGACCTGAACAACAACTCAACGTGCGTCGTGTTCGACTTTTTTCCAGCCAATCTGTTGATTCGGATGCAAAAGGCACGTCGAGGCATCAATGCTTCAACTTTGGCCATGGCTCGGGCGGCTGAACGAACAGGGTCGACCTAGGACTGTCGAGACGGGCCTAGTGTTCCCCCCCGCCCCCCCGGCATTTGCAGCGAGATTTAATGAGCGCCGCGCGCAATCATCCCTTGCAAAGTGACAACTAGGTATCCGTTCGTGGTTGGGTTTCTTGTCTAGCGTACCGGCGTGCGCGGCGCAGGAGGATGGAGCAGGGGATATTACCCTGCTCGTAGTATGCAAATGGCGAAAAGCTTTCTCACCCCCAAGACTTCGGTGACAGCCAACATCAGGCCATGACAGCATGATCACACGGGAATTCGTCCCTTGCACTGTGGTCGGCCGACTGGCCGTCATATTGTAGTTACGACCAGCCAAGGCGCCACTTTACGATTGGAAGTTGTTGAGCAATGGCAATGTGAAAACATGGCACGATCATGCCTTTCCGCTTGCCTCTTTCTAGTATGCCGACGCCGCCAGGTTGTGCATGCGATGTTATGAATCCTGTGCCTGGTCAGGCTGATGGGGTGTTTCAAGTTGATGGGTAGGTCGATGGACTAGAAAAGTTTGTTTTGTTATTCCTTGTTGTGTATCTATATGTCGATCAGTAGTAGTGGGCCAGTGTGAAGCCGTCGTTATAGCTCAATTCATATACCTTTGAGCTGAACCCCGAAGAAACCGCCAGGTTAGAAGGCACGCATTGTGGGCCTATGCTTGGCGAGTCAAAGCGAGTGTCCACATTCCGGCACCGTCCCGGTGGACGATAGAGACCAAGCATGGTCGTCCTTCGGCGAAAATGAGAACATGTAATGTACACTAGTATCGGTAGAGGCGACGGCTGTGGGTACGATACTGGCACGTCTGTATCCGTGCGGGAGCTGTCAGAACTGACAATCGAGGCACGAATAAAAGGCGTCTGAGAAGCAGAAGCACGACAGGTTCTCAACCCATAGGCCCCGAGGCAAGGCGTACGTAAGGGAGCGAACCCAGAATAGAGACATCCTTGACGGCGGCTATACGATTTGGACGATAAGGCGCAGGGTATTTGTCCAGCTATGGAGTTGGCAACTGACGATCAACGATGAGTGCTTCCTGCAGTCTGGTCAGAGGGGGACGGCTCTAGTGTGCACTTGGGGGAGGGAGAGAGCATCCAATCGTCAACGTCGCATTGGGATCGAAGCCAACGGTTTTTTGCGGGACGGTGATGAGCATTTACGGCTATGTCGAGGCCGCCGTGGTCGCATGCCCAGTCTCGAAGTCGATCGGTTCGGGGGGGGGGGGGGGCACTGAGGCGCTCGGCAAGCGTGGGTGAGGAGGAAACTAACTCAGTTACATCCAGCTAGTAGACCCCACACGGCTCACGGACGGCGGCCACTCCGGTTTATCTTGAACATTACGGTGGTGAAGAGTAAGGGAAGGATGAAGACGGAGTGCCGACGGATGCGTAGGCAGTAGGCTGACTAAGGACGGGTGGAGGGGCATGCATATGCAGGAGGAAGGAGGTCGAGAGACGGGGACTCCGACCGGTGGGTGGTCGGTGATGGGACGAATCAATGCCGAAGGGGCCCCCCCAAACCGGGTCGCGTACAGCATAACAGTGCACGGCGCCGCGCAGCACAGCACGGTTCATGGCCTAGCCCACAGCTATGGTTCGTGCGTCGCTAGCTCCTTCCTATTTGAGCTGCAGCGCGTGCTTCTAGAAATGGTCTTGACATGTCAATCCCACCTTTCGTGTGTGTGTCTACGGGCCTCTCAGCATCCAACGCGGAGGATGGGCCGATGGGAGAGATCAGGGTAATCCAAGCCTCTTACCACCACCAGCTGCAGTGTCCGTTTGACACATTCCCCGTCTTGCTGCCCTCCAGGTAGATTGCCTCGCTTGCGCAATCTTGGCGAGGTGATCCGGACGGACAAGGAAGAGTTTGCAATACCATTCCATGGCCAGCCACGGACTAGGGGCAACTGTATCCGTACATATCATACCTCCCTTTGTCTGTCGACCGTCTATCCATCCGTCTGTCTGTCTTGGCTTTACAGGCCAGTTCCTCATCCTGACTCACTGCTTCGTCGCATCTCACCAGGGGGGCTTCAGCACAGACACACAAGGTCTGGCCGATCCACCAGCCAAGCGCGGTCCAGGTGGCGGCTATAGGCGGGTTCCTGCCGCTTCAATTCATTGTGCATCACAAACTCTCCTACCTTGCCCGTGGCCCCTACCAATTTTCCCGTTGATAAAATCATATCAACGCAGCTTACAGTAGGTAGTCAACAGTTGGTGTCCTGAGGGAGCTGGCTGGTCCCCCAGTCTCCCCCAGCTTACCTAGGTAGGTAGTGCTCTGTTACAGAAATGGCCAAAACTTAAAATGGAGGTCACGAAGACAAGAACAGAAAACAACAAAGCCATCACCTCGACAGCCTACACCCGCTGGATCGGTACTCATGCCGCCAAGAGCTGCTCCAATCGCAAACAGATGGAAGACGCGCCAAGATGGCGCGCAAACAGGTCGTCACGACGTCGCCGAGTTGCTGGGTACTCGGGACGTTTCTGAATCAGATCCCGCTTCTCGCCTCCCTCCCTCCCTCGCCTACCGCGTCTAACTCGGGTCCTACCGTCCACGGATGACGAAGGGACCTCTAGACCAGCATTGTACTATCTCACCGCTGTGTTTTTCCGGTGCACAATCCAGTGATGTTGTATATCTGTGCTGTATGGAGTACCGACCTTCTCAACGGCAGCGCAAACCTGCATTACCTACCTGGTGGTGGAGCGTACACATGGTGACGGCGACAGCGCCATGCTGTGAAGTGGCTTGTTGATGCTCCGCCGCCCTTGACCCGAAGCGGGCGCAAGCACCTGTGTCGATAGTAAGACAGGGAGCCCCCGGCTTTGCACCCCCAGTCCCCAGCTTTTGTGAGAACGACGTGGACGAGGTGGACGGACGAAGTGGGCGGAGAGAAGGGAGGACCGCCAGACCGGTGCTGGACGGGGGACCTGGTCCTTGTCTCACACATGCTGAGAGCGGCACAGCCCTGAGCCGGAGTTGTCTCTCGTGCTTGCCCTTGCCTGGGTGACCACGGCAGGCTGCCGTCCATTCAACTCAATGACAGAAGTCAGTTTCCTGTTCTGTTAGTCTTCAACTGCACGTTTCTCCCACCGCCATTTCTTTCGATTTTGATCATCCCGCCCCCCTCACAGCTTCAACACTCATTCGACCCATCTTTTCTACTGCGCTGCAAACCAGTAGAGCAACCGGGGTATTACATCGGCGTACGCAAAGCGCATTGTTTAGACGGGATTGACAATAGCTCCTGTTGATGGAGAAGCACCCTCTCACGGCCAGCCTTCCTCCGGGACGCCAATGCAAATCGCAAAGACGACATGGTGACTAGGCGCACCTCGAATGAACCGCCAGCCGGATCCCGCCCCAAAACCGACAACATGCTTTCCGCTACTCTCATCACAGCCGTGTTTGTTGCCCGAGTCGCCGCAGAGAGTCAATCCGCCGTCGCCCTCACTCCTTCCAATGGCTGGTATGTCCCGCTCTAGCCCGGCGTGCGCCTCTCCTTCTTAACTCTTCCAAGGTACGGTGTCGATGGAAACTGGTCGGCAATCGAGCTCCAGGTTGGTACACCCGGTCAGACTGTCAATGTTCTCCCGAGCACGTCACTGTCTGAGTTCTGGGTCATCGGAGCTGGTGGCTGCGACGCAAGTGAGTCCTCCTCTCGCCCTTCTCTCTGTGCCATGTGCATGTCGATGCCCTCGGCGGCTAGCACGCTCTTGGCTGACATACGACAACAAGACGGCAGCCTTTGCAATAGTGCTAGAGGTGGCGTCTTCGAGATGGCCGGCTCCAAATCTTGGAGTTCTCTAGGCACATGGCAGCTTGGCTTCGACTATCTCAACAACGGTGGGAATGGTGATTATGGACTGGAAACCCTCTCAGCCACTCTGTTGGAGGGTGATGGATTATTGAGTATGGACAACATCATCACTGCGTCAATCAACACCACTAGCTACTACCTTGGCTTTCTCGGCCTCGGCGTCACCAAAGGGAGTTTTGGCAACCGGGTAGCAGAGTCGCCCTTCTCTCAAGCCGTCAAGAAATACGGTCGCATCCCCAGCTACAGCTACGGCTACACTGCTGGAGCTCACTACAGTTAGTGTGACAACCCTCCCCATCCGACATTGACCTGACAGCGTGCAGTGGGCGTCTCTGGTACGCCCTGTTCTCTGACTCTAGGAGGCTACGACGAGAGCCGATTCATACAGCACAACAACGAGTTCTCCCTGGATCCCAGCGATGGACTACCTCACGCCCTCGTCCGTGCCATCGAGGTGACAACCGGTCAGGATAAGGTGCTGCCCGGTGGTTGGAACACCAGCACTCGCATTCTGTCCGACATGTCGACTTCTTTCATCGCCATGATCGACAGCTCGACTCCCTATCTTTGGCTGCCGGACGCTATTTGCGACCAGTTTGCCCAAGCTTTCAACCTGACTTACAATAGCACATTCGAGCTGTACACACTCACAGATGGCCAGTACACCGACTTCAAGTCTGCCTCCTCGTCCTATTCATTCACCTTCTCTTTCACCAGCCAAGACAACAGCGACGATTTCGGCCACCCGCTCACTGTCCCCGGCGTCGTCAACATCACCATCACTGCTGCCGCCTTCGCCCAGTCCCTGCGGTACCCCTTCCAGAGCGACGCGATCCAAGACGGCGACCCTGCCGTTCCTTACTTCCCTCTGCGACGAGCATCCAGCCTGACGGACACCTTCATTATTGGGAGATCGTTCCTGCAGGAAGCCTACCTCATCACCAAGTACGACACTGGCGTCTTCTCTCTCCACCAGGCCCTCTTCCCGGACGAGCCACTAGAGTCTGTCCAGCTCCGTAACGTGGCACAACCAAACAACAGCACCTTTCCGCCACCGTCGAACCTCCATGGGGGCCTCTCGACGGCGCAGATGGGTGGTATTGCGGCGGGAGCGACCGCGGGCTGCGTCATCATGCTCGCTTGCTGGTACCTCTATCGCCGCCAGAAGAAGTCGAGGGCAAACATCAGAGCATTGGAGGATGCGAAGGATGCCGCCTCATCGATCATGCCGGAGCCACCCAAGAGACCGGTGACCATGGTATTCACCAAGATACTTGGCAAGAAGAAGGCCAAAAGAGCCTCCGCGCATGAGGTTATGGGCAGCTCTTCCCACCCTGCCGAGGTGGGGGCTGACGCCAACCACGCTCTATACGAACTGCCAGTTTTGGCGAACCCGACAGAGCTGGGCGGCGACGACTGTAAGTCAGCACTTTCACATACAGATTTAGAAGTGGGCGGCAGGTACAGCAGCATGGGCCCATTTGACGTGGGAACAAGAAACGTAGAAATTCGTCTCCAAAGCCCCGTGCCGGCATATAGCCCGCCCGGAACCCCAGCAGCCTTCCCGCCCTCAGAGAAATTGTTACGGGACACGAGCCCTGCTGCAACCTCTAGACCCGAAGAGTATCGGTCGCTGCCGTCTGTATCTCCAACATCGATTCGCGGGTCACTCCCGTCACCATTGAGCTTCCGCTCAGGGGAATGGACGAACCGCACGTCGGATCTCCTGTCTCCCTGGATGGATGGCCAGTCGTTGCATGAGCCGGCTTTCACGGGAAACAACGCCGAAAACCCCTTCCTTTATCCCGTTTCTCCCGAGAGCGAGGTCTTCACGTCAAGTACCGCAAACTCCTCAAACATGCCGCCGCCCATTCCGGTCTCCGTTCTACCTACATCGCCCCTTCCGACTCACCGCAGGGCGCCGCCGATGGAATTCACAAACGTGATTTGCTTAGGCCCTTTGCCAGATAACATCGCCTTACCAGCGCCGCCGGCGAGGCCTCCGAGACCCCCTCCACCGGCGCCCCCCCCAGTGATCCCCGACGTTGCGGTTTCCGAGATCCTCGCCGCGAACCGCGCCTCGACCGACACCTTGGGAAGCAACTGGACCGAGTTCGAGGAGGAATTGATTGCGCAAGAGATTACGAGGCAAGAGAGCCTCCGGGAGCAGGTCAGGAACCAGGACTTGGAGCCGAGCTCACCGCTCAGCCTGCACCGCCTCGACGGGACTGAGTTGATTCACATTCCCCAGCCAGCGGAACGACGTTACAGCTGGGAGAATTGAGGACGGGCTGACAGTTCCGTTTGGCCATTTTTCGACATTCATTGATACCACTTATAATGCTCGACCCCGCAGAACAGCGGACGATACGCTATTTTCGCTTCGTCTTCTTCTCTCTCCCTTTTTTGTTTTCATTTTTCATTGTTTCGAATTCACCCTTTTTCTCTTTCCCAGGCGCGTAGATCAAAAGCGACGGAGTTTGGGATGAACAGGGGAACACCCCCTCAAAACTTGGGACAGATATATCAGCAAATATGTCGGGGCGTTTGCATACCACACAAAATCGAGAACCGGATCGCTTCCTTTGTTTTTCTTTTGTACTTGCCCCTCCCATTTCATGGGGCGCTGGCTTGTTTCGTTAGAGGAGGGACTGTGTCCCGAGTAACGAAGAACAGGACGCAGGAACGGCAGGGCCCAACATGCAGGAGAGTCTCGAGCGTCTTTTCTGAAGACGATTTATTTGTATTTGGGAATATCCCGAGAGACGTGAGAAGGTAATGGGCGGGACGACAACCCCGGGACTATGAAACCATATATGTACATGTTTCCACATTTTATGAGACTTAAGACTCTGAGGCTTATAGAACAAGTCCTCATATAGAAAAAAGACGAAAATCCGTTAAAGACAACGACAGTCTTCCGCTCCGTCTGTGATGTGATGCTAATCAACCTGTCCGGGGTGGGCGGCGTTGGGCATGCTGTCTATAGGGTCTTTCTACAATGACGCCCCCATCAAAGTCTACCCTTTCCCGGAGCACCTTCTGACCACGGCCTCCAATCCTATGGTGTTTCACCGACGCCGCGAAGCGTACCGTCGTTGCCGCCACCTCGGCCCGCTTGGTGCTTCTCTCTCATCTACATCTGCGTCCCGGTCCACGCCCGGAGCAGCGCGCCTTAGGGTGGGGTTCTCCCTCCCCAACCGCCCACCCTAGCCCGCTCACCATATCTCCTCCCACCACGTCAGCCCCGCGAACGCGGCGTCCACTGCGGCGTCGTCGGGATACCTCTCGGCATCCCCCCGGAGGCAGTCCCTGACGGCCTCCTTGACGGCACGCGCCATCTTCAGGCTGCCGCCGCAGACGACGAAGATGGCGTTCGCGGCGACCATGGCGCGGACCGTTGGCGCGTGCTGCCGGATCACGTCCTGGACGTACTGCCGCGGGGCGGACGGGTCGCGGGAGAAGGCTGTGTGGACGTCGAAGCTGCCACCCGGCCCCGCTGGGTCCCGGGTTTCGGCGGCGGCGGCGGCGTATCGCGCCTTGAGGTCCTCCCACACGTCACGGAAATGGAAATCCGCGTCCCGGCTGCGGTTTCCGAAGAAGAGGGCCGCGTCGCCGACGCGCATGCCCCCCGACAAGGCGTGGGAGAGGCGCTCCTCAACGAAGAGGCGGAGGGGCGCGACGCCAGTGCCGGTAGCGACGGCGCACAGGGGCCGGCGGGCGTGGGCCGGCCCGTGGAGGGAGGCGGAGCTGCGGTTTAGAGACACACGGAGGGACGTGCCGGGGTGGGTGAGGGACTCGAGGTAGCGCGAGCAGAGGCCCTGGCGGGTCTTGCGGAGGATCGTCTTGTACTTGACGAGCGCCACGAGGAGGGTCACGCTCGTTGTCGAGACCGCTGCTGGTTTTGGTGAGGATGCAAAATGGCCGGAGGTGTCGTCGTGGTGGTGGTGGTGGTGGTGGCCCACGCTAGCGATGCTAAAGTCCCGGCCGCGCATGACGGGGAACATGTCGAGGACGCGGGCGAGCGGTATGCGAACCGAAGTGAACTCCTCGAGGACCTCGAGGATGGTGCGGCGGGGCCGGGTGGTGTAGTCGAAGAACTCGTCCGTGTACTCGCGCATGGTAAACTCGAGGAGACGTTGGCGGTGGTACTCGTCCGAGGAAAAGTAGGACATGTCCTTGAGGAAGCTGCGGCGCGGGGTGCAGGTGATGTCGAGGTTATGCGTGAGGAGGTCGCGGAGGGTCGTCGCGCGGCGGGGGTCGATGTGAAGGCCGTGAGGGAGAGATGGTTGCCCCGAGGGGGGGTCGGAAGACGAAGTAGTAGTAGGGCCAAAGGAAAGGGGCGAATCTGCGATTGTGCACCAGCCCATGAGGTCTATGAGCTTTTGGACGTCTTGGGGGAAGTTTTTGGGGTATATCGTCAGGCTGTCAAAGGGCTGTATCGTAGGCGGTTCGCCGGAGGTTGGGTCGAGGGCGAGACGTACAAGGCGGACGTCCTGGAAGTGGGTTTCCGGTGTTACCCGCTCGTTAAGCTCGAGAGAGGCGTCTAGGCCGCCGGGGATGGGGAGGAGGGTCGGCGGCGGCTGCTCGACTTCGCACGGGTCTTTGGATGGGGTTCCGGCTTCATTTGGTGGTGGAGGGTCTTCGGTCATTGTGATGGAGGTTGTTCTCTGGACCAGATTCTCGACTGCGCCCGTCGCGTCGGTATCAATGTTATCTGACTGAGCTTCCTGGGCTACGGCTTCGAAGGCATTGCAATTCGTGTAGCTCCCAGTACTCTGTTCCTGGCCTTGACTTTGACGTGTGTCCGGATTTGATGCCAGCCCAACGGTGTACCTAGGTGGTAGCAGGGTATCGTCTGGGATAGGGGTAAGCCCCTCGGGTAGGGGATATAGATCGAGCAGTTTCTTGCGCAGGTCTGCCGCCCATGGCATGTACCTTTCGTCCACGCTGAAGGCATGTCAGTAGCGTTCGTGGAAAGATATGTTTCATACAGCCAGTGCCCCGATGTAATACATGTCGAGGAAGAAGAGTAGCAGCAGCGACTCATTGCGGTGGTTCATTCATAGGTGAAACCGATGTGAAGGGGCAAAGAAATATCAACACTTGCGGCCAATACTGCTGCCACTCGGCATAATAAACAAAGATGAACGGACGGACAGGCGGCGACGAAAGAACTCGAACTCACCCATCTGCGTCTTGCTCATCTGCTTCGCCTCGGGGGTAAAACTCTACGGCGCCTAGCTGCTCCAGTCGCTTATGAAGCTTTCTGGCAGCCCAGTTGAACCTGTGGCCAGCGTTAGATCCTAGAAAACTCAGAGAATCACAGTGTTCCATGAGCACGGAGAGACGCATAAGATCCGGTGGAGACCTACTTGATATACATGCTGTCGCCGAGCCCAAAGGTCGTGAACCTGACGGCACCGAGACACCCTGGGGGCAGCTTCTTTCTCAACAGACTCCTCCAGAAGGCGCCGGAGTTGCGGGGCATGTCACCCTGGCCCGTCGTCGATATGACGAAGACGATGAGAGTGTGTTGCAGGAGTGTGCTCTATGGAGGTAACAAATCAACATTCTGCTTGGACAGTTGCATATCAGGCTAGCAGTGCGGTTTCGAGGCTTGGAAGCCGGCAATTCTTCTAAGCCAGTCCGGTAATGTCAAGGTACCAAGGGAATAGGAGTCAGGGTAGCTCACCAGCTGAGCGCCGTTCATCTCGTCGACCCTGGTCTTGAAGTGCAGCCGTTGGGCGTCACGACCGATCTCCTCGGCGATGTCTTGGCTGTTGCCGGTCTCCGAGCCGTAGAGGATTAACATGGACCGGCCGGGCAATTCCGCCACCCGTGCCGGCTGGGGGCCGATCTTGGAGTTTGTCATGTCTCTGTCCGGTCTTTTCCCTTTTCTTTTTCAAGTTAGACTTTTGCCTAAATGCGGATTATCTCTCTCGACATCGGACTCCTGGAATGCCAATTTGACAAGCTGCTGGACTCTAGTGCTGACGGCGACATTGATCGAGTTCGAGTGTTGTCGGCGGAGTGACTCTTAATTAGGTGCGGTCCCGGGGTCTGTTAGCGCGGTGGTGCAGCTTCTTGGGATAGGGTTTTCTGTGCGGCATCGGAGCCGCGGGTGCCATGCGGCGGAGATACAAATGCCCTCAAGAGGGTCACGTGTTGTCGACTAGTCTGGCGTGTGATCTAAACATCGAGTTAGAGGATCAACAAAAGCCCAAACATTAGTTTTCACAACATGGAACAAGCAATGAATCTCGAGGCGTCATGGAAAGCCTGTTATTCGGGCACAGAGGATTATAGGACAAAGTGTCTGTGTGACGTTCAGCCACATACAGGCATGGATCGCTCCAGAGATCATGTCAATGTGCGCCACAGGCTTCCAAGTACCTGCAGAATAGCATCGAAGCCACGCGGGGCTAGCTGCCGAGCGGGAATCCGTCAGCGTCGTACCTAATCATGTTGGGGTTAGAGCGGTCATGGGGAGAATGGGGCCGCCGGAAGATGCGACGTGCCGGGGCTTGCATGGCAAGTGAGTGAGGCAAAAGGCTAGGCGTGCCGGGCTGGAACCACCGCGGATACGGGAGGCCGGTGCTGGTGTTACCTCGACGCAAGGCGAGTGACAGCGCCCCGTTCTACAGCAAATCCTGTGGAGAAGGTCGAGGTTCCTTAGTGCGCCAGCACAGCTCAGAAGGCTTGGAAAGCTTCGCGACTCAGGTACGCTGCCTCACCCTGCAAGCCTTCCTCCTCCCGGTGATAGCTCCACGGGCAAGCGTACGAATAGGCCAAGGTGGGCAACAGGCGAAATGGTTTTCGCGAATACGATGATCACATAGTTGGCGTCTGCGGTTTTACTGAAGAACAGGCTTTTGTGCCGAAGCCACAGAATTGGGAGATTGCCGGTGGATCAGCAATCGCCATGTGTAATCGTCCAGATAACACGCGAGTCTTGACAAGAATTTCGGATAATAGACCATGCACAGGACGATGGATGATGGGTAATTGATTAGAAGCCAGGAGAAGGGGAAAGGAAGCTTCTCACCATGCTCCATCCCCTGTATGGCGCCGCCGTTGGGACCCTGGGGGCTTTAGCGTGGCCGGCCAGGGGCCTCCCAAAGCCTTCATGCGCTCCGCGAAATCCAGTGGGCCATGGGAAATTGTATCGTCCTCGTCCAATTTCGGACACCAAAGGAGCCTTCCGCGGTCCCATGCCTTAGATACGGGAGGACGGCGTCAGCCGGGGACGGAGGACGGGGCCCGAATGGGCATCCGCCTGAACCCCGTTGACGGTCGACCGGTTCAGCCATTGAGTTTGCGCTCTGTATTCTATACTATACCCTCTTCGCCTTACTGTGGCTGGGTGAGAATTCTACTTCTGTGGCCTCTGTTGCTACTGCAGAAGAACGGATGGCTTGGTCGGCGAGCTACTGCAAGGAGTCAGCAAGCAACTCCAGAAGCCAGTACTACGTTGGCACTTGGCCCAGCCGATGAGGTAGGGTAGGACCAAACTCAATCGGTAGACGGCGGCTGTTGGCCTTGGTGGACCCTTGGATTTAAATCTCCGGTGCATGTCTCTCGTAACCGCCGACGAGAGTGTAACGACGAGCAGCCGTGATGTTGAACTGGGGGTACTGACGATTGCAGGGAGGGGAAACACGAAGCACTACTCTCGGCTCATCTCGCGCAAGATTTGAGCGATCCGGAGCAGGTCCCTGGATGAAAGAGATTGGAAAACGGTCGATCGCAAAAAGCGACCGGTGGCAACTCGCGAACCGACTTCCGGAATGGGGCAGCGCTGCCACAGATGAAGGGACATAGGGGGTCTACCGGTATTGTTGCAGCTCTCGTCGGCCGAAGAGTCGAGACAGGAGACACCCGACCAGATCGGGTATGCTGCCGCATTGGAAGACGCTTGTTGGCATTAAAGGTGTAAAAATTGCACTTTAAAAGCTCCTGCCTTCAAAATGCATGTACGCAGCCAACGCAACGCAAACCTCTGCTCTGCGCACCTCAGGGGGAGGCGGGCAGGTCGTGGCTACCGAGATGTCCGTCGCCTTTCTGAAAGGTGGTGGGCTCCACGAACACGCACATCAGCGGGTGGACACCAGATCAGGCATGGCTGGCCTGGGATCCCATCGCGACCAATTTGCGGGGGAAGAGTCATACTATTCCACTGATAGGCTGGTGCGGTTGTCGCCGCCTACACGCATAGTAGTACCTGTACGCTAGGCAGATCATACATCATACGGATTCCTTCTCGTGCGGGCTGCAGCAAAGCACAGCAGCGCAGCAAGTCAGGTCAGTCAGACACACCCGCGTGCTGTTATTGATGATGTGGCTGCTGTGGCCCAAGGCGATGCCCTGAAAGGCATTAGGGGAGAGGAAGCAATTGAAGGAGCTCCTGCCATTCATCACTGGACGAAGTAGGTACAAACATGTACCGTATTCTCTTCACTTGCAGGGGTATGGCTTGTCCTATTTCGGATGCCCGTGCTCTGTGGCTTGCCTGAGCATGTACGGAGTACCTGCCATGTCTAACACTATCGGGTAGATCCATTTTTTTCGATGGTATCCCGTCGCCCTTGCCTCCCCGGGACACGTACCGTGGTCGCTGTCACCTCTCCCTTCCGGGATTTCTTGCAAAAGCACGGGGTGCATGATATTGGATGCGGACAAACAAGTAGAAACGAAAGAAATACTATCGGAGCAAGGCACATTCAGTCTATCTGCCGTCATTGTGTTGATTAGCTACCTTATATGGTGATCACGACAGAGCAACATTGTCATTTCGTCATCCGGCGAGCAGACGTGGAAAGCTGTCTGCGCTGGCCTGGCTGTCATTTCCATTCGTGCCTTTCCCCTTCCATCTGCCCACCCAAACCTCAAACCCCTGCGCTGTTGCCGCAAACACGATAGGAAAGTACCCACACGCACCTTCGTCCTTCCGCACCGCCACAACAGCCAGCAACCCGCTCTTGCCATCCCAAGGTCCCTAGAACGTGGGCCGCACCTGCTGTTCGGTGGGTTTGCGCCTCGCTTACCCTCGTCCGTTGGTCCCCCTGCTCACCAAGAGGGAAAAAAATATTTGTATTTGAGGTCAGCGCGGCTCTAGCCATCCCTTTCCTCTCTCCTTTCCCTCCACATCACAACTTCAAGATCCTGTGTCACCGCGCAACGCAACGTCGTCTGTCAACTTTTTTCAAGCTTTCTAGGGCACCAAGCTACCCTGAGAAAATTCCCCCTCATTGTTTCAGAGTTCAACTTCACCGAACTTCAGTTCTTCATCAATCCGAATCTTTGTTCCTGTCACCGGGTCCAAGTTCGCACGTCATCTGTTATCACGCACTTCCACCGGAACGCAGCCTAAACCACCCAAGCTCTCATCTCTCTCTACCAGACCAATACCGCCAAAATGTCTGCTGTCGCCGAGAAGGTTTCCGAGGCCGTCAATGACGTTACCAATGCTCTGAGCAATGCCACTATCTCCGACAAGGCCGCCGATAAGCCTGCCGCCAACAACGATGCCGTCCTCGCCAGCGCCGCTGAGGGCCGTCGTCTCTACATCGGCAACCTGGCCTACGCGACAACGGAGGGGGAGTTGAAGGAATTCTTCAAGGGTTACCTTGTGTAAGTTGCGCGACTCTCATTATCTTCATCATCATGTCCGTCTACCGTTGGCCCCTGCAGCTTCTATCAAAAGCTCGCTCCGGGGTTGCTGCACCTTTCCCAGAGAGCCCTGCCCCCACATGTACTGCCATGCACACCTTGCTTGATTGCACTTCCTCGTTCGGGCTGTGCCGCATCGGCGCCGGGGTCGGCATCGTGATGTCTTGACTCGTTGCCTAGACCGCCTCGTTCGGCTGTCACGATGTTGCAGCGTGGCCTCTCCTCCTCGCCAGCCCCGCAAATTCCCACCCACTTGCGTCACGCATGCCAGCTCATACTGACCCGCCTTTTTCCACAGCGAGTCCGTCTCCATTCCCAAGAACCCTCGCACCGACCGCCCGGTTGGCTACGCCTTCGTCGACCTCTCCACTCCTTCTGAGGCCGAGCGCGCCATCTCTGAACTTTCCGGCAAGGAGATTCTCGAGCGTAAGGTCTCGGTTCAGCTTGCCCGCAAGCCCGAGCCCGCTGGAGAGAAGACCGAGGGTGCCAACGGCGAGGGTGCTGGCGAGGGCAACCGCCGCCGCGCCTCCGGCCGTGGACGTGGCCGTGGCCGTGGCCGCGGTGGACGTGGTGCCCGCGGTGGCCGCGTGAGTCACATCAATACCCGCTTCGCCCGTACAGCTACTGACATTATATGTGTAGGAGGACGGTGCCCCTGCCGAGGCTGCCGCCGCCGAGGTTCCTGCTGGCGCCCCTGCCACCTCTGAGGTCCTTCCTCTGACTGATGCCACCAACAAGGACGCCAAGAGCGATGGCGAGAAGCCTAGCCAGGCTCGTGCTCCCCGTGAGCGACGCGAGCGTGGCCCCCCTGCCGACGGCATTGCCTCCAAGACCAAGGTCATGGTCGCCAACCTGCCTTACGACCTGACCGAGGAGAAGGTTAGTTTCCCGCTTTGCACCTTGTACTTGGCCCTTGTCTGACACGTTCCAATAGCTCAAGGAGCTCTTCGCTGCCTACGAGCCTTCTTCCGCCAAGATCGCCCTGCGCCCCATCCCCCGCTTCATGATCAAGAAGCTTCAGGCCCGCGGTGAGCCCCGCAAGGGCCGTGGCTTCGGCTTCGTCACCCTTGCCTCCGAGGAGCTCCAGCAGAAGGCTGTTTCCGAGATGAACGGCAAGGAGATTGAGGGCCGCGAAATCGCTGTCAAGGTCGCTATTGACAGCCCGGACAAGACCGACGAGGAGGCCAACGCTCCCACCGAGGAGACCAAGGAGGAGAGCAAGGTCAACGGCACTGGTGCCACAGAGGCCGCGGCTGCTCCTGCTGCTGCGGACGCTGCCCCTGCCACCACCGCCTAAACGTAGGCGACCAACCTACAGCCCCGGTGCGTCTCTGAGCCAATATTCAGAGATGCTGCCTTTACGAGCTTTATGATGCGGTACCCGTTACGACGACTTCAATTTTTTTTTCTTTTTTTGGAAGTGCCCCCCCAGGACGGGTGGCCAATTACATCTACGTCTGCCTTCTGACCAGACTCGCTCTCGGTAGATAGGGCAAACAAGATGTTCAGGGCTGCCCTCATCCCTAAACTAATACACATGATCTTACCGGCCACCTCTCTGTATTTGTTACCTAACCTCCATTTTCTCCGTCACCCAATGCTGGGTTGTACAGTAGCTTTAGCTGGAGACGGTTTGGAAGGAAGAGGAAAAGTTCGGCGCAAAAACGAATAAAATCGGGTAGCTTTTTGCAGTTAAGAATGAAAGGCGGCGCATCACCAGAAACAAGAAAAAAGCGTGTTCTGTTGTGTTCATAAACAGCCATGACGTTGTGTGATGTAGTTGCGGTTGGCGGAGCTTGTGTGAATGTCTCAATGTCGTCGTCGGACAAGGCGTTCCGCTGCGCATGATGGATGGGCTCATGCAGACAGAAATCTAGTGTCTGGCGCGGTCCATGGGGTATGGCTGGCGTCACTGTTTACTACAGAATAGTGGCAACATGAGGTTGGTTTCAGTGGTGCAGTTGCATGGTTGGAGAAGGGTTGTTGTCTTACGGCACCAGAGCCCCAAAAGCCAAGTGTTCCAGCAGGTAGTCTGGAACCTTTTTGTCGTGTCCGAGTCTCCAACAGAACCCCATGAAATGCTGCTGTCCCCCCTGTCTTTGGGCCATACCTGGCGAACTTAGTGCTGTATCTTGTCTTGTATTTATTGGAACTTTTGAATGCATGGCTCCCTTTCGAACAGATGCTTCACTAAGCTGCACAAATTTTTGTGTGACGGATTGGAAGCAATTCATAGTCTGCGTGTCCTGTTCTCCTCGCCGACCCAAGCAAATCAAATACACTAAAGCCGGAGCAGGGCAAGCGTGGAAGGCCCAGACACACACACCCAGACTCCTACACCCCTGGTCCGGAGCCAGCAAACCCCTTATCGGGCATCAGGAAAGCCCCTCCACCGTTTCTTGCTGCGACATCCTCCAACGTACTTTGATTCAACACTCTACCGCTAGGCACTTCTTTTTTTCGCTCATTACCACGACTGAACACTTCCCACAATGGCTTCCAAGGCCATGTGGGAGGTTGATCCCGAGACGCGCGCCAAGGTGAGTTCTTCCGGACGTCGTATGGCTGATTGCGACCGCATGGCCTTCCGCTAAATCCCCTTCGCCTCCCAGTTGGCCGCGATCCAGAAAGAGGCCAAGAACAACGTCTGCTGCGACTGTAACGCCCCGTCGCCGCAATGGGCTTCCCCAAAGTTCGGCATCTTCATCTGTCTGTCATGCGCTGGCGTCCACCGCGGTCTTGGCGTGCACATCTCATTCGTACGTAGCATCTCGATGGACGCATTCAAGCAGGTCGAGATAGAACGGATGCGGCTTGGCGGCAACGAGAACTGGCGAGACTTCTTCGAGCAGCACGAGGACACCAAGATGAGGGGAATCACGTGGGACGACGCGACGATCGCGGAGCGATACAGCGGCGAAGTGGGTGAGGAATGGAAAGAAAGGCTCTCGGCCAAGGTCGAGGGTAAGGAGTACGTCCCGGGCGAGAAGAAGCCTACGCCAGCAGCTGCACCGAAGCCTGTCAGCCGGACGGGCACGCCACTGGGCAGCACGAATAGCCGCTCGGCCAGCCCCAGCGGTAAGGTCAAGGTGGACGACAAGTACTTCTCCAAGCTCGGCGCCGAAAACGCCTCCCGACCCGACGACCTGCCGCCTAGCCAGGGAGGCAAATACGCGGGCTTCGGTAGCAGCCCGATGCCCGAAAAGAAGGACACTGGCATGCCGACCGTCGACGATTTACAAAAGGACCCGGTGGCCGCTCTGACCAAGGGATTCGGCTGGTTCACAAGCACGGTATCCAAGACGGCCAAGACGGTCAACGATGGCTACATTCAGCCCACAGCGAAACAGGTGGGTGACCCTTCTATTCTATCTCCGCCCGCGCCAGCCCGGACGAGAAACTCTGGGCTAATCAGACGGCCTCCTTGAACAGCTGGCCGAGTCCGACTTTGCGAAGCAGGCGCAGCGCGTCGCCCAGCAAGGCGCTCGTAACGCCCAGGACGGCTTCAACCGGTTTGTCGAGGGCGGACCCAGCAACGGCGGCGGCAGCAGTCAGCGCGGCGCATACAGGCAGGCACCGCTGGACGAGAGCAAAAAGGACTTTTGGGATAGCTTTAGTAGCCTTGCGGACCAGAGGCAGGGAAACAGCAGCAGCTCGATCGGAACCGCTGCTATGGGCAAGGGTGGCAAGACGGGCAGTGCTGCGGCGCCTGCGGCGAAGAAGGACAACGATGGCTGGGATGACTGGTGAAGCGTATGAGGGGGGGGGCGTTTGTCGGTGACAAGGGGACGGAGGCCGGGGTTGAGTGAGTGATCGTCGTGCTTCGGCAGGCCTGCATGTCATAGAATATCAATTCGGAGCTCCAATTTCACTTGTTTGATCACAGGAGATGCCGTCTGGTAGCACTTAGCACTGCAACCGATGAAGGCTTGCGCTGATCCTGCGCGGGCCTGCCATGTCACCACGTCACTATGCCACCATGTCAAGTAACATTGCGACAAATATCGTCGGGAGTGTGAAAGCCGAAGTATCATCGGACACGGACGTAATCCAAAGCATCGGGAGGGGATATATGTGCACGTAAGTCGGCGTCTTGCTTTCTGCGTGGCCGAAAAGGGTTTAAGGTGGGGCGGTGACCCGAGGTTAGCCGGTATCGCTACAGTGGACGGCGGTCCTATTTTCCCCAGTGACGACACGGACCCGATGCTTTGTGGAAGAACCTCCAAATTCCCAGATTTCCGAATTGCCAAAAAGGAATCCCTCCGCACATCAAACACCGGGCCATTGAAGCAGTGCACAGCTTACCATGTCCGCCCTCAGAATTCTCGTGCCCGTGAAGCGGGTCATTGACTATGCGGTACGTCCTCCCAACACAATCCAGACCACCCGGAGCAACATTGGCTTGTGATCGGCGTAGCTGACGGGAAGCCGACACTCAACAACAGGTCAAGCCCCGCGTCAACAAGGCCCAGACGGGCGTCGAAACGGCCGGCGTCAAGCACTCGATGAACCCTTTTGACGAGCTCTCGGTCGAGGAGTCGGTCCGCATCCGCGAGAAGAAGCGCGCGCCCGGCGGCGTTGAGGACATCACCGTCATCTCGGCGGGCCCCCCCAAGGCCGTCGACGTGCTGCGGACCGCCATGGCCATGGGCGCCGACCGTGCGATCCACGTCGAGACCAAAGAGGGCGACGACCTCGAGCCGCTGAGCGTCGCGAAGCTGCTGCGCAAGGCCGCCGAGGAGCACAAGAGCAACCTCATCATCCTCGGGAAGCAGAGCATCGACGACGACGCGAACCAGACGGGCCAGATGCTGGCCGGCCTCCTGGGCTGGTCCCAGGCGACGTCGGCGAGCGTCGTCAAGTTCGGCGAGGGAGACACTGTCAGCGTCACGCGCGAGGTCGACGGCGGTGTCGAGACGGTCAAGGGGAAGCTGCCGATGGTCATCACGACTGACCTGAGACTCAACGAGCCGCGGTACGCAAGCTTGCCGAATATCATGAAGGCCAAGAAGAAACCCCTCGAGAAGAAGAAGCTGGCCGACTACGGCATCGGGGCCGAGAAGCGGTTGAAGGTGCTCAAGGTCACGGGTAAGTCGCGCACGGTCGCTACCGCATCGCTCTCCTTGCCAAGGGGGTGGTTGTTATTGTTGCTGGCGAAAGCCGACTCGGCAATGGACTGTTATGCTGATAACTTTCTACAGAGCCTCCCGTGCGGCAGGGTGGCGGCAAGGTTGAAGATGTCGACGGACTCGTCGCGAAGCTCAAGGAGCTCGGTGCCTTGTAAAAGGCGTGTAATTGCCTGTAACAGCATGAAAAAGACTCTTTCTCTGCAAATAGATCCGTTTCAGATGCAGGCTTCTCGGCCTTCCAGACGTGATTAGAGAGGAGGCAGTCAGGAACGTGTCGCAGAGTGGCGTCGCCGCTCACCAGTCACACGGTAAACTCCGGGGTTATCCACTTCCGTCGCTGCTCCGCTGATTATAAGGATATACGACGTCTTGCCATGGATGGTTCAAGGGGGGACGTTGATCGCTGTGCCTACGGTGCTTCTGACCTACTCCTAGATGCGCCGTCCGTTGCTTGAGCAAAGTCTAGGCCTAATGCATGAAGGGGTACTCGTTGTCTTTGCCACTTGATATATCGCTGATTGGTAAACTTCTACCACCTTAAAGTTGACCTAGAACGGGCGCTGACAGACTGCTAGAGGTTCAGACGAAAAGGCAAGGTGACCATCTGTGACTAACCTCTTTGTTTGAGAAAGGCCTGGCAAATATTCTCAGCATCTAGGCCGACCTTCCCGTACCGGTTGGGCAGCGGGTATCTATCACCAGTTCACTTTCGAGTCCTGGAACGGCGGTCGTGACTAATTCAGGAGATGCACGCGTATGGAAACAGTTCGGAAGAGGATCGGACGAAAGCTAGTCGATGATTCGCCACCTAACGAAACATGGGAAAGCGGATTTTGATCTTGGGGCATCGAGAAGGATGCTAACCACCGCACCGGAACCTGGGGACAACGCGGGGGCACGTTCGTTAACCGAACCCAGCAAGCGAGTTGGAGAGGCGACACTACGATTTCATGGGAGGTTTCCGGCACATCCTTGCTACTAAGGTTTGCCCTATCTGCAACTCTCTTTCGCTCCAGACGGGTGTGGTCAATCTCACGAAAGTCTAACATGAGCAGGACCTCTTGAACATCATTTTCATTATTTCTTGTCTCGATTGTCTCTACCACACGTGGGGCTCGGGGGATAAGGTCCGACTCATCGGCCTCACACCTTGCTATACGCGGACCCGCCTGCCGCTGCATCAAAGTCCATTGCCTCCTGCAACCCGACGATGCTGAACAGTTTTCTTGGCGAAAAGTCCGATTTCGTCCCTACCTTGCCCGTCTCCTTCAGCTTCACCAGCGACTCACGAATGGCTTCGTACGCAGGCGCGATGGCCGCGAAGGGTACGATCATCATCCGGTACCCGAGCGCCTTGGCCTCGGCCGCCGTCCACGACGGCGTGGCGCCGTGCTCGACCATGTTAAGTAACACGGGCGTCGGCTTCAGCGCCTCGCAGGCCTCCTTGGCCTCCTCGGCGGTCGTCACGCCCTCGAGGAAGGCGACGTCCGCGCCCGCGGCGACGGCGGCCCTGAGCCTGGCCATGGCCTCGCCGAAGCCGTGCGTCTGGATGGCGTCCGTCCGCGCGATGACGACGATGTCGGAGCCGATCTTCTGGCGGGCGAGCGTGGCGGCGCGGATGCGCGCGACAAAGGTCTCGACGTCGACGACCTGCTTGCCCGTGAGGTGGCCGCAGCGCTTCGTCTGGATCTGGTCCTCGATGTGCAGGCCGGCGACGCCGCTGCGAGCGTACTGCGTCACGGTGCGTGCGACCATGTTGGGGCCGCCGTAGCCCGTGTCGGCGTCAGCGACCAGTGGGACGGAGGGGTCGAGGTTGGCGAGCATCTCAGCGTGGGAGCGCATGTCGTCCAGAGTTGCGAAGCCGAGGTCGGGGAGACCGAGTCTAGAAGCGGAGGTTCCTGCACCGGTCTGGGTGTGCGCATGTGTTTGTTAGTCCCGTTGAAGGTGAGCAGGTGAAACGAGGGAGGGAATCAAAACCCGAGAGGTGAGTGACGGGCGAAGGATGAGTAAAACCGTACCATGTAGAGGCCATCGAACCCGACCTCGAGCGCGATCCTGGCGCTGAAGCCGTCGTAGACGCCTGGCAGGAGGATCAGGTCGTCCGTCTCGCTAAGGCGCTGCCTCAGCTTCGTCGCGGCCGGGACCGGGGCCGAGGTGTAATTACTCGGCGACATGACGTTGGTTCCCTTCGATATTAGAGTTCAATGCTCAGTGTTCACAACTCGAGTCAGGTTGTTCAGTCGACGGGGGTGTCTGAATACCTCGGCCGACGAATGAAGGGTACCCTGAGCACTTCTTTGGCCTCTTCTTTTACCCCTTTCTGAGCTAGTTGAGGGGGGGCTGGATGCGTTCTGCTGGTTCACTGTGCAGATGAGAGCTAGTTGGCTCCCTTTTTGGAAGAATGACCGCCAAGACCGTAACTTTATTCATATGGGAGGCAATGACCTGCCTTCCATGACGCAAGAGCCGTGTGTCCCCATCTCCACATTATATTATGGTCCTCCTTTGCGGTAGTATCGCGGTAATACGTCTCCATCCAGCTCGCCATTCGGACATTTCGGGATTGGCACGGCAACGTCGTGTGGTAGGGGTCGGGGTAGTCTGTTTCCACCAGCGGCCACTCCTCAACTCCCGACGGAGGGCCCTGAAGTGGAGGAGAGCCGGCCAGACGGATTACGAAGTGCACTTAGCTAAGCATAGTGGCGAGGCACGCCATAAACCGCACGGGGTTGTGCTGCTTCGATGTGCCAATGACGGAGTATTGATCTCTTTACATGCAGTCAGTGAATACGCAACATGATGAGCAGCTACACTAGATCAACGGCTCAAGGCTGGACGGTACGTGTGGCCTGTTACCCTAGAGTGCTATATTTCGTTACGACGTGTTGAGGTGTGGAACAGATGGCAAGACAGTTACAGCAACAGGGCCTAGTACGCTAGGTATACCAGCTAGGGGAGTCATCTCTGAAGTCTCTAGTAGCCTTGGTTGATAGGGAGGTTTAGTCACAAGATTTTATAGTACTATGTTTCTACCTAGAAACTTTCTTCTATTGTGTTGAGTGTGTCAAAGTATTATTGTGTGCCTGCGATCTCGAGAGGGACTTCCTTGGGTAAGTACCTCAGCAGCAACTAGGTAGTTAACTACCTTAGCTAACGTCAATGGAAGGCTGTTTTCCTCCCGGGGGCGCTAGAAAATGCGGGATTAGGCCACCAGAGCTCGAGAAAACATCACGATGATGCACTTACTATGTAGTATGGTATCATGGGGCGAGTAGAAGCCCCCTAGCAGGTAGGTAGTAAAGGATATACCCCGCCAATCCAACTAGATGCTGTGACTCTCGATGGCGAGAATGTACTACTCTGGCTTTGCCCAAGCAGCTGGGGAAAGTTATTTCCCCCTATAATGTTATCCCCCATAGCTGACATTATAATAGAGGGGGAATATTCACCAAAAGTGAAGCTCTGGAGTAGGGGGGTGAACTCTAGTTACCTAACAGGGGGAAAAAACTTCGGCCTGGTACCATAGGATAAAACTGCCGTGATCATGGTGGGAGCTAGAGCCACAGCTAGTACTGCCTGCCCAGCGGAGGTGTGTTTTAAACTACTTGGGGTCTGCCACAGCAGTACAACTTATACTTGGTGATGACATTTCTTATGGCAATCATCGCAAGGAAGGCTTCTCTCATTGCCCCCCCTCGGATTGCTCTTGTAGAGATGTCTCTCGTGCACGGTGGCCTGCCTCGCTTCGGTTCTGACCGATGCGATAGGGGCACGCAGAACAAGTACAGAAGCTCGCGGCGGAATATATCCCAAAGCCGGCCGCGGCCCTTGCGAGCAGCCGTCCTGAGTCAACCGGGGACGGGCTGTGGGCCGTCCAATGATTTTTAGTATATCCAAAACAGATTCAACTTCGTTAGGTGGCGGCTTCGACCTTACCAGCCCGGAGACCGTGCTTTTTTCCCCCGCCATTACTTTCCTTGACAAAGATGATTTTGCTCCCCTCCCCGTCGCACGCCCTGTCATGCTGTGTGTGTGCCTACCGCAGAATGGCCATAACCTTTTTAGAGTTTGGTTCGAATGTTTAAAAGCGCACTGAGCCGAGTATTGGCAGTATTGACTTTCGAGGCTGAGAACATGGAAAGTATCTCGACCAGCGCTACACGATGAGAACACACCAACATGCACACCCGACAACAGATTAAGCCCGGGCTGCACCAGGCACCCTGGCCACGAAGCTCGTTACCGGAGATTTCTTTATGCTTTTTTCGGCTTGCGGGGACACCGGCTGTGTTTGTTCAGACATCTCCCTCCCGGGAGAGGGGGAAAGGTTAACGAGTTATATATTCTTGGCCAGAACCATGGCCCTCTTGTCCTCCCTCGGGAGTATATATCTGTAGGAGTACGTACGTGTGTATGTGTGTGCTCTTCACCTGACCTCGACTCCTTGTTGAACGAACCGCATTGGCGAAGAAGATATCCCCTCAGTTCACCTTACACCACTATCCTGTGTTCGGTCTCCCTTTGTTTCTTCAAGGAAACTCGCCTCTCTCGCATGCCACCCAACAAGTAGACTCCGTCACCATGGACCGAAGCGCACCTTCGGGCAAAGATGTCTCCGTCAGAACGGTCGACAACGCTTCCACCGAACTATCACTGCCCTCGCTGTCGTTACCATACCGCAACACGCCCGACGAGGCGGCCATGGCTCGCCCCGAGTGGCGGGCTGCCGAGAAGTCACTGGTCAAGAAGCTGGACATGACACTCATGCCGGTCATCTGGACGCTGTACCTGTTCAACTACCTCGACCGGAACAACCTTGCGTATAGTGGACCCCTTGCCGTCTCTGGAGCGGCCTTTGCCTTGGGGGCCATAGAAGGACGTTGAACTGACGTGCGGACGGGTGAACAGGCAGGCCAAGCTGGACAGTTTCGAAAAGGATCTGGGTCTCGTGGGGAACCAGTTCAACATAGCGGTCTCGATATTCAACGTTGGGTAAGCCCGGGCCCCGTCTCTCGTTTCGACCATGAGCCGTTGCTGATTTCGGGTGTAGGTACATGGTCGCCCAGCTGCCGTCCAACATGCTCCTCACCCGCGCCCGGCCGAGCATCTACATCCCGTCCTGCGTACTGGCGTGGTCGTGCGTGTCGGCGGCGACGGCGGCAGCGAAGAGCTTCCACAGCCTCGTCGCCCTCCGCATCGTGCTCGGCCTCGTCGAGGCCCCCTTCTTCCCTGGTGTAAGTCATGCACACCCTCTTCTCCCGCCCACCACCATCAGCAACTGACACCACACGCATCCCACCAGATCTTCTACATCCTCTCCTGTTGGTACACCCAGAAGGAGATCGCCTTCCGCACGGCGATCCTCTATTCGGGCATGCTCGTCGCGACAGCCTTCTCGGGCCTCATCGCGGCCGGCGTCTTCGCGCACCTCGACGGCGCGCATGGGCTGGCCGGTTGGCAGTGGTTGTTCATAATTGAAGGTGCGGGGAGCTTCGCGTCGGCCTTTACGGCGTTCGCGTTCCTGCCGGACTACATCGGGTCCAGCACGGGCGTGTGCTCGTGGCTCATGACGGACGAGGAACTGCTGGTCGCCGCGCAGCGGATGGACGCCGATAGGGTGTCGGTGCCGCAGGAGAAGGGAACGGTATGGAACGGGTTGAGCCTTGCGGTGAAAGACGTGAGGACATGGATTTTTGTGAGTTGACCCCCTCTCTGGCCGGTTCCCGTCGACACCTTTCTTCCCTCCGGGGGAAGATCGGACTAACACGGACAGGTCTGCATGCAAGCCTTCTACCTCTCTTCCCACGGTCTCAATAGCTTCTTCCCTACCATCGTGAAAGGCTTTCGCCTCGGAAACAACACAATCACCCTCTTGCTCACGGCCCCGCCGTATCTTGTCGCCGCGGCTGTCGCCCTCTGCGTCGCTGTCTCCTCGGACCGGCGGGCTGATCGCGGGCTGCATATTATTGGCCCTGTATGCGCCGCCGTTGTAGGCTTCATCATCACCGCCGCAACAACGAACCGCCCGGCGCGGTATTTTGCCAGCTTTCTGTACCTTCCTGGCGCCTTTGCGTCGACGGGGCTGATCTTCAGCTGGGCCGGGAGCGTGTTAGGCCAAACGCCGGAGAAGAGGGCGGCGGCGACAGCCATCGTTTGCCTGTTGGCACAATTCGGCAACATCTGGAGCCCGTTCTTCTTCAGGCCCGAGGATAGCCCGAGATACCTGCTCGCGTTTTTCCTGATGATCGCCTTCTCGGGCCTGTGCATCGGGGCGGTGTTCCTGATGAGGCGGATGCTGGGGAGGGCGAACCAGATAATGCTCGAGGAAGCGGCGGTGACGGGCAGGAGGGTCCGGCTCTATATACTTTGAAGGAACGCAGACATCTCAACAGATTTCGCAATATTCGGTCCAGGGAACCACTAGCATTGGCGATATAGATGAAGCGGAATGGTGGCCCACGTTCGCTGAAGTGCTGGACAGGTGCGTGCCGTCGATCGTCCCCTGCGATAGCAGCAGTTTCTCCTCAGACTTCTGACATTGATTCAAGAGTGGCTTCAGGCCAAGACGAGGCGCTGTGGATTTTGAGCAAAGCAAGACATTGATGGTAGTCGTTGAAAGGCAAGCGAGGCGATGCCAGCTCCATACAGACTCGTGGGCAGAATGTTAATTGAATCGCTTGGTTGATATTGAAAGTGCCCTGATATCATCGAAAATGCACCCATATCGAGCTGAACATCTCGCTTGAGTGCTCACTCTGTAGTTTTAGGACCGAGCACGGCTCCGTCTGGATAGGTACTGACTGGCCTCCCCTCAGCTATCAAACGTTATGTCCTTTTGATTGTGCGATGATAGTGACACCGCTGAACACGGACCTTGCAACGGCATTATTGGCATGCAAGCAAGCGTCTCAGCCTATTAGCTGCCAATACGTAGGGTGAAAATGCATGTGAATACATCTGGTGGCCGAGACCTGCAGTCAAGGTTGTATCTCAAGCAAGGGTTCCTCCCCCTCGTCTTCTTCTTTTCCCCCCAAAGTCGGAACTCGCAAGAACAAGATATAGTGGTGGGGACGCTGCTGCCAGTCTTGTTGGCACTGGATGCTCAAAGCTTGTCAGCATACCTAGAATCATTGGAGGAACAAGGCAGACCGCCTGGTCCTGGGCCAGGCCCGGGGTTTCCGAGGGGATGGTGCAGCATGGGTTCGGCACGCTTGCCTCCTTTCAAAGACTGATAACAGGGACACCGACTCGAGTCGGTGAAAGCAAGAGTTGAAAAGGTTTCCAACGCCGCCCTTTCGGTTTTGGGTTGGCAGGTGGGTAAGGGGGGCAGGTCCGGTAATGAATGCACTTATGCGATTATGCAGGGAGGCCCCGGCGCTATGCATTGCAATCAGGTCGAGTGCACGGGTGGGGAGGAACTCCGAGCACGGCGGATCTTGGAGGAGCGGAGAAGGACAGATATTTGCCGCCCAACTCTAACATTGCGTCAATTTCCTGCAGTAGCAAACCTAGTGATGAAAGCTTTTTGAAGGATCACGAAAATAAGTCTTGTGGCGTGTCTGGCAGCGGCAGAGCCGGCCCTAGGGCTCAGGGTGTTTTCGCAATGCCAACTGCCGACTCAATGGCATGGCGAGAGTGCTGGTGATGTAATGTTCGGTACAAACAGGGCTGATAAGAACTGGGGAGACGACTTAAGGGCTAATTGGGCGAATTATGTAGTGCCCCGCGATAAGGGACAACATCGGGGGGTTCGACAAGTTCAAGTTTCAGTTCAGCAGCCACCGCTCACCAGCAACCATTTCTTGACGGCGAGGGTTTCCCTGTAGCGGCCGTTAAGACGGCCCCCCCGTTCGAATGGAGCCCCGCGTAGCAGAGACGTATCGGCACCGATCTTGCCCAAATGGGCCCAATGATAAGCTGCCAAAAAAAATTAAAAATTTGCTTGCTTATCCTTAGCATTGCTGCTGGCTGCAACCCGGCCAGCCCTTGACACTTGGGACGGCGACACCTGTAGGTCCGCTCTTGTGGAGGAGCAGGAAGAGTCTCCCTCCCCCGTTTGCTGCGTATGACTCTGTGTCCCGGTGCCCGTGCTCCTTTATTTTTCTACCCGAGCTTCCGCTCACCTACCTACTTGCCTTTCTTTTCTTTTTTTACCCTCTCCCCTCGAACAGAAAATCCTGCCACACCAACCAAACCTCTCACAGAATATCTCCGGCCATCATCCCTCCAACTCTACCAACGACTCGGTTCCGAGCAAATTTCACTACTCTTTTATACTGATTGACCCTTTGCAAGCTGCCCTTATGAACGGGCGTCCTTCAGTCTTCACCTCTCAGGTACGTTGAGCTGCTGCTAATTTTTTTTCTTTTCTTTTTGTCTCCTCACGGTCTTCGTGATATCTCCCCCAACCCCGCTGTTAAAGTGTCTCATGCTGGTGCCCATAGCCCAATTGAGGCTAACGGGCCTTGCTTGTACATCATGGCATTGCTTCTTGTACTACTCTTCAATTTTGAAAAATGTCGGTTACTGACTCGTTATCATTAGGATTATCTCTCAGGTTAGTTAGCACAATGCTCTCGGTTGACTCACCGCCCCTCCACGGAGAACACCCGGACTGACCATGCCCCCAACAGACCACTTGTGGAAGGCTGCCAGCCCATAAAGTGTCTATTCATTCAACCTGCAACCAACTCTACCTAGTCACTTCCCCAAAATAAAAGCCAACATGTTCTCCCGATTGGCTGCCTTCTCCAAGCCCGCGGCCAAGGGTGCCGCCGGGTTGAGCTCCGGCCTCCGAGTTCAGACCCGATTCCTCTCCGGCCAGGCCGCTGGCAGCAAGGGCCGCAAGATGCCAGTTACCCAGACTCGCGCCACCAGCCCCGTCAGCAACCTCGACGCCACCCTCACTATCCGAGTATGTCACTGCCGAGATGCGTTCCCCTTGCTGTAGACGAATGCTTGCTAACATGGCGACTCGCAGGATGGCCCTGTCTTCTCCGGCCGTGCTTTCGGAGCCAATTCAAACATCTCTGGCGAGGCCGTCTTTACCACCTCCCTCGTGGGATACCCCGAGTCCATGACCGACCCCTCGTACCGCGGCCAGATTCTGGTCTTCACCCAACCCCTGATTGGCAACTACGGCGTGCCCTCCAACCAGAGGGACCAGTGGAACCTCCTCAAGTACTTCGAGTCCCCTCACATCCAGTGTGCCGGTGTTGTCGTTGCCGACGTCGCAGAGCAGTACAGCCACTGGACCGCCGTCGAGAGCCTGGGCAACTGGTGCGCCCGTGAGGGTGTGCCCGCCATCTCGGGCGTCGACACTCGTGAGATCGTTACCTACCTCCGTGAGCAGGGTTCTTCCCTCGCTAGGATCTCCATTGGCGACGAGTACGACGCCGATGAGGACGAGAGCTTCATCGACCCTGGCGCCATCAACCTGGTCAAGCGCGTCAGCACAAAGGCTCCCTTCGTGGTCGAGTCCCCCGGCGCCCGTTTCCACGTTGCCCTGATCGACTGCGGTGTCAAGGAGAACATCCTCCGCAGCCTCGTCAGCCGTGGCGCCTCCGTCACCGTCTTCCCCTACAACTACCCCATCCACAAGGTTGCCAACAACTTTGACGGTGTCTTCATCTCCAACGGCCCCGGTGACCCGACCCATTGCCAGGAGACCATCTACAACCTCGCTCGCCTCATGGAATCCTCCCCCGTCCCCATCATGGGAATCTGCCTCGGCCACCAGCTTCTCGCCCTGGCTGTTGGTGCCCGCACCATCAAGCTCAAGTACGGCAACCGCGCACACAACATTCCCGCCCTCGACTTGACCACCGGCCAGTGCCACATCACCAGCCAGAACCACGGCTACGCCGTTGACTCGTCGACCCTCCCCAGCGAGTTCAAGGAGTACTTTGTCAACCTTAACGACGGCTCCAACGAGGGCATGATGCACAAGACCCGCCCCATCTTCTCTACTCAGTTCCACCCTGAGGCCAAGGGCGGCCCGATGGATAGCTCATACCTCTTCGACAAGTACCTCGAGAACGTCCAGCTTTTCAAGGACAGCGAGAAGATCTTCAAGGACAACCGCCCTACCCAGCTCATGCTCGACATTCTCGGCAGGGAGCGTGTCGGCGTCGAGCCCACCACCCTCGCCGCGGCCGCCTGAGTGTGTGTAATGGTGTAGTCTAGGAAAAAAGATTGTTTTTGTTGCAAAATGGGGGTTTCCGGGTTTCACAGTTTAGGAGTGTCGCGGTTTGGCATCAGGGTTTTTGGGATATGGACGTCAGGGAGACAACGACGGTCCTCTCTTCCCCCCCATTTTTTTTTTATTACAGTTCAATATTAGCACACAAAAAGCTACCTCCCCAAAATTGAATTTCAGTATTTGTCATTTGGGGCTTTCTCCGCCCCTTCCTCGTATCTTTTACTGAGGTGTGAACCGCAATTGCCAATAGCAGTGACAACGTGGTCTCGATTGGGCGGCAGGAAAGTCATGTCATGGAGGGCTTCCGCCAACGTATGCACGTTAACCCACATCCATCCTCCATCATGCAACCACAGTTGACAGAATCAAAACAGTATACTGGCGTACATATCTTTTTTCTTGGCCTGTCTCCCATTCTTAATATCGATCCTCCCTTACTTCGTATCGACGCATCGGCCACTCTTGTCTTCCACCATCGTCGTCATGGCTGATCCGAACGGCAACTCGTCTGACCCCTAGGCAGAGGCAGTGGAAGAGTGGGAGCAAGAACCACATTGGTCAGAGGAGGAACAGGCATGGATGGATGCACAGGCTGAGCGTGGATTCAGCATGGAGGGTCTAGGGCCGCCTTCAATCGACATTGGTGATGCTACCGCTATTATGGACCGAAACGCTCTCAGGGAACTCAGGCGACTATATTTTGAACCCAGAGCGCAGCATGGTGGGAGTCCGCAGGTCCAAACTCCAGGCTGGCAAGCTCAGTTGTCAACTGGAAATACGTCAGAACAGCAATCCCAGGCTTCCAGACAGGGGACTTCCCCAAACTTTCCAGTTACGCCGGTTACACCTCAACAGACGTTATCGACATCGCTTTTCGACTCCCCTCAGTTTACTTTCAATGATAACTGGGAACATCTACCTGTTCAGGAAAGCCACAACGACTTCATCCTGGAGTATTCCGTACAAGGACAAGCCGACCTAGGGACACGTCAAAGACAAGCCATAGTTCCTTCGCAAGATGCAGGGCCTTTCCAAGATGTACAACCTTTGCAAGACTCACTGCAACTAGAGTTCCCGTTTGATGATAACTCAGTATATCTACCTGTCCAGGAAAGCTACAGCAACTCCATCCAGGAGTCTTCTGTGCAAGGGCAGGCTGACCTAGGAGCATATCGGAGTCAGGCGATAGCACCTACGCAAAATGCAGGGCATTTCCAGGATGCAGATCCTTCCCAAAATACACAGCCTTTGCAAGACTCACTGCAACTGGAGTTTCCTTTTGATGATGACTCGGGATACACACCTTTTAAGGAAAGCCATAACGACATTATCCCGGAGTCTTCGTTACAAGAACAGTCTGAACTAGGGACATATCAGACACAGGCAATAGCACCTTCGCAAGATGCGCAGCCTTTTCAAGATGCGTTGCCCTTTCAAGATGCATTGCCTTTTCAAGATGCATTGCCTTTTCAAGATGCATTGTCTTTCCAAGATGCAGAGGATGAACAGTCTGAACTAGGGACATATCAGACACAGGCAATAGCACCTTCACAAGATGCGCAGCCTTTTCAAGATGCGTTGCCCTTCCAAGATGCATTGTCTTGCCAAGATGCAGAGGATTTCCAAGCGGGGAGATGACGACATCATTAGAGGCAAGCGTGGGAGAGTCTCGGACTATTCTCGGTTGGGCTATCAGCAGTATTGACGCTACCTAGTAATATGATACATCCCCTGTATCTTCTCTTGTTAATGTTTCCATGTGTTCTCCTCCCACGGCTGCATCCTTGAACGACATTTTCGGTTGTTAGTCCGATCTTGATTCTCGTCTGAATTTTCGTCTCACACTTGACAATGTTGTCAAGTAGGCTGACGGTCGACGCTGCCGCCTCGCGGTAGTGCTGGAGATGCGCCTTCCGGGGGGGGGGGGGGGGGGGGGCTGGATGTCACGATACGGGGGAAGTGGTTGGCCTCGCGCGAATCACTCTCCAAAAGGGAAGAACGTGCAAAACGTGTCGGAAATTGGGAAACGCCTTTGCAGTCAACCAGCCACTTCCCGACGAGGAACGGAGCTTTCTTGTGAATGCCTGCCCGTCTCGCAGGCTGTGATTTATGTGTGGTATCGGGACGTGGACGGCACGTCTCTCTATGGAACCCCAAAGCCAAGGGGCAAAGATGCAGTCTAAACCAGCGTCTTGCTTCTGCCGTCGCAAAAAAAAAAATGGCACGAGCAAGAGCCGGGTCCTCCTTATCCACCCCCCCTCGTGAAGGGCTCCTCCATGCTCCAAACCAGGAGCAATTATCAGTTATGCAGTATTTTCTTCCCTCCTACCCCCCTCTCTGTCGCGGTGCCTCCGGTTTTCCTACGTGAACGCAACTATTGTAAGAAAGCCAGTCCTTCACTTCGCCTTCGCACCTATGCCAGATGTTGACGTTATGTGTTCTCAACACAGCCAAAACTTCCACACACTCGCCTCCCCCTCGAGATGTGCAATGGGACAACCCGACCGTTTGGTTCAAACCTGCCAAGTATCCGCGAGAAGTTGCTGCATTCCTCCTTTGCCCAAGATATTCTGGTGTTGGAGCTCTTGTCGTTGCGACAGCCGCCAGAAGGTCCAGGGTATAGGGGACACGCGCAACGTCCAGATTGTTGCAGTTGATACACGCGATTGTGGCCAATGATCTTGCGCGCGCAGCGCGTGCCTAAAACCGACTGTCGCGGTCGTCCGGGCGGAAACGGCGTCCACCATCGTGACGAGAACCAAAGTTTCCGCGGTCGCCCTGTCTGTATGGGCCACCTTCATTGATACCAGGCAGGTACCGGTCACTGACCATGCGGTTTCCACGGCGGCCATTGCCACCGCGTCTACCGCCGCGTGGTGGAGGAGGACCTCTGTACGGCGGTGCTCCGCCAGCCCCCTGTCGACGCCGCTCAGCTTCTCGGTGTGGAGGGCGAATGCCCACGAAATTTTCTTTGCCGCGGTCGACAAACTTGTCACCATTTTCGAAGGTGTATCGGTTAATTTCGGTCTCAGAACCCAGGTCGCGATCAATCTCAGTAGTGTAGTGGGAACGCATATTCCTAATGCGCCTAGCACCCAGATCATCAGAAACAGGCTGATAAGATATTGGGGGACTGGCGCGGGTAGTTCGGATATCGCCTCCGGGGAAGCCCTGAATTTGTCGTGGGGGTCTAGAACCGGGTCCGCGTGGCGCATCCCCTCTGGGTCCGGATGGCGCACCTTGTGTTCCGAAACCGCCACGGGGGCCAAGAGGAATGGCGTTCACATCTTTGACCGCGGGACCAGATGGTGCAAGCCTGGTTGGTTCTGGAGCTGGCCGTGCAGGCTGGGTTGCAGAGCCCGAGACCAGACTAGCAACGCCGTCGTCATCGTAGAGAACCTCGAAACGAATGCTTCTGTCGCGGCTTTGAGCCTGCTCCTCGTCAATCCATACTTGGACCTTGTCTGTCGGAACGAAGTCTACCCACAGCTCCTTGCGGTTGCTTTCATCCGGCCAGCGGAGGCCATGCAGGGCGTTGCGAACGCGCGAAGCCTTGGTGACAGAACTGAAGACAGCAAATGCGTGGGTCTTGACTTGGTCGAGGTAGAAAAGGTCGATGTCGTCATCGTTCGGCTCAGCATCAGCAGGGGCCGCCAGCTCGACGAGATGTGCGCGAACCGTGTCTTCCTTAAGGGGCCTCATAAGGTTCCTAATGTAGAGGGACTCGGTGGCATGATGCCTGGCTGCTTCGACGGTTCTCTCATCATCCATGGCACCGTGTTCGTCTTGATGGTTCGCGTTCTGGTGGGCTGGCTCAGGGGTAAAATCGACATTCATGGGCTCTTCGCGCGCTGCGGCATTCGAAGCATCGCCTTCATTGACCTCCTCATGAATTGCATCATGAGAAACAACCATCTTCGTGTCCTCGTCGCTTGCACCAGGCGGCGCCTGGTCCTGTTCCATAGGCTCGGCGAGGTTCTCTGAAATGACCCTCGCATCCTTCGCGATATCGTCAACGAGACTCGTGCCTCCTTCCAAGCCCTCCTTCAACGTCTCTTTGACTCCCTCCTTGACCTGGTTTATGACCCCGGCGATGCCTGGTTGCCCCGAACCCTCGGCATCGTTCTCCATGCCTGCGTCGATGCGATCCTGGTCTGCCTTGACACGTTTATGAGAGACCGACTCGGACGACTCGACTGGGCTCTCTGATCGTCGCTTCCGTTTCTGCGCATCTTGCGCTATCTCGGCAGGGGCAGGAGGTGTGGGGTCCAGCGCGGCGATCGACTGTGGAACGGTCGTAGTCTCCTGCTTATCCAACTCAGCAGTCGATGGCGGGTGGCTAGCTTCTGAGCCATTCTCGACTACTTCAACAACGGTGGTCTCGGCCTCAGCGACGACGGGATTGCTCGGAGTGGTGTCGATGGGGATGGTTTCAGCTGCGGTAGCCTCCTCAGTCTCGGGCTTGGGGCTCGCAGCCAGCTCAGGCTCTGCTGGAGATGCCTCTGTGTTTTGCGCAGCAGCCTCGTTATCGTTTTCTGCAAGGCGATCGACAAGTTCCTGCTTCAGGCCTGCGACTGCAAGTCCTCTGCGCTTCAACTCCGCCTTGAGTTGGACGACGGTTTGTTTGCTCCAATCCTTCATCGTGAATATTTGCTGGCTCGGCGCAAAGGCTGGAGCATAGCTAGTCGTCTGAAAGTGACGGCGTCGGTTGTAAGCAGGTGTGCAGAAGAATAAGATATGCCTTGCTGGGATGATATGCGCGCTTTGGAAAAATGTAATGTGGGCAAGTTTGTGTAGTTGGAAGGCTCTAGGTGAGGTGAGGTTCGCGGTGGTGGCATTGATCGCGTTGTCGCGACCTGAAAAATTGCCCCCGTCATGCACACCAGCGCCTCTCCACTAAGAGCCAGCACGTTGTCAGGCACGCTAGGAAAGCAAGAAAAGTCACTAGTGCAGGGGTTCCTTCCCTCCTTGATTGATCGATCCCGCCTGGAAAATATGTCATCTCTGCGAAAGGCCCCATAATTCTATTTCGCTAAAAGTTGGGCCGGCCATCTGCCGGGAGATCAGCTCTATCTAGGTCACGTGGATTGCATCGTAGAAGCGAGAGAGTGCATGTTGATAGGAAACCAGGCATCAAGGTCCAATTTAGTTCTTTTCCCCCTGCTCCCATGCATGTTTGTCCTATTGTATCGTTTGTATTAGTAGTGTTTCTGTCTGTCGAGTGTCTAAACAACAAAGTTCACAGTCGAAGGAGGGACAGAACAATTCAGACGAGGCAGGCAGGGAGGGAGGTTCAAGGGGGTCGGTCTACCAAGTGTGTGTGCACGGACCAGCTCTTTGGCTCATTACACCAAATAGGTAGGTAGGTAGATACCTAACCACCGTTCTGGCCTTGCCTGCCTGCCTACCTACGAATATTCACCTTGCCCGTAGTAATCGCCTGCAGGCGCGGGGCTTTTTTTCTCTGGGTTTTTTTTTTTTTTTGTCTCATCGCCATTGTTTCTCACCGCGTGGCGACTCGAAAAAGGACTTCAACGGCTTTCTTGTCCGACCGCCGCATCCGTCGCTGCAACCGCCGCAGACAATGCCATAAAGCTCCTGGTGCCTTCCGTCATTCTTTCGACCGGAACCACTTGAGGCACTGGCGTACTCCTTGCTTCCTGTCTCTGTGCGAAGTCACTGGCACATAGTCAAAAATAGAAGTCTTCAGATGAAGAAGCCACGAGGTTCGACTCGACAAAGAAATACACCTTTGCAGCTGCCATCATCGCCCAACACCTTCGTGAGATGACAAAAGCGTGACAGTCCCGCAGCGCCAGCAGTTCCTGAGCACCGACACCTTGGAATCTCATTCCGACCTTGCGCTTAATGCCACTCGGTCAACGCTACCACCAAGCAAACTTTGAGATGAATCGACACTCGTCGGGATCCGTGAGGAGTCGCTCACCGGCGTACACTCCGCCGATCAACAGGCCGCTCGGCCACAGCCGCCTCAGCGACACACCTCTCACCGATACTCCGCCAACAAGTGCGAGCGCCGGCAGAGCGGGCACCCCCGCATCCGACAGGATCCTGTCTGGCCGCGTCAAGAAGACGCCGCGCAAAGTCGCCAGGAGAAAAGAAGATGTCTTGAGCGAGAAGGAGAAGGAAGAGGAGCGCCGGCAGCTGGATGAAATGGATGAGGAAAGAAAGCTTTTCCCTGGCAGCGACAACTGGACAGAAGATGAACACAGGCTCTTCAGGATTTTGTACATGAGACAGTACTGTCCTCTGTTGCCGTCTCATTGGGACATGGACTTCCGAGGCATTCCCATCCCAGATATCCTCTTTGCGAGCTCTGATGCCCACCCGCCCGTCATCAACTCACGATCAGGCAATGATTTCAAGGGTGAGCTTCGATCAATGGTGTCTGAGGAATCGGGAGTTTGCTAACTTACAGTAGCAACCAGAGCGCTTGCCCGCCTAATTGAGCTCACGGGGCATGTACGAGGGCTTTGTCAGACGCGTCAAAGACACAGAGCAAAGATGCTTATCGAGCGGGAACTCCAAGAGTACATGAAATGGGCTGAACAGGATGGAGAGTACGGTCACCTTGACTACTTGCCGAACCTGATTATTGATATGGTGGACACAAAGATGACGCCTCAGGCAATTGAAGAACACATGCAGCTCCGTCTCAAAGCTGCCGCCGCCACCCACCGCGCACATTGGAGGAGCGACGAGGCGGAGTCCGCTGGCAATCATAAAGACATAGACGAACGCGAGCCCAAAATAGAAGACGATGAAGACACTGAGCCCGAAGACAATAGAGTTGTCCTCGTGCCCGACAAGTACCCGACGCCATCCCCGCAGAAGCCGCACACGGAACCTCCATCTACCCTACTGCACAACGGGGCCAACGACGATTTTGCTGGTGACCACAAACTTCCAAGCACGGAATTCGACAGCACGGCAGAGGGGTCGATCAGTGAATGGGATAAACTATACACCCGTCGCCCACCAGTCTTATATGGACTGTTCATCGTCAATACCTCCGTCATGGTGCTGACCATCGACTCAGCAAAAGAAGGGGACGAGGCCTACGTCAGCTATCAGGTCGAAGTTGGCTTCAGTAAGCGCTACCAGGCCGTATGGAACGCCATCACCATCGCAATAGTGGTCTGCCTGGCGAGAGATGCCATGATGGATATGAAGGAGGGCTTTGGCCACTCAATGATTGATGGAGACAGCGATCCTGATGCGTGATGCGACGGAAGGATTAGTTGAGGCTGCCATGGACATCGGCATGCCTCGAGCTTCTCCACTTAATGACCTGGACGGCTCTTTGAATGCGGATACCCCTATGTTGTTTTTATTGGCAGACGCTGCAGATACCACTTAGTTAATTATGATGCAATATCCCAAGAACACTTGCGTAGAGACAGCGTAGTCAGACGCCCGCCACCTTGAGCAGGGTGGTCTTGTTCGAATGGCCCGAAATGACATTCTAAAGAGTACGATTGGCTTATATGGCTGGAAATGGACACGGGCTTTGGCATGCTCCCCCGGTCCAAAATTGAGAGAACAATTGCCCGAACCCATGTGGATGTGTTTCTATCACACTAAGAAAGGCCGCGCAATTACGGATAGTATCTCGACGTCTCACAACATCGGCGGCAATGCACAAGTTCGGAAATAACCGGCGCCCCTCTCTATATCTCCGAGAGCCGTATCCGTAAAGGCTCGGCATTTTTGTGCATCGGGCCTTGTTCATATCGAGGGTCGGCTACCGAAGCAGACCACGAGAAGAAGGGGATGAAACTTTAGCAAACGGGGGCGGAGGGTCACGAGGAGAAATTTGGATTGAATTCATCACTTATCTCGTCTCATCCTATCACCGAGGGATCGCTCTGCAATCCTCGTGATTACGTATTATTCGCAGGGTTCTAATTCGTTACAGCCCGCGAAAAGGACCCTGTCAGCTGATTCATATCGTCTGTCACTGGCTCACGGGCGACGGGGCAGGGAGGGGCGCGCCCGCCTTTGCGAGCTTCTCGGAGCCGGACTCCGGCCTGGCCTGGTCTGACGTGATCCACTTCCTGCAGAGAACGGGGAGGATGGTCTTTCACCTACTTGGGGCCATTTGTCACTTTTTGGAGAACTGGTAGGCAATAAAGGATGGGCGGTGGCGTGTGTGTGTGTGTGGTGGATTGATAGGTCGAGAGCCGAGATCGGTGATTCCTTGGAATCCTCAATCCTTCCTGTCAAATGGAGCGGAGGGGGGGAGGGGGGCTTGGATATTCACATCCTTTTTGTCGTTTCCGTTCACAGGTTCTAATGATGACAGGGCAGATAGACAGTGAGACAGTTAACTGTGGCAGTCAGAGCTAGCCAGCCAACGTCAGGTTTGTTTGTAGCACCTTACTGTCTCAAAAAGTGCTCTATAGCATTGTGTTTATTCTAGAACCCTTCTATTGTGTTAAGTATTGGGCATAGTGCTTACACTTCGGTTTTTAGACTGTATTAAGTATTAAGGAGTCTTCGTATTCTTGTGTGCCTGTGCGTCCTTCAGAATGATCGCCTTAAATACGTGCCTCGGTACTAATGATGACAGCTGCCAAATCACCAGGCGTCTGACTAAACGGTGCTACCCAGATACCCAATATATTTGTTTGCCTCTTTTGTCGGATAGCGTTCGTATTGGGTGTGTTGCAGTGCATCTCGGGGAGGTAACTTGTGTCTTATTTCGGTAAGCCAAACGTTGGTACGGATGTGCGCTGCCCATCCGCTTAGGTGAATTTGGATTCCAGAACCTTGGTGAGAGACCAAACCGCAGGAGAGTGTCTGGGGATTAATTGGGTCGCACGCCCTTTCAAAAGTGTTGCATCTCGCTTCGGTCGGCGGGACAGTGCCGGTCGAGTGAGAGGTGATGGGAGGGAGAAGGGGTGCTGGATCGGCCCACACTAAGGATCTCCTGGGCATTATATGCGCGTACTCGTCCAGTATAGTGCTTCACGGCCTTACCGCCTTGTTTGATGCCGTGCTCATTGTTTTCTTCCCCGGCCATTCGTGTAACACTACGCCCCATATGCTGTCAGCAGGGGCATCAGTCAGTGAGGGACGAAACATCGACAGAAGGTATTTTAGAGTTGCCATGCAGTACGGATACGGAGACAATCTTGTTTGCAAACTCCGAAGTCTCTTCCTCTCAGGCTTCTGTGGGGCGGCAACCCAAGGGTTTGGTGCAGGACATTGACATGACGGAGACTAGCGTCCCTTCTTCCCCCCCTCCGCCAGACCGGAAGCCGGAGACTAAGCAAATGAGAGGCGAGCTCGCTAGGTAAGATGGAGTCAAGTCGCAGCGCAGGACGGCAGCACCCCTCCTTGGCCAACGAGGAGAGCCGGACCAGGCAAACCGGGAAAGGCTAATTACGCCGTAATGTATTTATTAGCTGGGACTGGGCCTAGGATTCTGGAGGCTTATCGCCTCATTGGACCCTCGGTTGTTGCTCTCTGGGTCCGGGTGTGATCAGGATCTGGGTACTGACATTCGTCGTGTTTTGGGCCCGACAGAGGGCAATCCTCGGTAGCGGTTAACAGGCAGACAGATTGCGGGTCAAACCTTAGCATCTCAGACTATCTCAAAGTACTAACCCACCTCCTCTTAAGTCACAAATTCTCCACACCACTAACTTCAAATTCTCTACACTACTAACTTTAAATCCTTAACTTCTAAGTTAACAAAAAAAGAAAAATAAAGCTTCTATAATAGTATATACTATAGCCTAATTATCTTTATCTAAAGGTTATATCTATAGAGGTAAATTTCTTTAAAAAGTTAATTTATACTACTATATTTTAGATGTACTTTAAGCTAATAGAGATATCTCTGTTTTCTTCTTTTTTTTGTAAGAAAAGGGTAAGCTGGTCTGTGCGTAGGTCTATGCAGGATTAAGCGAGAGACTTCAAGAGGTACTTTGATGACTCAAGTGCTGCCCTGTAATGTGTCTGCCTGTTAACTGCTACCCAATCCTCGTGATGATGCTTGTTGCTACTGTTATCCTGCATGCATATATAGTACATGTAGGTTGTGCTTTGACTCGAATCTTGTTTCTAGTTTAGACAGTGGATCTCGAGATGCACACCCTCACTACCAGACTCTCACAGTCAGACAGAAATAGGGTCGCCTTCGGGAACGATTAAAAAAACAAGCAAAGGCTCTGGGGACGCTCCCCGTCCTACCTACGTAGTAAGGGCCTGAGTGTCATGAATGCCGCGATGCTGGACGAAGGCTGCAGCAGGACGGGGCCGGCGTCTTGTCGCTTGCTCAGTAGGGTTGGACACCCCTGTCACCGAGGCCACTAGTGTCTTAGGGACAGGTCTCGTCTTGACCAATCAGAGGTGACCTGTTGTAATCCGTGACCTCTCAGCCAAGATCTCCTTACGACTGCCCTCCGATTCACCCCCATTTGTCGTCCGTCGCTCGTCATTGGGAGGCCCAGAAACAGCACGCAGTTGCAGGCGAGGCCCTTCTGTTCTCGTGATTTTCTGCCACCAACGCCGCGGTTTCTTCCATCGTCGCCCTGCTTACTCGATGCCACCTTCCGCTACACTACTCCCACCACATAATACCTACCTACTTACCTTACCTACTCGAGGACTACACTGTACCTGCTACCTGCTAGGCCAACACCTGCCTTGTCCGAGATCTACACAGGCCTCGGTGCTTCTGAACCCCCTTTGCCAGGCCCTCTCACCGCCCGGTGAACCCTCCAAAGGAGCCCACTGCCCTTCCAGGCGACGACTCCTACATGTCTGCCAATACAAGCAACAGCCGTTGTTTTCTCCTCAGCATGCACTCGAAATCACCATCTTTACCCTCCTAGTCCGCGCCATCACCTTGCCGACTCTCTCACCAGCGCTCTTGGCCCAGCAACTTTCCTTTGGGCCCTCAACAACCCCCCCGAGTCAACCCCCTGGCATTGGCCCCTCCTCCTTGCCTGTCTGTCTACTTTCTTACACACGCCACGCTGTGCTTGTAGAGAAATATCCAACAGCAAACGCACTCCTTCTTGGCCTGGAACGGTGGCGACCTTTGGCCACTTACCTTCTCGCAGCCTCCGCCCCCGACTCCAACCCACCTGCCCTGTCAGCCGGTTCTCCATAGCTATCTACTGACGTTGTCGCTGTTGGCTTGTGGGTGGTGCTATTCACGTACACTGACGCTCCTCCGGACTGTCGGCCGTCGAACCACCTTTGCACCGTGGTGGGGTTGTCTAAGTTCGGCTTGGCTTCGACATCTTTTGTCCTCCCAACGCGCCGCTCTCGACCGCCTGTCCATTGGCCATATCCTCTATACTCCGAGGCCGTTCATTCTTGCTTTTACCAAGACTCTCAGTCTTTGTAATTGACCACAATCCCTTTTGCCTTTGTTAAGGTCTGTTTACACACCCTGCCTCAACTCTAGCATCTCCTATTGCAGTCAATACCTCCCCTGCGGTCATTGCATTGTTACCCGACCGAACTACGCTTCTCTTCGAATGGCTATGGCCGATGGCATATCGCCGGCGGTACAGGGGTCGGCGAAGCAGTCCCTCTCGACCATTCGAACCGCTCTTCCATCTCGGCGAATGTCTCCCAAGGCTCGCGACGAAGGGACGCATGGCGCTGTAGAACAGACGAGAGGCCCCAGTCCAGTAAGCAGGGGCGAAAGCTTCGTGGCATCAGCAACCCTACAGTCGGGTTCCCGGCGTAGTCCATCAAGCGAAGCCACGTTAAGGTCACAGGGGAGGAGTCCGGTTTCGATGTCCAGCGACAGCTCCCCCAAGGATGTCAGGTCTCAACCAAAACCCAGCCCGGCACCGACGGCGACGAGTTCATCAGCGGGCCAGACGGGCCAGGTGTGCAGGTAAGACCCCGGCGACCTCTGAACCCAACCCCCCCCCCCCCCTCTGGGGTGTATTCTGATACTTGACAGCAACTGCGGTACGACACGGACACCGTTGTGGAGGAGATCTCCACAGGGCTCGACGATATGCAATGCTTGCGGCCTGTATCAGAAGGCAAGAAACGCCTCGCGGCCGACTAACCTAAAGAAGCCTCCGCATCTCGTTGCTGCGTCGCCAAGAACTGTTCCCCCAAAGATTGCCCCCGCGCCAGGCCCAGGTCCGAAATATCTCAGCGCTCCTGCTCCAACGTACGTCACCGAGGAACAGCAGCCATCAGGTACTTGTCCCGGCGGTGGGAAATGCAACGGCACGGGAGGTGCCGTTGGTTGCAGCGGCTGTCCTGCTTACAACAACCGCGTGTCAAAGTCAGCCCACCTGAATGTCGGTCAGGGGCAAGGTTGTGGAGGCGGGTCTTCAGGTCAGTCTGCTGGTGAGCCGATGGCCGTAGATGATCCTGCAGCTCCAGTCGACATTGCTGCATTGCAAGCCCAGGGGCAAAATACGAACCAGACGGTTGTGATCGCTTGCCAAAACTGCGGCACCACCATCACTCCGCTATGGAGGCGAGACGAAAGTGGCCACACGATCTGCAATGCTTGTGGTACGTGTTATCTTTTCCCAATGAACAGTCTGGAAGATGTTCCCAAGTGCTGACATAACCAGGGCTTTACTACAAGCTTCATGGTGTTCACCGACCTGTGACGATGAAGAAGTCGATAATCAAGAGGCGTAAGAGGGTTATCCCGTCTTCGTTCGGCGGCGAATGGACCGAGGAGATGCTCGAGGGATCCGAAACGCAGAGCGTGGCTCCGGAGGGTAGTCCTGAAAGGGGTACCATGAATGAAGACGGGTCTATCAATCTGGGCTTCCGACGTCGTGAAGAGAAGACGAACACCGTGACCATGCTTCCGGATCCTAACCTGCGCCAAACCCGACAAGGCTCGCCGCTGCCCTTCCACGATTTAGCCGCTTACCAATCATCGGGCTTCCGGACTTCACACCCCTATCCGGGATCGCTCAACGATGACAACCGACTCGCTCCGATCACGTCGATAACCGCCGCCGGCGAACGGCAATCTTCCCTGTCTCCTGCTTCCTTCCTTTCTTCTAGGAAGCGATCGCTATCTGCCGAGGGAACCCTCCCAGGCGACGGTGGGCCGGATACGTCGAAAAGATTGTCGTCCATTAAGTCGATCCTTAACCCCACCAGCGCAGATGACAGCCCTGCATACCACTCAGGCAGCGACGATGCTGCAGAACACTACGCCCGGTCTGCCATGTCTCCCGCCGCCTCTGCGCCGAGTCCCGGGTCGTACTCCAACACCCATACTACCCCTCTTCCGTCTCCAGGGCCAAGTAGCCAAACAAGCAACCTAGGTTACAGGCCAGATAACGAGAGGCTCAAGGCAGAGAAGAGAGCGGCTCTTGTTCGAGAAGCCGAGAGGATGAGGGAAATGTTAGCCGCGAAAGAGAGGGAGTTGGCGGAACTGGGCAACGAATAAACGCAAGCGAGAACGAAAAGTTACAAAACGAAGTAAACGAAAACGGAATTACCCAGCATTGAATTACTCGGCGAGCATCACGGGTACACATAACCCTTGGATTCGCTTTCCTTTTCTAATGCAACGGCGGTGCGATGGCGGCATTGTTTCATTACTACCTGGGGCGGACTAGAAAACAAATCGGACAGGGTCTGGCCTTACACAAAAAGTGTAAGGATTGCGTGTCTTTTCTGCTCTCATTTCGGCGCACTTTCAAAGGAATTCAGCATCCCGAATCTTTCTACCGGCACACGACACGGCGTTTCCATCGTTACGAGGGCCAAGCTGCAAAAAAAGGGGGGGCTCAGAGGGTATTTTTCACCACGGACAAGTGAATTGCGAAAGGATTAGGTTGGAATTTTTAATGTGTTTCTCAAGTCGTTGTCGAAGGGTCTGGACAAGATATCAAGTCACCACGTTGAGACTGGAAGAGGCGTAGAGATGGCGAAGCCTCTCAAAGCATGCGAGGCAACCAACAAAAGGAAGCGTCACCGGACGACGCGGGTTAATCGCCCCTTTTTTGTTTCTTTTTCTCTTTCTTCCTTTTTTTGCGCCATAGTTTGCGTGCCATATCCTCGCAAGAGGAAGCATAGTTACTTGCTTGGGGGGGGAAATATGAACGGTTGGTGTGTGCCTTTCTATAATGAGTCTCTATTTCCCTCCTTTCCGTGTTTGGACAGTTCGTCTGACCGCGCCGAGACTTTTGATGTTTGCCGGCACTTTTTGCCGGTTCCTCGCTCGGCCTACAGACGATGACCAAGGTAGGCAGTAACCTTTGACAGAGTCCAGTGGTTTGAATTTTGATGGGCCAGGGAACTGCGGTAATGGTAATGAAGGCTTATTTGTGACTTGGTGTTCAGGTCAGCCGTTTCAAGCTCTCACCGTACCGCTCGCGCCCCCAATAGAATGGATTGGATGCAGAGGGGGGGGGCAAAATGATGTGAGCAGTCTTTGCCGGGCACACAACATGTTTGTTTCGAGGGCAAAATCAGGTCTGTTTAGTAGCCGTTGCGGATCCCACAAGCAATACCCTACTTTTCCCAGTCTCCCTTTCTCCTTACACCATCTAAAGAAATGTGATACACTGTGCCTCCCTACCTGGCACAACTTGCCATCGAACAAACGGAAACGAGGCCCACGCTCTTTCTCTCCCCAACTCACACACAAAACAAATACTGCTCGTGCTTTACGTCGTGAACGCACACAATATACACAGCCGACCCAGCGGGGCCAGACGCATCCACAATAGGGAGGTTTCTGCCGGATTGTACAGGGTTGTCCCCTACCTCGTCGCTTCTCTTCTCGTGTTCTCTTTCTCGGATTTCTTGTCAGAACCGGGGGTCATCGTTGGTTGAATCGTTGTGTGGAAGTGTTCGTTTTCCTTCTCTTCAGTATCTTGATTGCCGAAAAAGAAAAGAAAATCCTCAGCAAATCCGATCCAACTATGCTCGTATAACGGGTTGAAATTTTATAACGGGGAAAGAATCCGCGCCCCTTTCCTTCCCACCAACGGTTTCAAGGTTGTGGGGAAGGTAAACAGAAGGCATCCGAGAATGACAATTTTGGTCTTGTGTGGTTAAAAAAGGGGCAACTAGCTTACACCTGCTCTGCGCCCCAGCCGCCGTCGGCCTCGCGCATGTTGGCTGGCGGCTCGATCTGGGGGACGAACTCGAGGACGACGTAGGCGACGCCGATGAGGCCGACAATGGAGCCGGCAATGATCTTGAAGACATTGTCGGAGAGAAGAATGGAGCCGATGAAGATGTAGACTGTGAGAAGGACCGCCGCGTTAGAATCGCCAGTGCTTTTTGCGCGGGAGTCGGTTCGCTTGGAAAACTTAAGACTTACAGACGCCACGGCCAATGAAGGAGAAAAGAAAGGACGCGTAACGGGAGACTTGAGGAGGAATTTGGAACTCTGGAGCCCAGGTTAGAGAAGCCGCGCAATATACAAGAGAGTCATAAAGTACCGAGCAGAGCGGTGCCTAGTCGAGTCTTCATTAGCTATGTCACTGGCAAAAACAAGCGCATGCGAAGGCTGAAAAGAGGGTAAGCTTACAAAGACCGAAAATGATCACGTAGGCGCCAACAATTATGCCCTGGCTATACGAGTATGATAGTCAGTCAAGATCCAAAAGATGTCTCTGCCGCCCTGTGTCCTTTTCGTTGCGCTGAGGGGGGTTCTTCGTCGCACGAGGAGCCGTGCGCGCGCGCATACGGACATGGGGGGAGAGGTCCGTCGGAGGAGATGGGTGCGACGTACAAGTTGAAGTGGAAGAATTGAGCAATGCCGCCCAGGACCATGATGGTCGCGGTGGCCAAGTTGACGAGGCGACTGATGAGAGAACCATGTGGTTAGCGATTTGCGATTGCGCCAAGAACATCCAGAGAGCTGCAGGGTAGCTCTGCAAGGGTTTTGTTTGGAGGGACCTACAAGGTGTCGGAGAGCTCCATTTTGACGGATCTGCGATTGCGGATGGTGTAAGGAACGGACACGAGTTCGATGTCGGGTGTCGGGATAAGTGGCAGAAGAGAAGGAGAAGAAGAAGAAGCTGACGTGGATGGAGTGGCCAGGCAGCCGGATATCGTGGGTTTGGGAGAAGATGTGTTGTGTCTTGAGTGGATGTGAGGGAGCAAGGTGGATGCAAGGTGTGACGTCCGAAAAAAAAGGCTGACGAGTCAAGCTCGGTTGTGTTTGGCTCCTGAAGCTGGGAAGCCAAGCAGGTTAGATACAAGGAATGGCGGTGGATACCAGACGGGGACAGGTACTGATACCCGCCCGAGACCAAGCCGCATGCGCAAAGTATATGCCCAATCGGCCAAGCGTAAAGTATTGAGTACTGGCACCAGCCACGTACGGACCCCCAGCCTCTATCTGTAAGGGGGCTCTCAGTGACACTAACACCCGCTCTGACAGGCGCCGGATGGGAGCTCAGTGACCGCCTTCCGGAGTTGGCCGACATGGGCCTGTGAGGATTTGCAGCGCGGATTGGCTGTTCATTGACAATGCTTAGCTAAGGTGAAGTTAGGAGAGCTTCACGCGATCAAGCTTTCAACAGCTTCGGTTCGGTTGAGGGTCTAATATCAGGACCTCTGCCGCGATCAACTGTTACTCTCATTCATTCCGCTGCGTGCTGAAATGTGAGAACGCTCGTTCAATTTTATCATTCGTCATCGATTGTACAATAACATCCGCTTCATGTTCTGCTGGTCATGTTGATCCTTCGAGCTTCAATACCCAAACAGCGGCCCATTGGCCGGCTGCCAGGGCGAGCTCTGTTCGCAGGTATCGTAAGCTTTCGGAGGTCAATACACACTCCTCCGGTGCAAATGAAACACCACTCTCTTATCAAAGATATCAGAAACATCGGCATCATCGCCCATGTTGACGCTGTAGGTAACCATCCGATCCGGGACTTGCATTAGCAAGCTAGCTGACGCTGTCACAGGGCAAGACAACAACGACTGAGCGCATGTTGTATTACAGCGGCGTGACGCATCGTGTAGGAGGTGTGTGGTGTTGACCGGAACTCTCACTCAAACCCTTCAAGCCAAGCTCCGCTCCCCTGGTGGATTAGAATTGTGGCTTGGAGCAAAGGAAGACTTTCATCAAGGGTCCAGGCTGACGACAAAACTACAGATGTCGATGCAGGAAATACAGTGACCGACTTCCTCGATCTGGAGCGGGAGAGGGGTATCACAATTCAGTCAGCAGCCATCACTTTCAACTGGCCACTGCTTGAGGAGTGTCCGCAGGGCACGAAGCCAAAAACGATCAACCTCATCGACACCCCAGGCCATCAGGACTTCAGATTCGAGGTCGACAGATGTCTACCCGTTCTTGATGGCGCCGTATGTATCATTGACTCGGTCAAGGGCGTGGAAGCTCACACGGAGAGAGTATGGGCTTCGGCGCACGACCACAAGATCCCTCGCATCGTCTTCGTCAACAAGCTCGATCGAGAGGGCGCTTCCTTCCGCAAGTCAGTGCTGGAGATCGGGTCCCGCCTGAATGGATGGCCGCTCGTTTGCCAGATTCCATGGTGGGACGGCGACCAGTTCGTGGGCGTTATTGACGTTATCGACCGCGTTGGTTACCGGTGGAAGACGGAGAAGCAAAAGACCAAGTACGGGTTCGCAGATCTGCAAGAGGTGCTCTCGGGCAATCCCCTTCTTGAGGAGATCGAGACAGCTCGCGAGAGGCTTGTGGAGGGACTTGCTGAGTGGGATGAGGTCATCATGGACTTGTTCGCTGATGACCCTAGTAAGATCACTGGAAAGATGTTGAAAGACAGCATCCGAAGAGCCATCCGTAGCGGCGATGGTGCTGTCATACCTGTGCTAGCGGGTGCAAGTTTCCGCCACATTGGCGTAGAACCCTTGATGGACGCCATCGTCGACTATCTCCCCAGTCCAGACGAACGCCCAGAGCTCGAAGTCCGTGCAGGGCCAGCCAAACATAATCTGGTGCAGCTTCTCGGGAAGAACACGGAGAAAAAGTCTGGTAACCACCGTGTCGCGGCTGTGGCCTCGGTCTTCAAAGTCTTCAACCACCCCAAGGAGGGGGTTTTGAGCTTCGTGCGGGTCTACTTTGGCGAACTCCACAGGAATTCGTCTACCTGGAATACGCACAGCCAGCAAGCTGAGCGGCCGTTCGGCTTATTGCAGATCTCTGCGGCGAAGACGGAAGACATACAGCACCTCGCCACGGGCCAGATCGGCGCCATCAAGGGCCTGAAGAAGGCACGTACGGGCGATACGCTCATCACGGCCGTAGCTCAGAGACAGGTTCCGGACTCACTCAAGAACATCCAGATTAGACCGCCAGAGATCCCCCGCCGGTGGCTTTCCTCGCCATCGACCCGCACGGCACGACTGCCGCCAAGGAGCTGGAGATCGCGTTGGATAATGCATCCCGAGAGGACCCCAGCTTGAGGTGGAGCCGCGACGAGAAGACGGAGCAGTTCATCCTCCAGGGCATGGGCAAGCTGCATCTGGACATTGCCGTCTACAACCTGAAGCAGAACCCCAAGGTTCAGGCCGACTTCGGCCCCATAGAAGTCGACTACAAGGAGTGCCTCACCTCTACAGTTGGACCGCACCACGTTACTTTCGACAGGGTCGTCGCGAGCAAGTCGGGCAAAGTATCGTGCAGCGCTGTCCTCGAGCCTCTGGAAGAGCATCACCGCCAAGCCGGCCTGGAGCCCACCATCGAGCGTGACGGAAACATGATCCACGTCATCATCAACCTTCCGGAGGACGGCACGGCCAGCTTCGATCCGGAAGAAGCGCGCCAGCAGCTTATCAACGGCGTCGTCTCCGCCGTCGCCCGCGGCCCGCGCCGGGGCTCCCCAGTGCAGGGCTGCCACATCACCATCACCGTTGACGCGGCATCCACGGAAAACCCGTCGGGTGGTCACTTCACCGGCGCAGCGTCGCGCGCGGTGCGCGAGGCCCTCCGCGAAGCGCACACCGCTCGCCAGGCCATCGGCATCCTCGAACCTGTCATGCTGGTGCACATCAGCTGCCCCGAGGCGGCGGCTGGCATGGTGCAGCATGACATCAGCTCCGGGGCCGGCGGACACGTACTTGAGGTCAACGACAAGTCGGCCGAGTCGAGCTCCCGGATTGACGTGAGCAGAATCTACGCGCCGCCGGACCCGTATGAGACGGTGGCGTCGCTGCGGGGGAAGAAGTCGATGGCGCGGACGGTAGAGATTGTGGCCAAGGTGCCGTTCAAGGAGGTGCTTAATTTCGACGAGCATCTCAGGGGTAAGACTGGCGGCCGACACTCGATGACGATGGCGTTTGACAGCTTTGACCGCGTCGTTGGCTCGAGGGAGAAGGCACTGTGAAGGAAGGCGCGCATGAGTGCATGTATCTATAGTATTAAGGAACGGCTCTCACAGATGAGGGTCGTCGAGTGTACAACCGTAGAACTTCTCGCTATGAATCCACAATACGCAGCATGTAGAGCTGTTTGAAAATGACCCAGAGCTGCCCCGGGTGTTGTTGAACGAGACCCACACACCACCGGGTGCCGGCCGGGTCGATCCCAAAGTACCCCGGCCTGCTGCGCGATAGATGATTCTGACTAAGCGGCATTTTACATTCGAAGCATCCGTACCTTGGTCTCAGAGGAATCAGACAAAAAAAATGGCAAAGCTCACTCGCATCGACGACTGCTGGAAAAATAAGAGGATAAGGGGCTTCCCAAGGTAAAAGAAAAAACGTTAAAAGAATTGATAGCACAACCTGGTTTCGATCCAGGGACCTCTGGGTTATGAGCCCAGCGCTCTACCCCTGAGCTATTGTGCTTATGCTTTTCTGTTGAGAAACTCTCTCAGAGCCAGCATTATGACGCCTAGGCAACGGGGCTATGACTCACGCCCCATTATTCGATTACGCTCAACACCCAACCCGGCGCTCAAGGTCTCCCAATAAGCTATCGATGTGCCCAGATCACCCCCTTCGAAAGATGTTGGTTCGAAACGTCGAGTCTTTGGGCGTGGCGGTGATTGTCTTGGGAAGTGCAGCACTGGCGGTTTTGTACTTCGGTTCGCAACATGGTCAGCTGCACGCCACATTGAGTCTCAGAGGCATCATTTCAGTACCCCCCCAGCGTGCACGTTTCTCTGTCACGGTAGGTGGGGAATTCAACTCTTGTCTAGTCATATCATCACAAGCATCAACAGCCTTGCGGTACGGGGCCATCCGTCTACTTCCACCGCCTGAAGGGGTGCGCCTCCGTGTTGAACACAAACTCGTCCAAGCTCACCAGACCCGGCTCGCTAAAGATGAGGTAAAAGTACTTCAACGTCTCCCCCATCCAGAAGGATTCCATCGAGTCGGCCGCTGGCGGCTTCCCCTCCGCTGTGACGTCCCAGACCGCCGTGTTGGCCAAGTCCGTGGTCGTCGCGTTGTCGATGGCCGTCCACATGTCCCACGCGGCCTCAAGCAGCGCCTCGTCCGCCGTGGCGCGGTACATGACGAAGACGCTCTCGATCGCTTCGGGACGGAGGATGTACCTCCTATCCGGGACGGCGGAGAATCCCTTGACCAGGCGCTCCTGGCGGATGACCTCGTCAGCCGACCGCTCCCTGTCGTCATCCGAGCCCTTCTGCGCGCGCTGGAGCACGTGCTTCTTCCATAGGCTCTCGTCCCACTCGCACTCCTCCTTGGTCGGGCAGGGAACCATGTAGAACGTCTCGGGCATGATTCCGTGCGGGAAGACGCGGTAGGTGTAGATGCATCCGTCCACGAGCTTCCGCGCGAGGGTGAGCTGGTCTGGATGGTTGAAGAGCTTCCCGCCGAGGGCCATCAGCCCGCCCATGAAGCAGACGAGGTGCTGGCCCTGGGGCTCGAGCTCGATGCCCGATTTGCGGGAATGCGCTTGGCCTGCGATGAGGATGTCGTCGTTTCCAGGCGTCATAGGACGGAATAGGTTGTGCTCGATAGCCGGGGCGATGGCTGTCTCGTACATGGTCTTGTACATTGGGCTACGGCCGCCGACGAGGGCGGACATTTTGGGGAGGTATTCGTAGAGGGAGTCGGCCATGGCGCCGAGGGTGAAGTCGTCGCCCTCGTAAAACACCTCCTTCTCTGGATTTACCACGAGAGGCCACAGCCCGGGCAGGTTGGTCTTGTTCTGCTGCGCTTCAAATATCTCCATGATGCGCTGCGTCGCGTCCCACCATTTCGGGTCTCCCGTCAGGATCGACAGGCGGGTGAACTCCATGGACAGGCTTCCGATTTCAGCAACAAGCTCGCCGTTGCCGACTTTCTGCGGCTCGCCCTTTGCCGCATCACCAACCTTCCACCGGGTGATGGGCATGCGGTTCGGCGTGTCGAATGCCTTGTACAGCATCTCGCCAACCTCGGCCGCCTTGCGGAGCAGGCGGACGTCGCCGCTCAGGTCGAAAGCCGAGAGAAAACCGCCAAGGTACCGGATGTTGGTCTCGAAGACGTTGATTTCGTCCAGGTCGGTTTTCGTGAAGTCGATCGTCGCGGCGGCCGCCACGGCGTCAGAAAACTCGTCCTTCATGCCCGTGATCCACAGCGTGTCGAGGGAGTCCACAAGAGTCGCGGCCCAGCCTCCAAACGTGTTCCGGCGACCCCCTGATACCGGCGTAAGCTCGTCGGCGAGCCAGGCGTGCTCGCGGTACGAGGCCCATGCTTTCGAAAAGGCTTGCTTTACAGCCTGCTGGCGCTCCTCGCGGACGCGGCGCCGTACGCTGCTTTCGGGCGGGAAACGGGCCTGGACCTGCGGAAAGCGGACAGAGGGCGCAACGGGGAGTTGCCGAAGCTGAGGCGCCGGGTGGTTGGTCTTGACTGTTCTCCAAAAATACGATTTTTCCAGTTCTGTCATCCATTCTACTGGCTTTGGCGGCAGTATAGATGACGATGATGATGGGAATGTGGGAAGGGCTCCATCGTTGTGCCAGAGGAGGAATAGGAGGAGGGAGACGGAAAGACCTAAGAGGACAATACCCGGCAATTTCCGCCTTCCTAGTAGCATTTTGTGTTATGGTGCCCGTCGTCGTCTTGAGTGTTGGGCGTGAGTGGTCAGGATGGTGAAAGAGCTGAGATATCTCGGAAGCTTTCTCTGTCTTCTCTTGTCCTCCGCCTCTAGCTTCTCTCATGCGACGTGATGGGCAGCGCGGTCGGATTCCTGTCCTGATCGCGTCCGTTCGCTTAGGATTAGCGCGACGTTTTTGGGCCCGTTCGAGTTGGCTCTGCTTGCTGTGCCGCTATCCGAAGAAGAAGAAGGAGGAGGGGGTTGGAAATCCGGCACTTAATATGAGTCGGTTGGTGCGGGAACCCCTGATGGTGTTGCTGTTGGTTTGAACCTTGATTGCACCCATGCCAAACTGCAAAATGTATATCGGCAATTAACCCGCTGGAGGGGGAAAACCACAGCACCTAGTCGCACAAGGCTGAGTGTCAGATCCAGTTCCTTCGCCCGACGCTTTGTTTATTCGAGCCGAGGTCTTTTTGTAGGCCCGGGTCCGAGGGTAGTTGCTGTGCTGCGTCATGGCAATACACTCCCGTGCTTAGACCTCACTAACGAAGATGTTGCTGAGGCCAGTGACCAGACAGACAATATGCAGCAGAGGCCATCCCGACACTCAGTGTAGAAAACCTAACGAGACCGAGGGACAGTCTATGATTTATACTACTAGCAATCACCAAAGTAAATAGTACGGCAGTCTATAGTGCTTGCTCCATTAACCGGCGGAAGAAGCGATGCCTTCCTTTCTACTACATATATAGAGTCTCTTTCTCAATATATACACTTTTGTAAACAAATCTAGTCTCTACTCGCACTGGCCCGTTCGGTGCTCTCCAAGTCTAGGCCAGCAGCGCGTCAACCTTGGCCGTGATGTCGACCAGCGGCCACTCTGTCCGGTTGCCCGCTAACGTGCCGGGGACGATTGCGTCCGTGAACCACTCGGACACGGCGTAGACGCTGCCGCCGATCTGCACCGTCGTCACGCTGGCCGCGCCCTCGGCCGTCAGCGGACCGGGCACCGTCCCCAGCACCTCCGCCTCGTCCCACGAGGCGTCCCGCGAGCGGAGCACCACGGTGCCGGCGGCGTCGTCCGAGACGAGGATGACGGTGCCGTGGTAGCGCGAGGGGATGGAGACGCCGTCGAGGGCCGTGCCGATGAGGGCCGCTCCGGACAGCGGGACGCGGACCGGCGTTCCCTCGGCGGCCGAGAGGTTGAAGCGGTACATCTGCCCGTCCGAGCTGTCCAAGACCAGCAGCGACCGGCCGTCCGGCGAGGTGACAAGGCCCGAGAAGCCGTGGACCGTGTGGTCGGGGGGCGTCCGCAGGTACCAGGCGGCGGCGTCCTCGCCGTCGGCGCTGACGCGGATGATGCTGCTGGGGTAGGTGCCGAGGGCGAAGGTGGTGCCGTCGGCGCTGTGCGCCGTGTCCTGGAAGCCGCCGTACACGCCGCCCGTGACGGCGGTCAGGTTGCGCCGCCAGAGTTCCTGGCGGGAGCCGAGGTCGTACTTGACGAGGAAGTTGTCGCCCGCGATGTTCTGGCCTGACGTGTCGAAGGCGCTGCCAGCGTCGACGATGATGGAGAGGCGGTCCAGGGGGTCGCGGCGGACGCCGCTAGCGTGCAGGAGCGGGTTGGAGCTCAGGCCCGGCAGGGAGATGGTGTCGACGATCGAGTTTGCAGAGGGGTCCCAGACGGCCACGGTGGCGTTGTAGAGGACGCTGAGAAGAGTGTTAGACTACACATCTCGGGGAGCACCGTCGGGGGGGCTGGTGATGTACCTCAGATACGCGACGCAGCGCTTTGTGTCGTAGTCGGCATTTTCGGGATACAGTTGAAAAGCCGAGATCGTCTTGTCTCCTGAGACGGGAGCGCAGTCCCTGCCGGCAGAAGAGTTGATTGGGCTAGCCAGGCTGGCCGGCAAGGCCAGCAGGGCTGGCAGGAAGACAGCGAGCGTGTTGATCATTATGGATTACGACGGAAAGGTTACTTGCTCCAAACACCAAGACAAAGAGACTGCATGCTGTTGATGGCAGGAAGCATGTACATTTAATAAGAGCCCAGGACCCGACGAAATCTAACCTGCGCGTTCCGATATAGGCACAGTCCCGAAGGCCTACGGAGAGTCAGGGGCGCCGTGGAGGACGGCAGTTACACCAAAGACGCGTCGTAATTTAAAACACCGGCGTATACCACCAGGTTGCCTGACTTTGTCACCGCCGTCTTTCCGAGGTAGTATTCGTCTTTGTAAGTTTGGCGTGCGATGCGCTATTGACTCAGGCAAACGTCCCTTTCGAAGTGGACCATGGTGTGCTAAGTAGTACCCGCGGGTGCAGGGTAGGATCGGCGGGTACGACACATATCCGGCATCACAACGCCGGCTTATGTTTTGTTTACTACATAGTAAAGCAGCCGCCGCCAACAACTCGTAGCCAAGAAAAAGCAAAATACGTAAGGACGGATTCATTAATTGGGTTGCTGCCGGTTAAGGGGACCCCAGCGTTGGGAGTCGGTTTCTTATACCTCATTCGATATTGAATTGTAAAGATCGACATACTAAAGGGCTGAACCTCCGGCCTACACAGTAAAGTGTCAGCTACGCTGCGCTGTGCTTGGCCAATACATCACGCTCGTCGGCAGCAGGCCTTCTTGACATGTCAATGTCGGCGTGAATTGCTGCCTTATACCCTCTTTCGCCAGTAAGTTGGAGGCCAATCCGAGCGAGATTCGATCAAGAGGCCGGGCATGTCGTGAAGCCACGAAATCCAGAAATGGCCGGCTCCGCTGCTCCCTTCGTCCACTCAGCGATTGAAAAAAGAAGATGGCACGGGTGTACCAGGTTTCATGGTGTCGTATGGAACAGCGACACTCGTTCGTAACACGGCTTCAACCCTGGATACCATTGACGCTATTATTCCGCCTGACATCAGGCCGCGTTTCTTGAGGGACCATCCAAATAGCAAAGGAAAAACAGAGAGAAGATTCCAGATGCTTGCGCATATGCGTTCCGTTAGACGTGACGGCCATGCCAATAACCACTTGTGGATGGGTAGAGCCATACCTTCATTGGTGCGCCTGCGACCCTAGTTTATGGGACTAGTATATGAGAGAATCGGCAATTGTTCTCGTCTGGAGACTTACAGCAGCAGTCTCGGCTAAGGCTTGCTCTGAACCAGCCCCGCGGCACCCAGTTCCGCCAACATACAATCTCCCCCCCTGCCAGCATTTAGCAGGCAGGGCGCGGACCGACGTATGGCGGCCGCTGTTGTCCGTACAGGAACGTGGACTCTAGGCGGCTTGCACCTAATGCTCTTGTGATCGACCGAAATCATTTTGTCTGATAGTTGAGCTGATGTCTGAAGGTTTAGACGAATGATGTACACAGGATGCGGGACAAGTGGACGGTCGACATTTCCCGCCAACTCCGCCTCACGTCACTTCGGAAGAAGGGCACTAGATTGTGCAACCCCGCATCATTACCGATCGTGCTGATCAAGCCTGGCTATTCTTGGGCCAGCGGTTTGGTGAGCGTGTGTATCGTCCAGGCTTCCCAGTCAAGTCGGGAAGATGGCGGCGGCGGCGGCGGCGGCGGCAGCGGGGTGCTAGTGGACATGGGGTCGGATCAGTAGATCACAATCAACGTCTTCGCTGTGGTTTGTGCATGTAACCGTCGAGGCTTTGGTGGAGGAATCGCAGCAGTGAAGGGCACCAGCGAAGCCGATTAGGCGCCGAACAGCAGACGTCTCAAGAGGCCAAGAAGACCACACGTCCAACGCAGCGTTCTAGCGCGTCTCCACGTGGCCGACGTGGGGTCTCGGAGTGTCTGTGATCCGCGAGGCGTAGATCCAGGGTCGGTCGGGTTGCGACCCCTTGCTTTCGACAGTTGGCGATCCCTCGCCCAGCCACGCGCATGTCGGTTGGCGGAGGAAACAAAAGATACGTTCCCCTGTGCGGCGTGGGTTGGGGGTGTTGTCGGTGTGCGTGTGTGGGCTGGAGTTGGGACGGTCGTAGTACGGGAGGGGGGAAAGCCCAGCATGCGCTTGATTTGTTTCCCTCGACGTTATTTTTAGGCAGCAGGGTACCAGAGAAACAATCAGACAAGCGCCGATGGTTGCTTTGCACTGCCCTGCAAAGGGCCGGGCATGGCAGGCTCCGAAGGACCGGAGCCAATCAGGCGTCGATCGCAAACAGGGGTGGGAGGTTCGCCGAGGTGTCTTGCCTGCAAGCCTCATTGGGCCCGGGGCCGCAGGAAACAATTCAGTCCTTTCCAGAGGGTGAATAAACAACAACTGGGCCTATCATCAATGATGAACTTGCGCGCAGAATTGCGCTGCGGTCCCGGCTTGGCAGGGTACTCTCTCTCTCTCTCTCCGACCGACCGAGAGACCAACGATGCCCAGCTAGGTAGTGCTGACGGCTGACTAGGGCCCGGTAGGTATGTCCAATTCATTTCGGACGACACAATACCCGGGTGACGAATTCTCGGGGAATACTGTTTGCTGCTCCTCTCACCTCTCATCCATCGACCCGCGCTCAGCCCCAGCCCCAGCAGCCTTTCCTGCATGTTGGTTAACGATGACATGTCTTGCGCTGAAGGAATCCCAAATAGTTTACATGTCCCAGAGGATGCGGATTCTCTCGAGTATATAACAATGGCTCGCATCCCGTCTCCGTGATGTCTTCTTTCTTGCACCTCATCACACGGTAATCACACAAGCCTTTTCAGTCTACGGTTTCCTATCGTCTCTCATCTTTTTTCCTCTTTTTTTTTCTTTTCCTTATTTCCTTGACGTCTCTGTTTCGGCATCTTCGTCTGCATCAGCCTGCCTCAGCAATAATCAGTCACCCGACCAGAAGAAAAGAAAAGAAAACCATCCAATAAATCAGACAAAATGCACTTCACTCCTGCCGCCGCCGCCGCCATCCTGGCCTTTGCCTCTTCGGCATTCGCCGCTCCCTACAGCAGCAGCAGCCCTCCGGCGCAGACTTCCACCGCCGCTCCCGCCCCCGCTTCCACGCTGTCTCTGACCCAGCAGCTCTTCCTCTCCGACACGTGAGTCCACTTACACGCTCTTTCCGAGCCCCCCCCCCCCCAGACTAACAGCCCCACGCAGCGCCGCCGACCGCTTCAAGCTCCTTCCCGATGACAAGCAGTTCGTCTTCGACTTCAACCAGCCCCAGAACAACCCCGGCAAAGGAGGCGAGCTCATCGCTGCCAACCGCAAGACTTTCCCTGCTCTTGTCGGCACTGGTAGCGGAATGGCAGTGGGAAGACTGTCTGGTTGTGGGATGAACACCCTGCACGTCCACCCGCGCTCCGCCGAGCTCCAGATCGTCGTCGAGGGCCGCATCATCACCGAGATGACGCCCGAGAACGGCGTCGTCGAGGCCGCCGACGGCAAGACCCGCCGCGTCATCACCACCGAGCTGGGCCCCTTCCAGATGACCCCCTTCTACCAGGGCTCCATCCACAGCCAGTTCAACCCGGACTGCGATGACGCCATCTTCATCGCGAGCTTCGCCTCCGAGGACTTTGGCACCGGCCAGGTCGCCGACAGCACCTTTGCCTTCAGCGACGACCTGATCGCCGCCACCTTTGGCCAGAGCATCGCCGGCGCCGACATCGACCGCGTCCGCAAGGCCATCCCCGCCAACATCGCCCTCGGCGTCGAGGAGTGCCTCAAGAAGTGCAACATCAAGAAGCGCTCCGTGTAAAGGGACGACGTTGCCCATGGCGATGCATGAGTACATGAAGCATCGCAAACGATAATGAGATCCTGGGAGGGGGCGGTAAATGTCGGGTCTTGGGTCGCATAGTACGGCGTTTCTTTTGGACGGCGGTCATTTTGTTTGGCTTGGTTCCACGGCACGGTTATAGGCATAGGCTTGCATCAGCGTTTCTGTTTTTTACTTTACTTCTTCTATCCTTCTTCAGCCTTTTCTTCACCTTCGCTCTTCTTTCTGCCTCGGTATGTCATGGCATGCTGGATGAGAACAGAAGTAGCCTTTTTCTTTTTCTTTTTTTTATAAAAAAAAACACTGTATATACGCACTAAAAATACCACCAACACTCTTTTTGGAGGGAAAACCCCGTATCTCGCCTCTCCATGTTCTCAGTGACGACAGCGGTATAGACACTCGCTTTTCTTTTCTTTTTTGTATCCAAACAGCCTCGTACTCACTGAGCGTGGTCACCAGCGCTTGATTAGGGCTGTACACAAGCTTCGGACACATTATTTCTAGGACCATGGTCACATGTAGGCCCCTGATCATTGCAACTGCTTTAGCAGAGTGGCTTCTCTACAGACGAGGCCCGACGTGAGAGCCGTATGCATGATGATTTAACGGATGTTTCATTCATTGCTACTTCCGCCATACCTCATCTCTTAATCCGTCAAACACCTCGACCACGGCCCTCCCGCCGTGGTTTACCGCTCTAGTACACGTACCTGAACCCGGCAGCCCGCTTCTCCTGCCTCAGGTCGACGGGGAGCTTCTCGCCGCTCTCCGCCAGGGCCGTCGCGTCCTGCTCCGCCTTCTCCAGCTTCTTGTTCTCCCACTTGTGCAGGTACCGCAGTACGAGCGCGAGCGCGGCTACCAGCACGCAGACGGCCGTGTTGGCGCTGCCGCCTGGGATGTACTGCGGGCCCGTGCTGCTGGGGTACAGGTAGCTCCCGTAGATGGTCGCCGTGTTGCCAATCATGTTGGCGATGGCGATGCAGGCCGACCGCTTGACGAGGGGCCGGGGGAAGGAGTTTGCCACCCACGACACAATGATTTGGTCTGCGAGTCCACACATGTTAGCAAGCCGGTTCCGAGGAAGAAAAGAAGGGTCGAGGGGAGCGGGAGACTTACATGCACTGATGGCGCCCATCGGCATCAAGAACATGGCAAAGTAACGGGCTCCGGTGTTGGTCGAGCCCGTGGCGATGGCGTTGCCAACGGCCGAGACGAGGGTGAGACAAACGATGTGCAGAGAGCGGTCCTTCGTCTTGGCGGAGGACCAGGTGACGTAGAGGGAGGTGAAGAATGTCGCGGCCTATCAATCCCAAGTTAGCCGAGCCGAGCCCCAAGATATACAACGACAAGACGGCCCGCGGCCAACTTACCCACGCGGGCGCAGTGAGCAAGAGCGTTTCGATCTTGCCGTACCCCAGGGTGCCCACAATGGTCGGGAAGAAGTACTGGAACGTCTGCGAGACCAGACTGACGTGCTGCATCAGGACGAAGATGTACAGGCGGTAGTCGCGCACCGCCATCTTGACGCCGTCCAGGACACTCTGCTCGCCGTACGTGTCGGCCTCCTGGATGTCCTCGATCAAGCGCCACGCGGCGTACGCGCGCTCTTCGTCCGTCAACCACTTGGTCGTGTGGGGGTAGTCGGGCAGAACCCACATGGCGACAAGCGCGAATGCGATAGCCACCACCCCCTCGATTATGAATAACCAGCGCCATCCGGCGAGACCCATGTCTCCCTCCAGGCCGCCAAGGATCCCCGCGCCGAGCAGGCCGCCGAACATGTTGGCCAGCGCGTTGCCAGCGTATAGGTAGGCGATCCGGCGGGTCAGCTCGGCGCGCGTGTACCACGAGCTCATGAGGAACACGGCGCCCGGGAAAAAGGGCGCCTCGACGAAGCCGAGGAAGAAGCGGATCACTATGAGGTGCGTGAAGGTGTGCGCCGCCGAGTTGCAGGTCGACACGACGCCCCAAAGGCAGCACGAGGCCGCCAGGTAGAAGGACGGCCTCACGCGCGTCAGGAGCAGGTTCGAGGGCAGCTGCATGAGGAGGTAGCCGACGAAGAATATGGAGGTCGCGAGGTTGAAGTCGGTGCCCGTCATCCCCAGGTCCTTCTCGAGCGTCCCCTGCCGCGCCTGAGCGAGGTTGGAGCGGTCAAGGAAGTTGAGGAGGTACTGGTCATTGTTAGAACGAATCTCCCCGCTTGCCAGGCGACCCCCGGCGGTTTGACTATGCGACTCACCATGATTACGAGCATCGGCATGAGGCGCCGGTCCACGCGCTTCAGGAGGGACTTGTCCATTGCTTTGTGCCACGCCTCATCTTGGCCGGCGAAGCGCTGCGCCCATTCCGCTGGGGTTGGGTTCACGGCCGTGGGCTTGATGCTGGCACTGTCGGTCTTGACGACGTTCTCGTCCTGTTCGATGCTTGGTTTATTGGCGTCCATCCCGACGGTGTATCCGTTATACGGGAATTAAGATGGGACAAGGCATGGGATATTGTGCATAGGAGCGAGGGACGACCTTGACGGGCGTTCCCATGAGAATAGCTCGGGTATGCCCTTTTGTACGGGAGGGATCCATTACCCCGTGGGGATGGACGCGGGGGAGGGGGAGGAAAATGAGGAGAAACTGCCTTGGCACGGCTTTGTGCTTCGGTAGAAGGACTACCGAGACAATTGAGCAGCATTCTGGCTGATCTCAAACGCGGGGTGGTTGGAGTCATGTCATGACAGCATTGCATGCGGGTGAGGTGCAGATCCGAGCGGCATCTCGAGACCCCGATTCGTCGATGCAACCTCGGACGTTTCTCTATCTCCACGTTGGAGACCGGCACGAATACCGTGAGGTGATGTTCGTGAGTCGTTCGCCCTGGAGGTGGCGACGTTTTCGTCTCAACAAACGGGACATCCGATGCTCGCACCAATTGGGAGGATGCGGTGTTCGCGTCGGGTGGTCGGCGATAATAGCATGGTAGTCTTAAGTGACTACCTGTCTACGGTATTGTTCCCCCCAGCCGGCTCCTCCTGCAGATCTGTAGACGTTGGGATGTCTTTTTGAGCCGGGGCCGTCATCTCCAACCACTCTCGGCTTGCCTATTCCGGGACTGCCAAACTGGCACCAGCATCGCCAACCGCGCAAAGACACATGAAGCGATGAAGGGTCGCGGGTTAAGCTTGTGCTCGTCTCTCAGCAACTTTCACGGACAAGGTTGGCGTCTGGTAGCAGCAGCATGTACGTCGCGGATACTCAATCCCCTTCTTGCGTCAGGCGACAAAGGTTTCTGGGGCCTCGTGTATCAAAGACAACATTCACTTCGTCTATTTTCCCATTTATGCATACAATGGATGGAATGGGCCCCCAAAGAGGACCTATATAAACGCCACCATAGAAGTCGAGAACGTCTTAGCCAACTAGTAGGCAAATATTGCATTCCTAACTGGAGACCTGCATGTTGTGTTTCCTCGCAACAACTGCAGCCGCCACAGCTTACAACTGAATGAGGGCCGACTTAGATCCTTATTGACCTCTGACACCGTTCAGTGTGTATTCGGCAGTGATGACCTAGATGCTCTCAATGGGTTTTCCATCTCAACCGCGCCACACCGGAAGAGACGCTCGTTGGCTGGAGTGTTTCCTCCAGCATCATAAGAGAGTACACTGCCATGTACAAGTACGGTCGAGTATATACACCGAGATACCGGGCAGACAGATAAGTCTAATCCTGGGCATGCCTGGCTCGAACGAAGCTGTGGTTCAGATTGGCAGCTAAGCTGTGTATTGCCTCCCTTAAAAGCAGGATCAAACGGCTTCCTTAAAACCTTGTTTGCACTAAAATAGAATGGCGACTGAACAAGATTGGCCGAACTAAATGAACGACCGTATATGAGGACGTATAATGCCGGCCCGAAAGTCAAGCCTAACTGCATGAGATAGGATTTACGTATTAGCACGTAAAGAAACAAACACGTAGATTATACGTAGGCACCCTGATGAAGCTGTGTCAACTCATTGACGCTCTCGAGACGGAACTCACCGCCGTAGTCGATCAAAACCAAGACGCGCGGGGCCGATACCGGGATGGTGTACTCAGACATCATCCCAACCGGCTTGGCCAGCCGCTGCGACCACGGCTAATGCTATATTGAACTGTCCTGGAACGGAAGCTTCACCGTCAACATATCTGAAGTTCGCTGGAGGATTGACGCCCTCAACCACTGCAAACATGACCAACGACCAAGTTCGCGGCCAAATCACGCTGAAGAGGTTGTACAGCTATAAAGGGGCCAGCGACAGCTCGACTTCCCATGGACCGGATTGGGAATGAGTGCAATGCCACTGCACTACAGCCACTCTCCATTTCATTTACAGAGACCCATCGAGCTTGTGTTCGGTTCAACAGAGTTTAGCAGACGTTGAAAACTATCAAATGTAGAGGTAGAAAGTGAGGTACTGTGTACGGCATATTGCTGAGTCGATGCTCTAAACTTATCTCGTGGTTCACGGCTGAAATTGCGCCTCAAATACAACTATACTGGCAGCTGCTATCATGGAACATCGTCATCTGCGTTGTGTTCCTTGGCTCGCACTGGCAGTTGTTTCTTTGCCCGAAGTGTATCATCCTGGCTTATCGCCGACCGCCGAGAGACCCTTAGCGCTCCCCATTGGGACGGATCTTCCCACGCAGAGAAACATCGTTGTTGACCTATATCTCCTTTACTCAGAAGGCGAACTTCAAGTGTTGGCTTGCGTTTTACATCTTTGTTCAATATGTCACGTGCATGGCGGCTGGTGAGTGGTTGGTTTGGTGGCTGGCATATAACAAGCAAGTGAACCGGGCACGCATCGATCGATGGCTGAAGCCCGATTCGCAGGTTCAGAACAACGGATTAAACGCAACCACAAATGGACTACAATTCCCGAGAGGGTGTGGTCCAACTACAGGCGGAGATTAGCTGATGGCAACGCCTGGTGCCGAGTCTGTGAGATCCTACCTTCACCTTACCATCCTACAAGTCGAAATGCGAGGACCTAACATGATCAACTGCCGATAGCTCCAAACAAAACTAAGCCCGACTGCTTGCGGGTCAAGGAAAACATGTCGACGACGAGCATCTAATGCATCCTATTGCGACATTAGAGACGTCGATGAAATAACCCGGGTCCATCGATAAGCTCTGTTTCATGGTACAGTCGCCTTTTAAGTAAGCAAATAAGTCCTAGGATGGCCTGTCGTATGATGGTGTGCGCGGAGCAGGGCGTGCTCCATCTCATCAAAACAAGCGAACCATTTAGCGGACGTGGTGTGACGTATGGACAAGATCCTCGCTTGAAGGGCAAATGACTGAGTGCAACCTGTTCCGTTTTTTTGGTTACTGCGAGTGACCAGCAGAATGCACATGGTATCATCAAATGGGTGTGCGAATTTTGGACTCCCTACTTTGGCAAAAGGGTCCCAGGCGTATGTAGTGTAGCAACCAATGCCGCCCCCGGATCCATCTCTCGGTCACCGTCGCTACACAGATCGTCTTTGGTGCTTTCAGTGACGCCTGACAGGACCAGGACCGCCTCTGCCGTCGGCTCGCCCACCTGGGGAGGGGCGGTGAGGTATGGGGACTCACTCTTGTTGAGAAGTCGATCCATCGGAGAATTGGCTCGGCCCTTTTCCTAAGAGCACAGAGCACGTGGGACACGAGGCTCATGCAAGACGCCCGCATTCCCCTTGCATGCTGCGCCGGTCTGCGAGACGAAGCTCGACGATAGGGTACGCGTAACTTGTAAGCGGAAGACATGTTCGCCTCCTTCCGAGGTGGCCTGCTTGATGAAGGGGGTTGACGAGGTTGAACAGAGGACTAGCATGTTTCGGTATATGGCGCGAAGCGGTACAGTACCTAAACAAGGCGATCCTCCCCTCTCGAGGCGAGGCAAGGCCCGAGCTTGCTCTCTTGGCTTGAAAGGGGCGAGTTGGGGACGAGGAGAAGAGTTCAAACTTCGACAGGCATGCGGCCCACTTTCCTGTGCCTTCTAGGCCTCAACCTGGTGGAGCTTGTTCCAGGTATCGTGAGCTTTTGGTCTTCCAGAAGCAGTAGGCAAGGCCGGCTGGAGGCATGTGCATGTGGCGTTCTGCTGAAGAAGGTCGCGCTGCCGCGTTCCATTCCATGGTGGTAGCGGGTGTTTCTGACGGGGTAAGGGGGCAGAGAAGGAATGGTTGATTCATGCGGCCTTTTCCTCCTCGTCTGTCTATCGCTCCCGAACGGGAAAATCCGGTTTTCAGGAGGTTGTGGGGGGCACAGCCAGTCAGTAACTGGACAGGACGGGGAAAAGAGAGAAGAAAAGATCAGGAAGGAGAAAAAACAACAACAACTGAGGTACGTAACCAAGGCGGCCCCCTCTTGAGGCCGCACAGGTACGGACGGATACACAGTGATCAAAAGGAAAAAAAAAGAAAGAAAAAAAAAGACAGAAACAGCCACAATAAACAGTGAACCATTCCCGACATGCTTGTCATACACATCCGCCCCCGTTTGCCAATATCCATCAACGTGGAATTAAGCTTGAAGGTTAAGATTGGATGACAAGAGGCGCCGGCCTGCGGGCTCTAATCATCATCATCATACTTTTCTGCGCTTCTGACGAATCACTTTGTCCATCGAAGACGCCTCTTCTGAGCTCTTCGCGCCCAAAAAGTCAGTGGCGTAAAAAGCCTCATCTTAATCGCTCGCCCGAAAAGGCAATGCCCTCTCCTCGCTAGTCCAACGGCGTGATGGCAATCCCTTCCCCCCCGTTTTTGTGTGCAGCCAGGCCAATCAGGGTCCGGTAGGGCCATGGGAGTGTACGTGACTTCGCGGCTAATGTGCGGAAATATGCAGACTTCTGCAGGTACAAGAGTCTGGAAGTAGGTAAACGCTAGGTACGTACTGCCTGCCCGCCTTACCATCCTCGGTCCCTTCAGAGCCCGTGCGCTCATTTCGTTTAGTTGCAGACGGCAACAACGGCTCGATCGCGCAGCGCCCCTCATTGGTTGCTTGGAGGGATTAGTCAAGCTTTGCCGAGATGATGGCCAAGTCTGATTGGCGAGCCCGTCCGAGGTCCAGAGCCCATGCTGATTTTCATAATCTCATTTCCCCCAGGGTCTCGAATCCTTGGACTTGCCCTCTGCGCGTCTTGGCTCCAGCAATTCGTCCAGCGTTACTATCGTGGCTCGACTGCGCATCCCGGCCTGGCCACCATGCATTGTTACCATTCAGTCTTCGCCCACCGCCTCCATGTCGCCATGACCAACCAGCACCCTTGTGCCCGCCCCTCAAAGGAGGCCTGCTCGAACCATCGGCTATCCTCCCCATTCTGGTTCTGGCATGTCTAGTCTAGCCAGCAGGGGAAGGGGGGAGGGGGATCTCGCCAAGGTTGTATCGCCTCTCGATGCCTTTTGCCCACGGCCTTACCTAGTCAGCAGTCAGTAGTGTAGGCCAGGCGGCCAAGCGGCCAAATGTTCCCCAGGCTGAATTGGTGGCCCCCCAGATAATTGCCCTCTCTCATTTCATCGTCGACCCATCCTGCCACCTCCACCCGCGCTCGTTCTCCTCTTCCTTTCTCTTGTCCTTGCACCGCATCCTTACGCCTTGCCTAGTCTCTGATTTGGAGACGTTCCGCTCTTTACACCGACATTCGCTGTCTCTATCCTTCCACGTCTGAAGGAATCACGTTCGCTGCGAATCCAAGGCGCGCGCGCTGTTGCTACTTGATTTCCCTGTCTCGATGTTATAGCCTGGAACCCGACGCCCAAACAACAACCGCTGCTGTTCACCAACTCGCTGCGCCACTCGTCAACTTTCCAAGACTTGGCTCTTGCTTCTGATCATCTCTGGAGGATATCACGCCGACTCTCGACGAGACCCCGCTTCACAGATGAAGCTCTCTACTATCCAGGCCGTCCTCGGCTCGGCCTTGGTTCTGCTGTCCGCCCAACCCGCCGAAGCGAATGATGGCTCTCACCGTCACCTTCACAAGCTGAAGGATGCCTTCAGGCTTACCAAGAAGACTGAGAAGCTTGCCGAGAGGGCTCTTGTGCAGAGGACCTCTGACGGCAAGGCCATCTGCAGCTTGCCCAGCGATGGCGACCTGGTCCACGTGCCAGGCGCTTCCAACAACGGCTTCGCCATGAGTCCTGATCAGACATGTGTAGAAGGCAGCTACTGCCCGTTTGCCTGCAGGCCCGGAAAAGTCATGGCGCAATGGGAACCCGGCTCATCCTACACGTATCCGTCTTCAATGGTGAGAATCTTTCATGTTATCGTGGTCAGGTGCAACGGCTGATCAACTCAGAACGGTGGCCTTCTCTGTGGATCCGACGGCAAGGCAGTGAAGCCCTTCAAGAATTCGCCCTACTGCGTCGAAGGCGCTGGCACTGTTGAGGTTTACAACGAATGTGGCAGGACCTTGTCTTTCTGCCAGACTGTTCTGCCCGGCAACGAGGCCATGCTCATTCCCAGCGTCATTGACAAGTCCATCACCCTCGCTGTCCCTGACCCCAGCTACTGGTGCGGCACGGCTGCTCAGTGAGTCTTTCAAGCCCCTCGAGCAGAAACACCATTACTAATACCAGCCAGCTACTACATCAACCCGCCAGGTGTTACCGATGAGGGCTGCATCTGGGGCGACTCGTCCAAGGCAGTCGGTAACTGGGCTGCCTACGTTGCAGGCGCCAACCAGGATGCTCAAGGTCGCACTTTCGTCACTCTTGGCTACAATCCCATCTGGGAGGGTTCGGCACTCTCGAACACCAAGCCAACCTACGGTGTCAGGATCGAATGCCCTGACGGTGGCTGCAACGGCACGCCTTGCGCCATCGACCCTTCTTCAAGCGCAATCGGCGACGTGCTCAGCAACCTTGCCGGCACCGGCGCTGGCAACGCCAAGTACTGCGTCGTCACTGTTCCCAAGGGGAAGAAGGCCCACATTGTCGTCTTCCCTCTAGACGGTTCCGGTGGTAGCAAGCCCGATGACAAGGAGGAAAAGAACGATGACAAGGAGGAAAAGAAGGACGACAAGGTCCAGATCATGGAGGCTAAGCCTACGCCATCCCCGACGCCCACTCCCACGCCCACGCCCAAGCCCACGCCTACCCCGACTCCGACCCCGACCCCGTCGCCTTCTTCCGCCGCACCGACCTCCAAGAGCCCCAGTGTCAAACCCTCCAGCTCTGCTTCTGATCACTCCAAGACTGCGACTCCTACCGTCAACCCCGGTATCTTCCATGAGAACGACAACTCAACGACGTCTTTGGTCGATTCCGAAGTGACGACCGCTAAGCCCGCCGCTGCCACCGCGACGGAAGAGTCCGCGCCCGCGACCACCTCGAAGGAGAACGAAGGCGCCAAGCAAGGTGGTGGCGCTGTTGCCGGCCTCATCATTGCGGTTGTTGCAGCTACTTTCCTGTACTGATTGCAACTTCTCACCAGCCGCACTTCTTCGCTTCGTCCCTGCCAGCCAGCCAGCAGCAGCAGCAGCCCATTCTTCGCTTCAACGTCTACGCTCGTCAACGACGACACGGCGCCATCCCTCTTTTGCTGTCACCCCACCCCCGACACCAATGTCCCGGACCCAGCCCGTTCAGTCGGATGTACCCTTTTAAGTCTACGGGCAAGCACGCTTGTCCCGTACGCTATCGCGCTGCTGGCTCTTCTTCGCTTCAAACCGCCGCTTACGACCAATGCGGCAAGTTTTACATATACGCCGGTAACTGAGGGCGCATTCATCATTTGCGACTTATCTCGACTTACATACCGGGAGCTCGCGGCACAACCGCGACGATTTAGTGTTTATTGTCTTAGCGTTCTTGTGTCCACAGCATGAGCAGGCAAAGCTTTCTTTCGGGTATCTTCTGCTCGGCTCCTCCGACGAGGGGCTTTTTACACATCATCTTTTGGATTGGTTTGCTTCTCATCTATACCCATTTATGCACGCATTACTTTTGTTTCTTTTCTTTTTTGATATATATATTGGAAGAATATGTGGAGGGATATGTGGAGAGAATTCTATGCGGAATGGAAACATTAGTCATGACACGAAGGGGATGAGACATCTTGGACTGGAAAAATCCGATTCTACGAGGGAGGACTTTCTTGCGCAGGGCTCGGGATTGAAGACTTGAAGGGTTGTATTGTGGACGAGCCTTGCCTAGTGAAGGGGTTCATATAAGAGGTGGTGAGTTTTGTGGACGAGACACGCGATGGCCTTCCTGAGCTTCGGCCCTGTGCTGTGTTCTAGATCGTCTGGCGCCGCTCGGATTCGCACGGGGAACAGATATATAGGGCCTGCCGCTTGACTAGATGGCCTGAATAATGAGTGAAAATACACGTCATGTCAACAATTGCTGTCCGGAAGCCAACCCTTGTTATGCCAGACCTCCACTCGCATGCGAGACTCGCCAATGGGGTTGCTAGTAAGCAGGAGCGCTTGCTTGCATGTCCAACACGCCGGTGAAGCTTTCTTGGATGGAATCAGAATAGGTAGGGTGCGGCGAAGGCCGGTATAGGGGACGCGGACCCAGCTCGAGGCAGAGGGTGAAGGGAATTGCGAACAGGGTATCATTTCTTTCTTTTTTTCCCCCCCCGACACGAAGCGCATCTCTACCTAGAAAGGAAGAACCTCCTTTTTCTTGTTTTTGTTTCTCTTTCTCTCTCACCCTCCGGACTTCTGATCCTCAGCAGAACAAAAGTCCCGCAATCATGCGCGACTCTCGTCCCGTTTCACCCCTTGACCCACCCGGGCACATGATCGAGGTCCAGATCCTCCTCGTACTGCCTCTCCCGGACTGCGGTCCACGGGGTCGGCCACCCGGCCAGCACGGGGCTCTTCTTGGTGGCGCCCATGACGGCGAACCGGCCCTGCGAGTGGGCGACGAAGCCGTGCATGAAGCCGAGCTGGATGAGCGCCGCGACATTCATCTCGACGTCGTCCATCTCGACGGGGCTGTTGCCCCAGACGAGGCCCTCGTTAGGGCGGAGCTTCCGGGGCCCGCCGGGCGGCGGGACCAGTGTCGAGGCCGACTCGTGGGATACCGCCGCGAGGAAGGCCGGGGAGGCGGACGTGGAGGAGAACGAGGACGCGGGCCTAGAGGGGACGTAGCCCTCGAGGCGGTGCTGGAGGTAGGACGCCGTCGTGTGTAGGTCGGCGAGGTCGAGGGTCGCGGCGCGGCGGTTTGTGGCGGTGGAGGACGCGTCGTCCGGCCCCGGGGCGTATGTCAGGAGGAAGGTCTTGCGTGCGAGAGAGCGCCAGAGCAGGGGGCGGAGGCGGTGGGTCAGGAGGAGGAGGAGGCCCTTGTCGAAGAGGTACTTTTCGTGCTGCGCGAGGGTGTGCTGGAGGAGGACGAAGTCGCCCCGACGGATGGACTGGGCCAGAGGGTGGTAGACGGGCGCAAGGGAGGTGGCTTCCGGGCGGGAGAGGAGGAGCTGGGTAGGCAGGCGGCCGAGGAGGAGGTTACTGGGGATCAGGTAGGAGAGGACGAGGGCGCGGTGGGAGGTCAGCGAGGGCGGGATCTGAAGGTAGGCTTCCTCGAGGCAGAGGGCGGCGCGGAGGAAGTGGCAGTTTGCGAGATTGAAGCGGCCCAGGTAGTAGAGGAAGGTGACGCGCTGGGCGGCCGGGTAGAGTGAGAGGGGCGGGGAGTTTGTCGAGATGTTTGTGAATATTTGTTTCGCGAGGTGCGTTCGCCGGCACTTCTGACGGTTAGCGGCCTCATCATATGCTTCGTAGGATAAATGGGGCGTGAAGAGGCGTGGCATATGTGTTTGTGAGAGAGCGAGAGAGATAGAGAGAGATGGAGAGAGAGAAGCAATACTCACAGCGAAGAGAAGTTTCAGCACAAGATTGGCAAACATGTAGACGCCGACTTTCTTGCCCTCGGGCTTGCTGTAGCGCGCGCTGGAACGGTCCGTCAGGCAGGTGGTGAATATCTTCTGGATGATCTCGGCCGAGGACTCGGCGATGGACTTGCGGTCGTCGGCGTCGACGTTGCGGATGTTGCGCGTCAGGTCCGGGCGGCGCGAGAGCATCATGGTCAGCCGCGCGAGGGACTCGCAGAGCGACATGGCCGTCTTGAGGAGCATGCCGCCATAGGTTGGGTGAGCAAAGGCCGTGCTGCAGGAGCTGTGTGTCGGGGGTGTTAGTCGCGTGCGTTCGTTCAACGTATTGCGCAGCGTCTCGGGGGGGGGGGGGGGGGGGGTCGTCCTGAGTCGAGGTTGAGGGTGTGATGTAGAGGGCATGCGAAAACTCACTTCACCAACCCGCTGAGCAGCGTGTGCGCGCCCAAAAGGTCGCCATAGTCAACATCGCGCCAAAAGAGCATGTAGTCCTTCATAAAAGTTACGAAGCCCGGCCATGGCGAGCCCTGGCCCTCGGGTACGTCGTCCTCCTCGGGCAGACATTTCTCAATCGTGTTCTCGAGGGCCGTGCTGGTGCTACCGCCGCCGCCGCCGCCACCACCATTCGTGTGCGGCGAGGAACGAAACTGCGTCTTGAGCTCCGAGGCGAGAGCATGATATTGCTGGTTCGCATTGGGCTCGACGAGCAACCAGTTGCGGAGCTCGTCGCTGTTCTGGGCGCGGATGAAGGTGCGGATTTGTGTCAAGAATTGAATTAGGAGGGACATCGTCGGCGCCGCTTTTGTAGGCGGGAGACTGGAGGCGCTACAGACCAAGTGCGCTAAGGAGATGCGGAGTGACTGGTGGGGTGAGACGTGAGTGATGCCCCGCGGGTCGTGTTGAGAGTCGACGATGAGTGCAGGTTCAAGGTGAGAGAGCTTGAGGTGAGGTGAGGTGGATTCTTCGGTGTGCGGGGAGCAGGGGTGCGTGCTCGGTGAGTTTGGCTGCACCTTACCGGGGCACCCCGACCTGACAGGAACAGATTTTGGATTATTTTCTTGAGCTAGTTTTCACCTGTAATTTCTCATGCACTATGGGCCTGGAACTCAGAACGAAGCAGAGATCATATTCATAATGGTCCCATAAGCGGTATAGTTTTCCTCCTTGGCTCATTTCGAGTTGTACCTATTTGCTCCTCCAGACACGTTACGCCTCGAACCCGGCCATGGTCATCGCAATCTTGGGAAAGCAGCTCCATATTACTGGGACCTAAGCGTGCATGCAATTTTATGATTATGCCCGGCCGACACATAGCCTGGAACCATCCTGCCGTGTCATCCGACCTCTTATATTTCACACAGACTCGACGCGCTGCACGACAATGGCAGTGGCCGCGCCGCCTCCGTTGCAAATCGCCGCGACGCCGTATTCGCCAAGCTTTAGCTGGTGAAGCAGAGTGACGAGAATCCTCGATCCGGAGCTTCCCAGGGCGTGGCCGAGGGAGATGGCTCCTCCGAGAGGGTTGACGCGGGCACCCTCCAGTCCGAGAATCTGTGCAGTGCAGGTTAGCAATGGCTGAGCCACTCGACGACGGACTGGAACTTACCTTCTCGTTGGCCTTGATGACCGCGGCAAAGGCCTCGTTGAACTCCCAGACGGCGACCTGGTCCTTGGTGATGCCCGCTCTCTTGAGCGCAATGGGAACTGCCTTGGCTGGGGCTATAGGGAAGTCCACAGGGTCAACCGCGGCATCGGCCGACCCGCAAATCTTGGCCAGCACACGGGACCCCGATCCGTATTGTTGCGCAATCTCCTTGCTACCCAGAACGAGCGCGCTTGCGCCATCGTTCAGCGTGGAGGAGTTGGCGGCAGTGACAGTGCCGGTGCCGTCACGCACAAACGCGGGCTTCAACGTGGGAACCCTGTCGAACTTGACATCGAGATAGCCCTCGTCGGCCTCGATAACGGTGTTGCCCTTCTTTCCGGGGACGGTCACGGGTGCGATCTCTTCGGCAAAGGCGTTGGCCTTCCACGCTGCCTGAGCGCGCTCATAGGACTGGATGGCATACTGGTCTTGCATCTCGCGGGTGATCTCGTACTTCTTGGCGGTGTTCTCGGCGCAGTTGCCCATGTGGAATTGGTCGTAGACGTCGGTCAGACCGTCCTTGATCAGGCCATCCTCCATCTTGACGTGGCCGAACGGCGGCAAGCTGGACGCTCGAGGTACGTAGTAAGGAACCCTTGTCATGTTTTCCATGCCGCCTGCAATCTGCGCCTCGGCCAGGCCCAGCTGGATGTTTTGCGCAGCGAAGATAACAGCCTTCAGGCCAGAGGCGCAGACCTTGTTGATGGTGATGGCCTCAACGCTCGACGGGAGGCCGGCGAAGATCAGGGCCTGGCGAGCCGGCGCCTGTCCGACAGATCCCTGCAGCACGTTGCCCATGTATACGTCGGCGATCTTGTCGACGGGGACCTTGGACTTTTCGAGGGCGGACTTGATGGCGACGGCGCCGAGCTGTGGCGCCGAGACGCTGGTAAAGGAGCCATTGAACTGGTGTCCGAGTTAGTGATCGACCCCGATATACACTGACTGGCTAGCGACTGGCTACCTTTGCTGTTGGCGTTCTCGATGCACTGAGGATGTATGCATCTCGGACCTCTTGCCTAAGTGCAGCTCTTGTGGAAAACTGGCGGGCCGCCGCTTGCCTGGCGATTTGGCTGGGGAGCCTCGACGACTGTCTCGAGAACATGATGAATACTTTGACGATAGGTATATGTTTGCAGCAAGCCGCACGGGAGATGACAACGGCGAGAGGATATTCGAGATGACCTCACAAGGTGAACAGGAAAGTTAAGATGGCAACGGCTTCACAATTCGAGAGGGATGGATAGCAAGCATGTGGATGGCACAGGACAGCAATACCCCAGCTCCTGCGGTCTTCCTCGGCTTAAGAGGGGGTGGGTGGCACGGGCGGGGCCGAGCTTCTCAGGAAGGAGTGCAGCTGTGAGGTCACCCGAATCCCCCAGGTCGATGTGCAGGCCTCTGGGGAACCGACCCCCACCCCGGGCCGTGGAAGTAGGGACCTAATTCTACGGAAACGTCAGGCCAGAGAAGGGCTCCGACAGCAGTGTCACCATCTGCGCCTCGTCTGAATCCCGTTTCTGGAACGTCGCACTTATGGGTTTGTGGCGGCAGTCGTGCCGCGTACTTTATATAAAAACCTTCGAGAAACATGTCGGATCGCATTGTGCATCTGAGTAGTTGCAGCGCGCAGCGGGAGAGCACATGGCTAATTGCATGTGAAGAGCAATAATGTAGACGCTTATCCCTAAGGGCGAGTCTTGACAGCCTAACAGCAGCATTACAAAGCAGCAGTAAACGAGCAAAGTTCCCCTCGAGCAAGACCAAAGGGAAAAGGACACGGAACAAAGGGAGGGGAACGGAGAAGAAAAATTACAGTGTCATTGAATAGTGGCGCCGCCATTCGTGTATTCCCAATGCAGGCTTTAAGTGGTGGTGTCGCACATTCACGGCTGGCTCGGTTTAGTCTGATTCGCGCTTCGCCCCTGCTATTGTGATTGGTTGAAGACCCAAGACCCACTCACTTGGCCTAAGCGGAAGGCGGTGATGGCGAAGCCGAGCTGCTTCCCGTGCCATCCAGTCGGACTGTGAACCATCCAAACGTTATCTCGCCAGTTCTTCCATCATTCATCTTCAGACTTCGACCACGCGGATTGCGAAACTCAAACATTCCTGAACACCAGCTAGGATTCCGATTTATCCGCCAGCATTTCGAGCCATCCACCTGTCTTCCAGTGACGGCTATCTTGATCCTTTGCGACCCTACCAGTCTTGGTAATCAGTAATCGACCGACCGACCGACCGCCCGCCACCATGTCGACCGCTGCCCGCCGCCGCTTGATGCGCGACTTCAAGGTTAGTTATGATGCCCATGCATCTCAAAGTCCAACAGGAGCGCTGACATATCGAGCAGCGCATGCAGACCGACCCTCCCGCCGGCGTCTCTGCCTCTCCTGTACCTGACAACGTTATGACCTGGTATGCTCGTATACACCTCGAATCTGCAAGGGGCCTCCAAGAAACAGGCTAACACCGACCTTTGCAGGAACGCCGTGATTATCGGACCCGCCGACACGCCTTTTGAGGACGGAACCTTCAGACTCGTGATGCAGTTCGAGGAGCAGTATCCCAACAAGCCGCCCGCGGTCAAGTTCATCAGCCAGATGTTCCATCCCAACGTCTATGCAACGGGAGAGCTTTGCTTGGATATCCTGCAGAACAGATGGAGTCCCACCTACGACGTTGCCGCGGTGTTGACAAGTATCCAGAGGTGAGCCGACGGGGACGGCGGGTTCATAGTTTGAGAGTAGATGACACAGTCCGAGCTAACGTTGCAACAGTTTGCTTAACGACCCAAACACCGGTTCCCCCGCGAACGTGGAGGCGTCGAATCTTTACAAGGACAACCGCAAGGAGTATACGAAGCGGGTTCGCGAGACGGTTGAGAAGAGCTGGGAAGACTAGATGACAATGATACCAACACAAAAGGAACACATACGACGTTTATGAACAACATGGTCCTCTCTGCCTCAAGCAGGTGATGGCCTTTTGGGAACATATTGCAGGGCTGCACTGGGACGGCGAATGACCACACTGGGACAGACAAATTCACGTGAGAGGCTACCCAGGGTCGACCAGACAGATTCCTTGATTTGCCTCGCATTAAGTGGCTGGGTACCCTCAGTAGTGCAAGTGGGGGGGGAACATTTGGCGTTTCGGCTTGCGCTGTCCTATCCGTATGGCTTTGGGGGCGACCTTGTTGCGATGGGCGTTTCGCGGTCGTGCGTTTTGCTTTTTTCCACCATCGAGCCACCGGATGCCGGTGACGTTAGGTTCGTTTTCATCTGGCTTTTACAGGGGAGTTCGTGGGAAGTGCATTTGGGGCCTCATTAACAGCGAAATACCAAATCTATTGTTCAATATGCATCCCTGCGTTGTTTGTTTTGAATCCATTTGCCAAAAACGGAGCAGTCCACCCATGTGCCAGGGACATAGTGTGTTGTGACTCGAATTTGTTGTGCCAATTCTACTCGCATCGGCGATACTGTCGCGTGCTCGGCCAATGACTTCTAATTAGTGCGTAATGAGCCAGGCCCATTCATCTGTCCCGCGGGCACGCCCTGCGATGCTCAGTGTGTGCTGATATTTTCAGCAGAAGGACAGGGACTCGCTCACCCTTCTTTTGGGACGGACGAGCCTCTCGAATTGAATAGTGTAGTGCCTTGGACGAGGAACGAGGAGGGACATGTGGTAGGTACCTAGGTAGTAAAAACAAGTAGGTAGGCATTCATTCAGTAGGTAACTGTACCGGCGAATGGTGAGGTAGGGATGAAACCACCAGCGGGAAGTGGTTTCGAGCGAACGGGATTGGTCCATTATCTCCTCCCGGCGGGCTTATGCATTGCTGCGGCCGGCACAAGGACCTGAGTGACTTGTGATTGCCCCTGTGGAGCTTAGGTTCCATAGTGACCTTCTGTCTCTCTAGCCCGCATTTGTGCTGTACCGGTACCGCCTTACTGCAAGCAAAGGATTCCACGCGATTTCTAGCGCGACCCCGTCACTTGCATCTCAACCCCCCCAAAGGCAACCCCGAATCCCAAACAATACAAACACATCCTTTCAACTATTCTCTCTCGCTTCCCCCATCCGACTGCCTTTCTGGCTGCTGTTGCTGCTGGTTTGCGCTGTCGTCATCCTTCTTTCTCTCTTTGCACCACTGCTCTGCAACAACCTGCGACATGTCATTCTAGCAGCCTTCCCACATATCTGCACACCGTCATTTCATCCCGCCTTATTTGTGTGTGTCCTTTCACCACAAATCCTCTCTGTTGCCGAGCTGCGGCCGCCGAGTGCTTCGCCGCAACCACACGCAACCCCCCCCCCCCCCCCCCCCCTTCTATCTTCGCGCAACAACTTCACTCGATCGGAATCCATGACCTAGGCTTTGACGCCTGCTGGTCTGAAATCCCGTCGCCATGTCTAGCGCAAATAGTATCAAGGTGGTGGCCCGATTCCGTCCACAGAACAAGGTGGAACTGGCATCGGGCGGCCAGCCTATTGTCACTTTTAATGGCGAAGACACATGTACCCTCGACGTAAGTGCCTTCTCGTCCACTTTTTGAAGCCTTTGTGCATGTAGGCAGTGACTGACAATAACCTTTCTAGTCGAAAGAGGCGCAGGGCTCTTTCACCTTCGACCGAGTCTTCGATATGGAATGCAAGCAGTCCGATATTTTCGACTTCTCTATCCGTTCTACTGTCGACGATATTCTCAACGGTTACAATGGAACGGTCTTCGCCTACGGTCAGACGGGTGCCGGAAAGTCCTACACCATGATGGGCTCCAGCATCGACGACGAGGAAGGTCGCGGTGTTATCCCCCGTATCATCGAGCAGATCTTCGCCAGTATCATGTCCAGCCCCAGCACTATCGAGTACACAGTACGAGTCAGCTATATGGAAATCTACATGGAGAGGATTCGCGACCTGTTGGCGCCCCAGAACGACAATCTTCCCGTCCACGAAGAGAAGAACCGCGGTGTCTACGTCAAGGGTCTCCTGGAGGTCTATGTCTCCAGCGTCCAGGAGGTCTACGAGGTCATGAGAAGAGGTGGAAATGCCCGTGCCGTCGCTGCAACCAACATGAATCAGGAATCTTCTCGTTCGCATTCTATCTTCGTCGTCACTATCACCCAGAAAAACGTCGAGACAGGATCGGCAAAGAGCGGCCAGCTTTTCTTGGTCGATTTGGCCGGCAGCGAAAAAGTTGGAAAGACAGGAGCCAGTGGTCAGACGCTCGAGGAGGCCAAGAAGATCAACAAGAGTTTGAGTGCTCTGGGAATGGTCATCAACGCCCTGACCGACGGCAGATCCTCTCACGTTCCCTACCGAGACTCTAAGTTGACCCGTATCTTGCAAGAATCCCTCGGAGGTAACAGTCGGACAACACTCATCATCAACTGTTCGCCCAGTAGTTACAACGACGCTGAAACCCTTAGCACCCTACGATTCGGTACCCGCGCGAAGGCGATCAAGAATAAGGCCAAGGTCAATGCTGAGCTTAGTCCTGCCGAGCTCAAGGCCCTGCTTGGCAAGGCCAGAGGCCAAATCGCGACCTTTGAGACCTACCTCTCGAGCCTGGAGGGTGAGGTTCAGATGTGGCGTGCTGGTGAATCTGTTCCCAAAGACAGATGGGTGGCCCCCTTGTCTGCAGATGGTGTCACAGGAGCCAAGGCAGAAGCAAGAGCACACCGTCCGTCGACACCTTCCCGCTTGTTGCCCGAAAGCAGATCAGAGACACCCGCAATCTCAGAGCGCTCAGGAACACCAAGCTTGCCTCTGGACAAGGACGAGCGAGACGAGTTCTTGCGTCGCGAGAACGAGCTTCAGGACCAACTCGCCGAAAAGGAGAGCCAGTACAATACTACAGACAAGGCGCTCCGTGAGACCAAGGAGGAGCTCGCTTATCTAAAGGAGCACGATGCCAAGACGGGCAAGGAGAATGAGAAGCTCCACGCCGAGGTGAACGAGGTCAAGATGCAGCTTGAACGCCTGAGCTTCGAGGGCAAAGAGGCACAGATCACCATGGACGCACTCAAGGAGCAGAACGCCGAGCTGACCACAGAGCTTGATGAGGTCAAGCAGCAACTTCTCGACGTCAAGATGAGCGCCAAGGAGACGAGCGCGGTTCTGGACGAGAAGGAAAAGAAGAAGGCTGAGAAAATGGCCAAGATGATGGCCGGGTTCGATCTCGGCGCCGATGTGTTCAGCGACAACGAAAAGGCCATCGCGGAGGCTATTGCCCAACTGGAGGCTCTGCACGAGATCAGCTCTACCGGCGAAGTCGTCAACCCTGACGAGCTTGAGGCGCTCAAGACGCGTTTCGTCGAGATCCAAGGAATCGTGAGACAAGCCGAGCTGTCCGTCTACAGCGCCTCCTCCACCGAGGCAGACGCTCGCCGCAGAGCCGAGCTCGAGGACCGCCTTCAGTCTCTCCAGCAAGAGTACGAGGAGCTTCTTACCCGCAACCTGAGCGAGAACGACGTCGAGGAGATCAAGTCTCGCTTGGAGAGCGCCTACTCCAACAAGCAGACCACCTCCATGGAGCTCGTGGACGAGCTGAAGGCTGAGATCGTGCAGAAGGCAGCCGAGAACTCGAAGATGAGGGCCCTTATCGAGGACCTTCAGCAAAGAGTCAAGGCCGGCACTGCCGCACCCTTGGCCAACGGCAAGTCCATCCAGCAACAGATTGCTGAGTTCGACATCATGAAGAAGAGCCTCATGCGCGACCTTCAGAACCGTTGTGAGCGTGTGGTTGAGCTTGAGATCTCGCTCGACGAGACGAGAGAGCAATATAACAACGTGCTCCGGTCATCCAACAACCGGGCGCAGCAGAAGAAGATGGCCTTCCTCGAGAGGAACCTCGAGCAGCTGACTCAGGTTCAGCGCCAGCTCGTCGAGCAGAACTCGGCGCTCAAGAAGGAGGTTGCCATTGCTGAGCGCAAGCTCATTGCTCGCAACGAGCGCATCCAGAGCCTCGAGAGCCTGCTACAGGATAGCCAGGAGAAGATGGCCTCTGCAAACCACAAGTACGACTGCTTCTTTACCCCTGCTTGCCACTCATTCTTGCTCCCTTTTTTCAACGCATCATTCATGCTCGGACCGATTGCTAACGACTGGTGTCTTGTAGGTTTGAAGTCCAGCTCGCTGCTGTCAAGGAGAGGCTGGAGGCTGCCAAGGCTGGCAGCACCCGCGGCCTGAACTCCCCCTCGCTTGGTGGCTTCAGCTTCACCAACGCAGGCAGCCGTATTGCCAAGCCTCTCCGTGGCGGTGGTGGTGACAACCAGGGACCTTCCATCCCCGTTATCAGCAGCATTCAGCAGAACGAGGGCGGTGCTGGCAAGCGCAGCAGTTGGTTCTTCTCCCAGAAGTCTTAAGGACTGTTTTACTGCGCCCACCTTTCCGCTTTAAGCCTTGCTTTCCTGCTATCGGGCATACCGTTTCAGGAAGTGCAGTCTCTCATCCCCCCAAATAGACATGACGACACATGTGACAGGCGATAGCCTGGCAACTAGACCGCTATACCCCTGCTGTGCTGATAATGGCGGCACGGTTCTTTATTGCCCTCGTTACTAAGACTACACTACCCGCCATTCCTGGGAGAAAGTCCTCCCCTTTTGCTTAACTCGGCACATTGGAAGAAAGAACTAAAACAAACCGGTAGACTGTAAGTGCAGATTTGGACGATACAGCACAAGGACTGGTCAGGGAAACAGTATCCTTTGACGTAAACTTTTTATCTTCCTCTCTTCGGTTGGGTTTGCCTTGCTCTTGGATTTGTTTCTGTGGCAGTTTCTGGGTGGTCTTTCATCATTCTTGGTCAAGGGGGGATTGAGTGGTTTTGTGGGTGTGTGAGGGTGGACCAATGGTGTCCATGGGGAGCGTCGCCCGCAAATGACCAGAAGGCGGTTGGTGGCAGACTCATCAGGCGTGTGGAAGCAGGGTGCGCGACGGGCTGGATCGGCCGTGGACGGACGGACAGGAAGGAGCATCCCACGACGGGGCGGGAAGAACGGCCGATTGGCAATAAGGGTTGCCGTTGGTGCATAGTCTGGGGGGAGTTGGTGGCACGACACGACGGACCTCGCCACTTATGAAATCCAAGACGTTTGACGGTTAATGACGCTATTAGAAAAGGAGACTTGCTGCTAATATCGATGACTGCGCGAAGTTCATGTTCAATTTTTGCTATCTGAGTGGGATATGATCGGGAATGATATAGGAAATGTATCCGATAACTAGAATGGCAACTGGAAACGACAAGGCTAGCATCCCCGCTGCTTCGGCTCAGTAGTTTCTCCACAAGTTATCAGCTATGGATAAGTAAACAAGCCGTCTCGTCTAGTTGAAGCAAATCTGATGGCGGGTTCACCTAAGACTTCGAGTCGAAATTGCTAGGCGAATACAGCAAGCTTAAGCTAAGCCGGTAACGATCTTGGAACCGCAATCTATTTTGCGAGCGTACTGATGAGAATGATCTGGGGAACGAGGATTGCGGTGATCAAGACAAAGACAGCAAGAGTAGTGGCAAATATCTTGGCGTAGAGGATGACGAGACGCTTCCAAGCGGCGCGGGAGAAACCGCTCCAGGCGTCATCCATGGTGGCGTAGCCCTTGCCGCCGACGACGCGGGGCTCGACCTTACCCCCAAATGAGCGGTCGAAGGGAATGATGGTGTTGGCCTCCTCAGGGAGGAGCGAGGCCTGAACGCGGACGAGGACGACGCGGGCCGGGATGACGACGGTGACCTGGAAGGCGATGCTGATGATGGTGATGACGATGCTCTTCCAGGCATCAGATGCATGGGGTTGGGACACGGTCGACGGCTTGCCGAACTGCATGTTGGGCAGGTCCATGCCGATGGCCCAGCCGATTGCAATGGGGATCCAGGTGGCGACCTGCTCGGAGAGCCAGTAGGCGGCGACGGGGCGGGCGGTGGCATCAAAGGTGCGCTTGAAGGACGGCAGGCGCTGCCAGAAGTGCTGAGAGCTGGGCGGGGTGATGACGATGTGGACCCAGGCGGTGCTGAGCTGGACGAGGGACAGGGCGGCGAGGAGGGTCGCGAGAGAGGCGAGAATGCCGGGCAGGAAGCTGGAGAAGAGGCCGAAGAGAAGGCTCGTGGCGACGGACTGTACCAAGTAGACGGAGAAGCCACGGAAGTTTGCGCGCCAGCCGCCGTAGGTCCTCAGGAGGCGGTTGATGGAGCGGAGGGACGAGGTCACAGTGGTGGGGCGGCCGCCGGTGATGGCCTTGTTCGTCGGGACGGGACCGTCGGCGCGCGCCTCGGGGCCGGCGGAGGGGATGATACCATCATCTTCGGTAAGGTCGACGGGGTCGTAGGCGGGCGGATTCTCATCCTCAACGATGGCAAAGATAGGATAGACTTGGTGGAGAGTGTAGACCGTCTGGGAGATCTAGTGTTAGTCGAGCTGGGCTGGCAATAAGGATGATGCAGAGAAGACAGAGAGAGCGCTTGCTTACCCAGACAATAAGGGGAACGAAGACAAGGAAGTTGGCAATGTAGACTGCAATGCTCCACGCGGGCAGCTGGCGTTGGTCAGGCGTCTCCTTAACGGCCCTCTTGTAGATGGCGCCGGCGAGGTGTTGCATCTCGGCCTTCATATTTGCTGCTTGGCCTCGGCAAACGAAATAAAGTAAGTAAATGTAAAATGTGACGATGAATGGTGGGAAAAGAAGTCAGACTGAAAGGTTGAGGCCGGTAGGTTTTTTAAGGAGTATAGATAGAATGGAAGTGATGGAAGTGACGGGAGGGTATAGGATGGATCCAGAAGGGCCTGTGCTGCCTAGACGCTTGCTTGGTGGCGGGAAAGTCTACCTGCTGGTGTGCGAGTGTAACAGCCTGCAGAAAGTACTGTACTCCATACTGACACGCTACCTAACGGTGGGGTCCTCCGGGGTACTAGCAGCACATCACCAGGCAGCAGGCAGGCACAGCCACACTCGTCTCTTCCCGCCTCCTTGGCCCCCAGATCCTTCAAGTTCCCTCGACGAGTCACACCCTGCAAACGGTCTGTCTGACGACGCGCTCTGCAAGCCAAGCGGACGACGAAGAAACACAAACGTCAGTTATTAGTTCGCCATCTGCAGAGTCTTGGTCGTAAGGTAGATGCATCATCCGTGCCTTATTCTAGCATGTCGGACGGCTCGTATCCATTTGCTCGTTGAAATGATGTACCAATGGCCAGGTCATGTAGCGGCTGTACGGCATATTTCGGTCTGTTTTGCAGAAGGTCGAACTATTGATGAGACTATCCAGCATGAACGCAGATGCACGCATCGAGTACAGGTGAAGGTCTGTTCGATGTTTGGACTCTGGGATTATGCATGAAACGTCGTAGCATTTTCGGCCTGGATCAGCTGGGACGTTCTTCTGGGATGTGTTTGCATGATGGAGCCTCGTCGTCCGACGTATTAGATGATGCGTCTCCCGACGCACCCGAAAGGATTCACATAATTCTTCCATTTTTGGATAGTATCGTAGTCATCCTGATCTGCAACAAGGGTCGGCCATGCCTTTCACATAGTTTATATTGAATACCCTATAGAGAACAATGTGGCCGTTCGCCGTACTGTGCTGTTCAGCAGCGCAAAGGCGATCGATCAGATTGCAACGCAGCTGTTGGGACACTACGATGCATGCATCCATCTATCAAACCGGGCAGTGGCACCCGGGCGTCGTTGGGTTCTCCAGATCTCCCACTCTGGTTCCACTGCGTCCAACGGCCTGACCTAATCTCCTTCTCTTTTTGGTTATGTTCGATAGGTGCATCGGCGGAGGGAACAAAGTCGCATCACTAAGGTGGACTGTGCGTCGAGATCCAATGCGATGGCAGCATCCGTACAAGGTGTTGGCTGCGGCAATGCCAGGTACAGCTAACTGTGTTGTCTTAAGGCGCCCCACCTCGTAGTTTCCCTCCTACGTCACTCACAACTTCACTAACCCAAACCCTGGGATATCTTCAACCTTATCAACACCTCGGAAACAGTATCTCCCATGTCTAGAGATTCGATCCCGAACCTGTTATCCCTTCGTGGTGCAAGGGGTGGCCGGAGCGGTCGCGGTCGCGGAAGAGGCCCCGGTGGTCCCTCCTCGGGCCCGACCCATGATCAGACGATTCAAGGGACCGACGACGACGCCGCCGGCTCGCGCCTGAGTGCCGTGAACGTAGGATACCTCGCCGACCCCTACGCCCAGTTCTTTGTGGACAACTTGGCCGGACCCCCTCCAAGAAGGCTACCCATCATCAATCGAGGTCCGTGCCAGGATCTGCTTCCGTCGAGCATGGAGGCTGATCTCTTTTCCAGGCACTTACACGAGAACCGTGGCTCTCGACAACCTCATCGACAGCTTTTTGGATGATCCCGACGGCACACAGTCGGGTTCGAAACAGAGGCAAATCATCTCGCTGGGCGCCGGCACCGACACTCGCCCATTCCGTCTCTTTTCCAGAACCAACCGACCTGAGCTTGTCTACCACGAGATCGACTTCGCGGTCACGGTCCGGAAAAAGGCACGCGTAGTACAGTCAGCCCCCCCATTGCGCCAAATTCTTGGTGCACCGTCCGTAGAGGAAGATGGCTCGTGGAGCTCCCAACCATCCTCAGCAGACAAGTACTACTGTCACTCACGCGACCTCCGCGAGCTTGTGCAAGGAGGCTCACCGCCCCTCGCAGGCCTCAGAACGGACTTCCCGACATTGTTGATATCGGAATGCTGCCTCTGCTACCTCGAGACATCCACAGCCAAAGATATCGTGGCCTGGTTCGAGCAGAAGATGCCCAACCTGGCCATCATCATCTATGAACCAGTCAGGCCCGACGATCCATTTGGCAAAATGATGACGTCCAACCTTGCGGCAAGGAGGATACGCATGCCGACCCTGGAAAGTTACAAGCTTCCGCAACACCAAACACAGCGCCTGCGCGATGCCGGTTTCGAACACGCCAACACTCTGACGGTTGAGCGCATTTGGGAAAACTGGGTACCAACAGAAGAAAAGGAGCGTGTTGACCGACTGGAGGGTCTTGATGAGGTTGAAGAGTGGAAGCTCCTTGCTGACCATTACGTTGTGGCATGGGGATGGAGAGGCGTTGGGTTTGCATTGGACGACTCAAATGGGGCGTAGGGAGGTGAGTTACGTTACTCGGAACTCCTGCGCCGCTTCGCCATCGCTTAGGAAGTACGGATACATCGGTAATCAAACAATCAGCCGAGAAAATCAGCAGCTTGAGAATTAGTATACGCCTGGCTGGATGGGTGCTGCCCCCGTCGTCCGTTTTCTCCAAAATGAGGCTCTGCTTGGTTTTCCAAACTCTGGGCGAACGGTTAGGACAAAGATGCGGGTTTCGTCGTTGAAACTTGCAAGCGTGTCTCTAGGGAGTAAATTTGGGTTGGGCAAGCTGCACTTGCCCGTTCCATGGGAAGTGGCAGAGCTGACTTGCTTGGCCCGACTGCTTCCGCCACCACCTTCCCAAACGGCGTTTCCCCCGTGTCCCCGTCGGTTAGCAAAGTGGCCCCCTGGTTTCCTGGTTGATGTTGGTTGGTTTCTTCCAGTTGGACCAACCAGCCAATTCTCTTTACCTGCATGAGATCCCAGCCCACTTCTCTTGTAAGCAATGCGCGTAAACCAGCCTCACCTGGGGTGCTTTGGGTCCAGTATTAATATGTCGACGCAAGACACCACGATGCTGCTCAGCTACCCTCACCGTCGTCCAACGCCTTGCTTTTCGACAGCATCAACTTGATAAATAGAGATATCGACACGCAAAAACGATTTTGGTAAATATGATCAAAAGACCTTTGGACACACTCCCGGCCGAGACCCTCATCAGTATCGCGGGGTACCTCGATGGCGTTCAACTGCCAGATCTCTCGTCCTTCGCCCTCACGAGCAGAGCTTGCAACGCTGCCGCCTCGTGCTACTTGTTTCGCGATATTCATATTCGAATCAAACACCCTCGGAAGCTACAGCGAGACGTCGCAAAGTGGCTCACTGTGCTGCAACGCACGAATGCTTCACGACATGTTCGACGCCTGGTGATGACCTTCGAGGACAGGACGCTCCATCACAGTGATCTGTATTCGCCTGACCGGTTGCGCCTGACTGCCGAGACGGTTGACAGTCTCAGCTACGCTAAGCGAATGTTGCCGAACAACCGCCGTCTTCGCGATGTCTTCGTAGATCCCGAGGCATGGGCTCCCATGGTCCAGCTGCTGAAGGCCCTGGTCCGATTGACCAACATGGTCATCGAGCACGAGACCAGCTTCTCACCCTTCCTCCTGGAAGCACTTGGGACCCAGCACAACAAATGTCTACTGGATCTCAGATGCTTTGACCTTCACTGCATTGAAGGTGCTCCTCTCAACCCATACGATGTTGCTCTACTCCTGTCGCCCCAGTTACGCAGCGTCTCGATCAAAGAATACTTTCAGTCATTTACCGGCCACACAAATGAATCGGCTGTGCTCAAACTCGTCAAAGGTCTATCGCCGAGCCTCAGGACGGTTGAGCTAGAACCGGTCTTCGGGGCCCGGTATCATCGGAGATGCAACCCGGAATTCGAGAGCCAGTTGCAATCTGCGATAGCACAAGCCATTGAAGTAAACCTCAAATACTGGAAAGGCTCGGCGAGTAACATCTACGCATCCAAACTTGGCTCAATACCTTCCTTGTCCATGCAGAGGACTAGCCCAGAGAGGGTACAATCGTGGGTCGAAACTACGGACTTTGCACTCTTGCGCCATCTGAGGCTAAACACGGGGTCGAGAGAGCTGCGCTGGCTTGCGAAACACGCCAAATTTCGCTGCCTCGACAGCCTCGAGCTGCACAACAGCGGCTACATCAGCGCTCCTTCTGACACGGAAGGCTTTGACGATCTGGAGAATGCCGCCGTAGATTTCCTGGCCGTCATCCCCGCGTTGACAACGCTGTCACTCGGGGCCCAGCTGACTTTGCCAATGCTCCAATTCGCGGTCTCTCGATTTGGAAAAACACTGCGAAAACTGAAGCTTAGGCCGACTGGAAGTGGGTTCTTACCGGAGGAAGATATCAAAATCCGTGCGGAACACATTGGCCTGATTTCTGAGGCGTGTCCTTCGCTGGAAGACCTGACGATCACGGTGGCCGTTCCCTCGTTTCGTTCACAATCGGCGGAATTCACGGGGATGTGCCAGGGCATCGCACGAATTCGCCGTCTACGGAATCTTTACCTGACCCTCCGTTCGACGACAGAAGAAGATCCGATGAAGTTGAGCTTACGAAGGAGGCCTCGGATCGACCGCAACGGGCGATTCCTTTCGCCAACCTTCCCGACGGAAGAACTCACAGACACATTTGTGAGGGCAGCCTGGGACACGATCTGTAAGCAGGGCTCTCGCTTGGAGTCGATGCAGATGGATACTCTATATCGGTGGGGCGGCACGCGCAAGTCGGAAAGGGTTTTCCAGGTGCGCAGAGTTGGGGCCGCAGGTGAGGAGGCTGTAGCGGAAACGCTTTATCGACGGAATGGCATATTGAGGTGGCGAGAATGATCCTGTCCGGTATGCTTCTCGCATGACCTTTGTGACGGTGAAGGAGAATGGAATGAATGGGTGGCTGCGGGTGACATTTTTGGAGGTTCTTACGGCTGACGGGAAGCATTTTGCGTTATGGATGCCTAGGGTTATCCGAGGCTTGGGCAGCAGGCAGGCAGTACAGCAGGCAGTGCACATTCAGCGTGTGATAGATGTAGTTGAATACCATCTCTTTCACAAGGGCAGCCCACTTTGAAGTCCTACTCGACCGCCCCGCGCTGAAGCAGGCCGAAGGTTTGCCTCAGTCGTCCCTTCCCTTGTTGGTCAGCAACCCTGAATTGGCAAGCAAAAGCAGACAGCGTCAAGGGTAAAATGGCGCCGAGTCGCACTTGTCGCTGGAAAGCGGCACATTGATGGATGATGTTGGAAGTTCGGAACGGCACTGGCAGCAAACGCGACACATGGCTAAGTGGCAGACGACAGATGATGGGAACGAGCTTTCCGTCCGTGAAAGGGAGGACGACAAGATATCTTATTCGTGCGGAAGCAGTTTTGCCTAGAAATGAACATTTACCCTAGGGAAGCAAGTCTCCAAGTGAGCACCAAATATAGTCAAGGACAGTCACCACGTCGGTGGCTGATCCACGAGGCCGACGATGTGTGGTGATCGTCGCCAAGGCCAGTCTCGTCCCGCGATGGAGCCTGTCAGGGCAAAGATGTCCCTGAGGCCGATACAATCCGTCTTTACCCATTCTCATCAAAACCAGCAATCCTTCGAATAAGCACTAACCCAAAAGCATCCGGTTTGGTCATTCTCAAGGTCAGGGTAAATGAAGCAGCCTTCTTCACCACAACCCAGCAAGGGGCCGCAAGTAATGAAAGCGAGGGATCGCAATAGAAAGAAAATCTCCATCGAGAAAAACGTAAGGTTCCAAAAATTCCCTAGCCAGCACGAAGCCAACTAGGAGTGGTCATAGTATAGTTTTCAACTAGCAAAAACACGATCTCGGACGAATCCTCACTGATACGCGTAATGCCCTTGCACTCGGATGGAGAAGAAAAGGAGGAAAGAAGAATTGAAAGAGGCGGGGCGGAAGGCGAGGCTTTATACCCTTGGTCCTTTCAGGGGGGGGGGGGGGGGGGGGGGGGGCGCGCAATCAGCCGCAGTACGTACCTACTCAGATACGTATCCTCTTCAGGCTGCACAGGTACGCAGCATCATGCCCAATGCAAAACGCCATAACGGTAGGTTTCAAGATAGAAACGCAGTACCATAGAATCTCGTAACTAAGCCTCTCTAGCCACCAAGGCCGCCTCTGGCAGTAGCTTTCGTACTTAGGTGAATCAAGATGCACAAGATGGGTGTGGGAGTGGTCTTGAATACGTACGTTTTTGGGGACGGAGCCCCCACATGGGCTTTTAGGGGGGAAACAGCAACGGAGCTTGTCAGTGCACCACCCTAAGCCCGCCGGCGCCATCGTTCTTCGGTACGTACCCGCAAGAGCACCGCCGAAGCTCCGTGGCCGCCGACTTCACTTCTCGAAACCTGAAGCGCGGGGAGACACCAGATTCAAAGAACGGGAACGCTGCAAAGATATGCGATTCCCGCCGACGTCGAAACAATGCTGTCCTTTATCCTGATCCAGAATCGCCAGTACGTGTCCCATTGTTCCCCGGATCCGTCCGCAAGGGCCGGATAGGTAGAGCAACGGAGGGGGAAAAGTTGGCTGACTTTCCCGCGATCCAGGGGCAAGACCCGTCTTGCGAAGTGGTACGCGCCCTACAGCGACGACGAGAAGATCAAGCTCAAAGGCGAGGTGCGGATTCCCCCTTCCTCTCCGCCACCTTGTTCCTCTACCCCGTCAGCCGACTGACGCTTCCCTCCTCTCACAGGTCCATCGCCTCGTCGCGCCGCGCGACCAGAAGTACCAGTCCAACTTCGTCGAGTTCCGCAACAACAAGATCGTCTACCGGCGCTACGCCGGCCTCTTCTTCTGCGCCTGCGTCGATACCAATGACAACGAGCTGGCATTCCTCGAGGCTATCCACTTCTTCGTCGAGGTCCTCGACGCCTTCTTTGGCAACGTCTGTGAGCTCGACCTCGTCTTCAACTTTTACAAGGTTTACGCCATCCTCGACGAGGTCTTCCTCGCCGGTGAAATCGAAGAGACGAGCAAGCAGGTGGTGCTGACAAGGCTGGAGCATCTGGATAAGCTGGAATAATGGGCTTGGGGAACTTGAGAACAAAAGGAGGGGCCGAGGGATGTGGGACATCGCTCACGTGCATGTGAGGTGTAATCACGGTTGAAGACCCGCGGACTTCACCCGTCTCAAGTATAGGCGTACGGATGGACCGGAGTCTGGAGTTCAGTCACAAGCGGCACACGCAATCGACTTTGGCAATTTGTCAGCTATTGATATTGGGAAAGCCCCTACTGGGCTCTGAATACGAATCGCGGGGAACAGTTTATCCCGCTGAAACAAATGGCAATGAGGTGCGTCGTCACATCGCTCAAAACCTGGTCCAGCTATCATCCACATGACCTGCTAGGCCTAGGATCGAAACGGTGACGCCGCTAGATATCCTCAAGAGTCCTGGATACATGAGAGAGAAAAGAAGGATACGGGGGGTAAAGACGAAATATATGAGCGCTCCCACCTGTGCCTCTTTTTTTTTGGCTCCGTGGCCAAGAATCCCCCTTGTTTCCAACCCAACTGGGTGCGAGATTACGCAAGGTCCCAAAGATCAACCCATCTGGAAACCCTCCAGCTCCAAGCATTAGTAATTGGGTTCAGGAAAACATAAATTGAATTATAAAGAAAGGAAATCACACAGCTGGCTATCGAGCGTGGAAGATATCGAGTCGGCTTGTGGATGATTGGTAGCGATAGCCAACGCGTAACCCCATGGTCATGTGGTCTTGACAGACACAAAACTTCGCCGTCTCAAACTTGGATAAGCACGAATGGGATAAGAATATCGCTGGCAGCTTCAACCCGCAACAGAAGGATGAAAGATAGATCAACGATCATCAAACTGTTCAGCTTGATCCAGACGAGCCGCTAGCCGTCAGACTGCAAGATTCAACATCCTGACGGTGGCTCGTTCTTCTTCAGTCTCCGTGTACAAATCGACAGCATTTCTGCGCCTGACCACGTTAATGTATACGTGACTGTCCTTCTTGCACCGGAAAAGATTCAAAACGCCTGAATCATATGGCGGATCTCTCTGGAGCGACTTCAGAGTCTGAAAAGGGATAATGCCAGGATCAGAGCAAGGCTGGTCTTCGTCGATCTCACAGCCCATGCTTCGAGTTGGTTCGGCAATATCGTCAAGAAAGTCATCCATGAAAGAATCCTCGTCACCATCTGGGACTGGGTTTGCTGGAGAGTGGTATTGATCAGCGCTGGAAACGGGCGAAGCAGACGAATAATTAGGGCTATCGCTGCTGCCTTCGTTCCGTAAATTAGCTGAAGTCTCAAGTTCCGGGCACTCGGCCAACTCCCTGCCGAGAGCCTCCAGGAATGCGTTTGCCTCCGTTCCGGCTTGCTCCCATTCGGCGTCAGTCGATTCTCCCGCTGCCTTGGCGTAGCCAAGGCTAGGTACCGCTTTCTTCGAATTGACATTCGGAGCATGTTTATGATCGGTGGCGATACCATGCTTGGCAGTTGGAGAGTCGGCGGAATCTCTCTTATTGCTCTTTTGCGGTGCCTCGAAATCATCCCATGGCAGACCGCCTTCCCAAGCATCTTGTTCACGCGGCTTCTTCGGTGGCGGATGGATATCATCCCAAGGAGATAGTCGGCCATCTGAACGCTTTCTCTTGTGCAGGGAGTAAACTTTTGTCTCATTTTTGCTGACGTCCTTGTTTTCAAAAACCTCTTTAGCTTTAGTCTTACCGCGACGCCTCGATCCGTCAGGATAATACGAATCAGGGGCTTGGCGTGATCCATTGGGGCGAGCCGACGGCTCGAGGCGGCGTGGCTCATTCCTGCGACCTGGAGATTCGCGACGATGCAATTTATCACTGCAATATGGAGACTCATATTGCGGTGAGTCATCGTCATGGTACCGGGATAGACGTCCGTTCTGGCGTCCCGAATTATCCTGACGATCTGCTTCATCACGACGAACCGAAATATCGGGGCGACGGGTCTCGCCGGGACGATACGAATCATCAGGACGGTAAGAGTCGTCTCCACGAGAATACGAATCAGGATAGTACGAAAAAGGGCGGTAAGAATCAAGGCGACGGCGAGGTTCGATCGGCGTCGTGTTGCTACCGAACTTCGCAGAACACCCAACCGGCATGAGGGAGTCTTGAGACTCGTACTGACTGTCATCAGTTTGGGAATGTATATATCTGGCTCGATCCTTGTTCATGTAATCGTTGATTGTCTTTGGAGCTTGCCCGGCGGAGGGCGGTTCTATCTTTCCAGCCGAGCTGAGATAGTCGGTTCCTCCCAAGCCCCTCGTAGCAAGAGACGTCGAGTGTTCGAGTGTATCGGTGCTGAAAGTATCGAGAGACATTTGGCATGGACTATCTCGACCCTCGTCAGATGACACGAGCAGTCTTCTTTCGGAATTCTTTTCCGAAACAATGGTTGAATCCGATATGCCACGGCATTTTCCGGGAGTTGATTCGCTATTAGTGCCTAGGACGACGGACTGAGGACAATCATGAACGTAGTGGATGCGAGAAGCACCACATACGCGGCAGACGTAACCCTTTGGAGGTAGCTTGTCAAACAGAGGATTGCCATTGGTAGGGCAGTGCTTGATAAAGTGACCTGGATTACCACCAGTCTTGTTAGCAAGTTGGTGTTTCTATCAAGCAACTCTGTGCATAACTACCTGGTATTCCACAGCGCTTGCAGACGTAGTTGCCAGAAGGCATCTGAGTCTCGGGTGAAGATAGGATAGAAATCTTCTTATTGGGGGGTCCAATGGAAGAAAACCCTTGAGACTCTGGCTCTTCAGAACGAGAAAACAGTTTTTGTCGGTAACTGAGGCTCGGATTATTTGATACAGACTGGACCTCTTCCAGTGCCTTAGTGACAGGGGTTGCCAGGGTCGATTTGGTCTGAGAAAGGACTAATCTCGTTGAGTCAGCTGCTGTTTTTGAGGATCGGGAAGTGGCATGTGTGGAAGGAGGGTCTGGAATTGAGCGTGAACGAGGCAATGATTTGTAGTTGATCTCAACGTCTCGTCTGGCAAGGTTGAAAGCCCGGCTACCCTCAGGATGCTCTCTGACGTAGCGATCTTTGTGTCTCGAGAAGGCACTAAGGACGAGTCCCTTGTTGTAATTTCTGGAACTCAAGTAGTCGCAACCTCTTCTGATAGTTTCGGATGAATCCTCGTGGGAACGGTGTCCCAGGTTAGGAATCTGGAAGACTAGCCATTTGGTGTAGATGTCTAGGAGTGACTCGTCGTCAATGTACTGAGGAAATTGACGTTCCAGCTCACGTTCAACATCCTTCTGTAAAAGGCAATAGAACTTGGCCGGACGCATTCCCAATATATCCGCCTCTGAGCCTAGCATGCTGGCAGCGGACATAACTGGTTGAAAGCGAAGTCAGAAGAGGTTCATCTTTCATGGGCGAGGCGTGATATTGAACTCTTACCAGACTACCCTGAACGTTGCCAGTTTTTTGCATCCAGAAAATAACTGAGCACTAGTGTCATATGTGACTGTATTTCGAGGGGGAATCACAGCTCTCTGCCAATGCCATTCAATTTGATCTGGTAGTATGAGGCAGTGCACATAGGATTGGTACAATGCCTCGCCAACATCAACAAACTGCGTCTCCCGCAGATTAAAGACCTGATAACAAAGCTTCAATGATTTGGAAAGGATAAGTCGCTGTCGAAGGACTTGATGAAGAGGTGTTGTGAAATGAAATTTTGACCGTGATTGCGTGACAAAGCTTGATCAAGGCTGGTCAAGTTTGTCGTGATTGTAGGTCACAGCCGGGATGTTTGTGAAAAAGAGACAAACAGCAGGAGAAATTGCAAAACTGGAAAACTCGAAGAAGGTACACCAAAAGGTAGGAGGCCATGATTAAAAGATGCACCTTCCTCGTTGACTGGCCCAGGTAGGTCCCTTCCTGTCCTCCATTTTCATTCTTCAACCCAAGACAGCATGGCAGCAAGGCTCCTTCACCATGTTGCTGATCAACCATTAGCCTCATAGTCTACAAGATACGGCATAGAATGAAAGGCTTCCGTCCGCAACCAGGTGCAAGAACGTCACTCCCAACGCAATAATAGATGGTTCCGATGCAGAAAGATGCAATACGAATTAATTCCACGCCATGCCTACACCGTACTGAAAGACGCATGTCCTACAGTCTCGCTACAGCTGCCTCTAAAATCAAACTGCCCAATCTCTGGCCTGTAAATGGTATCAATTTCACCTCTTCAGAGCTGCAAATCTCCTCTCCAACTCGGTGATGTCAGGCACGCTGCCCTCCGGACCCTGAGAGTTGGGTTTTTTCTGCGCCGCCGCGTCCATCTTCTTATTCGGCTTCAGCTCCAATGAGTTCAGCGTCACTTTGGGGTGGATATTATCCGTCGTCATCCTGGGCGGCGTTACGGTTAAGGGACTGCTTGGCACCCCAATCGTCCTCGGCGGCGTGGCTTTGCTCAGCTCCTCCTGCTCTTGGGCCAGCTTCGAGCTGTTGCCCTCGGGTATCCTCACACCGATTCCACCGCTCGGACTGTCTTCATCATCATCGTCCAGCAGGTCGGGCTGCTCTTCGGTGCGGGGCCGCCTCGGCCAGTCGACGTTGTATGCTTTCGCAATCTCCTCCAGATACCCTTGTACGAGCTCCTCCCTCGGCGGTGTAACGCTCAGCTTCTTGACAACCTTCTCCGAGACCTTGCCGTCCGAATTCTCCATCGCTGACAGAACAAATTCCTTGCCGTACTTCTCGCCCAGCAGCGTCCGCACCACCTGCAGCTCCTTGATCTCCGTCTTGGGCGCGGCGTAGATGATGCTCTTGACCGCTTCCTCCAGACCCGGATCACATGTCGATCCCTCTAGTAGCCCCGCTCGCGCGATCAGAAGCTCGCAGTACAGCTCCAGTATCTCGTGCAATTCGGTCGTGATATCAGATCGGATAATGTTCTCGACGCGAATGCGCGCAGAGTCTATCTTGCCCACCTCGAGGAGCTGCGCCATGGCGCGTCGTTGCGTCTTGGACATGGACTCGTCGCGCTGTTGAACCATACGCAACCGTGCGATGGCCAGCTTGAGCTGGACCTTGAGCTTCGTCTGTCGGCGGGAAGAACACAGTTAGCCTGGCCATGCCGTCATCACGATAGCGAGGCAATGGGGAGGGCTCGCGACTCACTGTGATTGTCGGCGGGGGTGCCATTTTGTTGCCCTTTTCAATTTAATTTGAGGAGAGATGACAGAGGGTATGGATCGAACGAAAGACACTGCCCTCAAGTAAGGTAATGGGACGCAAGGCAGCCGAGTTGAAGCAGGGCAGTGACCAAGCCCCGAAGGGCTCTGGCTGCCTTATCTAATCTAATCGCCACAGGTTGGTGGGATGGCTGGAGCTTGCGCCTCAATGCGGGGTGTTTCGGTGCCCAAGACATAGCGCAGTGGGATTAACCAGGCTATGAGGTACGTACGAATAGATATATATTCAGGGATCGTTCGTTCTCGTAAGATTGTCTGCAAAAATGTTGAGTAGAGCAGCTTGTTGCAGCCTTGGTTACTTTAATACAGCTTGGAGAGTATGCCGGCGGGCAAGTGTATGTTGAAGTACAACCCAAGAAGTCGCCATCTATGCACATGGGCACTGGCGTTCACATCCATGTCGACGTGTACTTGAACCGCCATGAGCCGTTGCATAAACATTTTGCTCTGTTGAGCTACCATAGCGACTACCTAGTCTAGTCACTGACTGAAGACGGCGCATAAAGTGCACCAAAACACAAGTCCAATAAACGCCAAGCCATCGCCCACCCGTGGGTATCTTTACATCGTTGCAGTAGAAAAGCGAGTTCGCGATGTCACAGTCGTTGGCAACCCGACACAGTCGCCCTGGATATCCGCTCCGAGATATGAGGATTAAAACTAAAGGAACGCGTCAGTAAAAACAACATGCATGTGGCATAAATACAACTCACAATATTGAGAGCAGTGTGTTGCGGCAGTCTCGTTCCGTTGAGCATAGCTCGGGTCTTCTTGGGGCGCTGCTGAAGGCGTCGGAAGGCCTCCTGAACATGGCGAGGCTCAATGGGGCTTCTACCCTCACTGGGCGGGTCGAACAACCCAGTTGCCACCTTTCGCTTCTTCGATCCGGCGTTCTCGCCGCCGCTCTGTGCCTTGAACAGATCCTCCTGTTCTTTGACCTTGAGCGCGTGCTCGGTCAGCGTCTGCACCATCTCGAAAGTCAAGAAGCCCAGGATATCGACGATATCATCGGAGGGCTTGCTGTCTGTAACGATGCCAAAACCAGCCCACTCGCGGAATCGCTTGCCCTTGCGGTAAGTGAAAGAGGCCTGGCGGTATTCGGACCAAGTCACATACTCCTCCTTCGTCATGGCCTTGGTGCGCTCATCGGCCTTGCGGAGACGCTGGAGGGTGATGAAGTTCATTTCTTCCTCCTCTTCGTCCTCCTCGTCATCGCGCTCGGGAACTTCCTGACTGTAGAACGACGAGGGCTCCCAAGGGAGGCCAACCTTGGCCTTCTTGTTCTTCTTGGTAGCATCGTCAACTGGACCGCCAGGAACTACGCCTCCAACAGGGTCTTCGCCGGCACCAAGATCAGCTTCACCACCCTTGTCGTCTGAATCCTTGACGTTTTTTCTGACGTCCTTCCAAGAGAGGAAAGTCCGCAAACGAGAGACCTTGGCTTGGTCGTGTCGAATTTGGAAGATCAGATCGTTGATCGTAATGGCTCTGGCGCCGCGACGGGCTGCAAGCTCAGTGCAATTTCGAAGCTGACGAGACGTTAGCCTAGCTGAGTCGTTTTTGGCGCGCAATAACCTACGAGTTCAATGACTTGTTGTCGAACAATGTCTTCAATTATGCTTGTGGTTTCAATCGACGGCTCGGCAGTCTCGCCAGAGACGTACATCATCTTGCGCAGGACGTTAGTAAACCTATCGATCCAACCGTAAGGCGGCTTGTCGCCGCTCTCGTGTTTGAGCATGAAAGAATCAGTTTTGCTTCTGGGCTTCAAGGGTCCGGGGCGCTTGCCCTTCGCCCACTGGTGCTCTCCGCTGCATGTAACATCTAGGATGGATTTGTAACCGGACACGACAGCGATGCTCCGGATTTCATCGAACGCGGACTGGAAAAGCTCCATACTCTCGCGCTGGATGCGTGCCGCTACAGCCGCCTTTGCTCTGGAGGGTCGTAAGTGTGTCGACTTCGCTGTGACGGCATCAAGTTGTGTGTCGGAGACCCCATGTGCCAACGGTTCGGTGCATTGTTCGAAGATTCCGAGACTTGTTTCGAGGCTTCCCATGAGGTCGCTCATGGGACACCTGACGCCGTCTTGGTCGTAATGAAGCCTCCAGTCAAGGAACGTCTGAAGCTCATGGTCCATAGCTACGGCTATTCCCCTTTCTCGGCGCAGATGTCGTTTGAAGAGGGGAAATGCTTCTGTCGTTGAGAATTTGGAGTGTTTCCATTGGGTGATATCTGGCGGGCGCCTTTTCTCGGGAGGAAGCAGCAGATGAAGACGAGGCAGGTGCAGCTTCAGTAACCATCCCTCGTCGAGGACTGGGTCTTTGGTACAGCTGGCAACTACGCAAACCCCAGTGTGTCCTTCATGGTCTAGTACTGCGCTTGGGAGAGACAAGGAGAAACACAGGAGTCCATAGAGAATGGGCTTTCTTGCAATTTATCCTCGTGGTTGTGGTAGCCGTCAATTCACCATCACCAGTACCATCAGACACGCCCGTGAAGGGCCTTGTCCTTCAGATGTTCCTTGGCTGGACTTCCAAGCCAACATGTAATTTCCGCGGCCATTATCGCTAAATTTTCGAGGCAAAGGGATTGTGGCACCAATATGCTGGAGAGATTTGGCGACGAAGCGATTTTACTCACCTGACTGATCTCCTGGCGGTACTTGTACGCCTTGTCATCTTTGGACGCCATTTTGGCAAATGTCCTGAGGTACGCCCCGGGACGATTAAGAGCAGTATGGCTATTCGTACGATTATACTGTAGTAAGTTTCTTCCGTGATGTGGCAAGCAATAGCTGATGATAACGATGGATGCGCGTAAGTTTTGAACGGGGCTAGAAGGCTGGTCGAGGGGAGTGAAATCGGGCGGCTGGAGCGTAGGTGATAGAACACAGCCCAGCTCCAGTCTCTAATAAATAGCTCTTTTACTACTCTGGTAACGAGAAAAATAAAAATAAAGTTGAGCTCGATTGCGGTAACAAAATGCCAAAGATATAATAAAGTTGTAAGGTGGTATGGATGAGAGACTAGGAATGGAGGAGACAAACGGTGATGGTAGTGTCGATGGCGGTCCAGCAGCAACGCGCACAGGCCAGCATCGACAGGGTCCTGGCACGGTACCCAGTACAGGCTTCTGATTTCCGCTGACGGATAAAACAATAGCCGAGATCCGCCCAACCGATAACCTCTCAGGCCCAGATGCCGGAATCCATCAGTACTTCAAAGCCGGAATACGCGACAACTTGGCTGACCAAGAAGACGACGATATACAAAGCCAAAACTGAAGCTTTCTGACGAAGTTTCAACTTTACCAGGCGACCTACTCCGTCTCCCTTGTAATTGATGTATCCGTACGAGGGCTTACAGGCAGCGCCGCCACAACGGCCGCAGGGGCAGGTCATCCGTTTTCAAGGTAAATGTCACAGCCTATCATTGGTTGCAAAGTAGAAATCGTTCATTTGCTTCTCCTTCGGTAAACCTTCGGATTCAGAACTCGGGAAAATTCCATGAAGTTCGTCTGCGGCATATTAGTGTAGACACCCCCTGGCCTGCGATGTGAACGAGCGGGAAGCCACACAACCGATGCGGAGATTATTGTCGGGTGTACCTACCTTCAAGTCTTTGTCGAAGCTTCCGGTCCGTAATACGAGTTGGACTCAAGGATTCGGAGAAGGAAAAGTCCTTCAGAAACAAATCAAATGTCCATGAACTCGTTGACCAAGTTCACCAATTGGTCAAGGTCTTGGAACGTGGCAGGCTATACATAGCCATTCGGAATGTACAAGAGCAAATAAAAAAATAAAAAGGTAAGAAATGAAATTAATCAATTGGATAAGTAGCATCAAGCTTAGAGTTGATAAAATCATTGGGAAAATGCGCCCCAACCAGCTGACAGCCAGTGTCCGGTAGCAACTCAAGGCGTGGCTTGCTTCCACACACACTGAGCCGAGCACTTACAGGTTCCCTTAGAGAGTTGATGCAGCGGCACCTGTAGTTTGCGGCTTCAGGTTTGACAAAGAATGATAGGTTCTCTACAAGAAAGTTTCTCGGCAGCCAGCAGACCATAGCAATAACTTGGTGTATTCCATCTGGAGATCAGCGGGATGCGCAGTAGTACCCGTCGGCCAGAGCGCCGGTGAAGACCTGCTGCGGCCTCCATAACAAGGGGCCCTTCTCGAGCATTGCCTCCCGCCAGTGAGCAAGCACACCGGGAATACGGGACAGGCTAACCATGGCTATGATGATGTCCGGTTCGAAGCCAAACGCAGTGTACAGAAAGCAGCCGTAGAGGTCTGCGTTGGCCTTGAGGTTGCGACTCGTGAAGTATTCGTCGGTGCTGGCAATACGGTCGATCTCCATCGCGACCGAAAGCAGCGGGTTCGACTCGACCTTGTCCCAGTACTGGTCAATCATGGCCCGGATGAACTTGGCGCGAGGGTCGACGACCTTGTATACCCGGTGGCCGTACCCGAAAAGACGTTGCTTCTTGGCCTTGACGTCGACAATCAGCGCCGGGACGTTTTCGAGTGTTTTGACATCTTGGAATGCCTTATATGCGAGGTCGATGGCGCCGCCGTGGAGCGGGCCGTATCCGGAGACGATTCCTGAGATACAGCACGACAACGGATCAGCCAGCGTGGAGGCTGCATGCAAGAATGCAGAGGTTGAGTTGGTCATTTCTTGGTCGGCGTATAGGATCCAGAGCTTTTCGAAACACCGTACCATTTCCGCGTCAGGTTTGCCACTCATTCCTTCTTGAAAGCCCATCATCCTCAAGACATTAGCAATGAATGAAGCTTCGGGGTCGACAGGAGCGAGCCATTTACCGCGTTTGTGGCAGTATGTGAGAGCGACGACGGTGGCGAGAGCGGATATGGTGCTGATGAGGGCGTCATCAACCTTGTCGGGTTGGCCCAAGTACGCCGGACAGCCGGACTGAAGTGTGCTAATGGCTCCCTCGTCTCGGCTGGCGTAAGCGGCCATACCGGCCATGACCATTGTGCTAGTCAAAGAGTCTCTGGGGAAGGAGGTGATGACCTGGACGACGTGCTCGGGAGGAACGCAACCTGCAGCAAGCCTGCGTTGAAATTCTTTCTTCTCTACCGCGTCGGGTAGCCGGCCCCAGATGAGGAGGTGTATGGCCTCTTCGTAGTCATGATTCTTAACAAGGTACTCTATGGGGTAACCCCGAAATTGGATGTAGCCTCGCTTGCCGTCGACGAAGGTGATGTTGGATTCCACACAGGCGGTATTGCGGTAGCCGGGATCGAGGACACACAAGCCGAGGTTAATTTGGCCGACAGATTCAATGCCGCAATGAGCAGCGGTGATCTTTTGAAACTCAAGGGCGCTGACTGCATTGCGCCTGATGGGGATCTCGTAACGCCGCTTCGTACGGTTATCAAGGACTGTCAAGGTGCTGCAAGGAGAGTCGATATCATGCCGTCCGAGGACCCAATGGACTATTTGAGGAGACTTCCGAATAGCCTTGTTGACCATGACCATGCTGCGTTCAACCAGACTGAGCAGACTGAAAAAGGGCCTCAAGTGATTAAGACCATATGAGATGACCCCCATCCCGATGGTTGGGATACCGAGTTGACTGAAAATGGTCTGTACATTCCGTATCTCTGCCTGTATTGACTGCCAGCATAGAGCCTTCCAGAAGGAGTTTCCAAGTCGACCGTGATTAAATTTGGTAAAGTCTTTAAGAAAGGTCATCTTATGTTTCGATTTCTTCAAGTTATGGTACTCTGTAATTCATTCGGTTCTATGCTGCTCGTGTGTCCTTTGGTGACCGGATAGACTGTGATCAAGACATATTTATCTTCTTGAAAAGGGACCCAGTGCACGTTGAATCTTCTTCCACACAATAACAGGCGCAAAGGGGCCCCCAAGTGCGCCTGATATTGATTTTTAGTTGCAGCCCCCACGTGCTCACGTCTATTGATTTTTAGCTGACGCCCCCATCCTGCACTTTGATTCTTCAGCCATTGTCTTGCGCCAATGCGCTTTCCTGTCGTTCAAATGGGATGTATTGAACTCTGCTCGTATTGGTCAAGAGATCATCGTGAGGCGTTCTTATGGCATGGACTACTAAGCCGACGTGGTATCTGCGTGGGAGTGTCCTGCCCTGACTCCCTTGCCCCCCAATACTTTGTCGACGCATCCGCTGACAATTAACGCATGCAATATGTTTTCAGCTGGGATAGATGCGGATAAACCGGCTGGATCTTTATCCTTGATACCATCTTTCTGTCCAGTGAGCTGTATTTTATGAAGGTAGACGGGGCGAATGACTTGCCTTTCTGACCCTCCCGTGCAGCAAAAGCTGCCCCCAACCGGGTCGCCTCAAACTTGCCATCAGATGACGAAGACTTCACGCTAGTCACAGATTAACGATGGGCCGTGGCGCGTAAGCGACTGGGAAGTTACACATTGGCTGGGCTTCACAGGAGAGGTGGAGCTCCGAGCTTCGCGAGTGTGCGTAGTTCGCCCAGGGCACTTGAACGCAAGGAAGTTTCGCGTCGACGAGTAGCAGTTGAGCACGGCATGTGTTCACTAGAATTAATAAGAGAATTGAGAAGCAAGAATAATAGGAAAGCCTGGAGAAGAAGTACCACGTTCCTTCGAGGTAACGTGCCTCTATGGCCCCTGTGTTACATATATATATATATACATAACATACGGCGAAGAATGCTGTCCTCACGGCCGTGTGCTCGCCTGCCCATGCCCTTGAATCCCTCAGCCTTTACACCCTGTCTGTCATGTCCTGAAAGTCCCTAAATGTTGCTATCATTAAAAGTGCCTAGGTCGAAAAAATGCCAGGCAAAAGTACACAGTGCCGTTCTCGAGTCCGGCGGCTTTTCTTGGCCGTGAATGGTGCCTGCGATTTGTTCCATGGCTTAGATGGGGGCGGCAGGCTCCTCCACCATCTCGGTGTCTTCGGAAACGGGAAGCACGCCATCAGGGCCCTCACCCTCAAACATCTTGCCACCCTCATACGTCTTTCTCCTCCAGCCGCAGGCTTCGGCGGGATCCTTGATCCACTCCGTCGTCGGGAAGTAGTGCTCGTTCTTCTTCATGGTGATGACCCATGGCACACTGTCGAACGTTACAGCCTTGAGCCGGAAATCTGGTCATGATGATCAGTTTATGTGTAGATTGAGAGACTGCGATAGAGTGACTTACAGGTGTTGTCTGGGATTCCCTGGACAGAAGCAAGGAAAGTCTCCAGATCAGGCGTCGGCTTGCCGTTGACATGGGTGATGAAGTTGGTGGGCGCGAGGCCGTACTGGTACGACGGTGAACCGCGGGTGCGGGCCGAAACGTACACCTCACTGTGCAGCTTGCTAATCTGCTGCCTGACGGCGTGGTGAGGTCGGTGCAGGATGGCTCCGCAGAAGGAGATGGCGTGGTCAGTCTCGACATCATCGGCGGCGACGGTGTGAGCCTTGATGTGCATCTCCTCGCAGTTGCGGACGATCACTGCGTCAAGAACCTCGTGAGAGTACATGACATCCAGCTCGGAGACCCTGGTGATGACCTTGCCGTTGAGAGTGAGCAAAATGTCACCCTCGAGCAGCGCGCCTGACTGCTCGCCTCGCTCAAAGGTCCGCTTGCTGACCATGAACAGCTGGTGGTGCGTCTTGTTAGCCTCGGTGACCTTGCGAATCCACTCATCAGAGACCCCCATAACTCTGGCCTGGGCCATAGCAATGGCTCGGAACTCGACAGACAACATCCGCAACTTGGGGATGATGCCCTGTTGGATCTGAGAGACCACGGGCAACAGCGTGGGCGTTGCAAGACCAAGATGGTACTCCTCGTCCCGGTTGCTGCAAGCCGAACGCTCGCCAAGGTACGTGAGCCACAAGGCCTGGACAGTGCCATCATCAGCAACCAAAACGCCGCTTCCACATTGGTTGCTGAGACTGGTGTCAACCGTGATGGCATCGACGTTAATGGCTCGGTATCTGGGCGCACCAGAGTTGGCCGGGATGGCAACAGCAGTGACTTCGGTGACTGTTGTCGTGGCATGTACAATCTTGCCAATCCTGTTGTATCCCATGAAGATAGTGGAAGCTCCCTGGGTGATGTTGTCTGTGCTCAATCTCGCACTTTGGACGGGAGCATTGACCAACTTGGGGTCGTACTGCACAATGGCGTAGTTTTGCAGAGGATGAAGGAAGACAACCTTGCCTTCGACAATAATCGAGTCCGCAATGGTGATGGTCACATCGCACAAATCGTAGGGGACAATTGCTCTCGAAATGACAACGAGACCCTTCTCCGCGTCAATGACCAAGCCCATGCCCCACTTCCTGTTCTTGGGGAAGCCGTCGAGCTTAACTGGCATGGTGCAGTTGACATGGACAAAGCTTCGCACCAGGTCAGCAATAGCCTTGTGCTTCACATTCTCCAGCTCGATGAAGGAAGCAGAGCGGGCGACAGGCGCCTTAGGGGGTAGGGGGTCAGCAAGGTCCGTGAAGTCCCACAGGCCCGTCTCGTCGTTTCTGACGGCCATTTTCATCTTGGCTGACCAATGTCGGTCGACGTAGATGACTGTGGTGTTCAGGGTGTGCAGGTCACGGAGGTGCTTGTAAGTGACAACGACGCGGGACTTGTCCGGGATCGCCTTCATCACCTCGATGAAGGTCTCCAGATCAGGGGTCTTTTTGTGGTCCACGGTCTGGATCAGCCAGCCATTATCCGCGTTATCGAATCTGAACGAGCCTGTGGCCTCGCACACGAAGACACCTTGGCATGCAACGCCGTACAGACGGGCTTGCTGGTAAGACAGGCTGTGGAAACTGGCACCCGCGACGGACACGAAGCGGTCAGGAGTGATCTGGTGCAGGTCACCGACTTCAACATCAACCTCGATATCCTCGCCACCCCTCTGCAGTTGCAGGTGGATGGTCTTGCCGACGTTTGAGTCTAACAAATCATCCAACCGGATGAACTGTCCAACGCGCTCGCCATTCACCTTGATGAGAATGTCACCCTCCTCAATCTTCTTGTCAGACTGGCCCTTGGGAAGAACAATCTCGGCAACAAGCATGTTGTTGTCTTTGGGAAAAGCTTGACGAGCTGCGGCCTCCTCCTCTGGCGTCAAACCGAGACGTCGGCACTCGTCGAAAGGCTTGAGGAGGAATTGGCACTGAATGTCACCTCGCGTGACGGGCTTGCCCTGCCGAATGCATTCTAGAGCTCGTAAAGGTCGGTCGAGGGGAAGGAAGTAGTCTGTAGAGGCACCGTCGGATCGTCCACCTGCTTGCAGCGCAACAGCGAAGCCGTCAATGTTCACGACAGGACTGCCAGAACTACCACCACTTGCGGCAGCGTTGGCCTGGTAGTAGCACGTGTTGAAATCGCTGTAACCCTCTCCGTACTCGGGGGCGTTTCGGTCGAGACGACTGATGAAGCCGGACAAGATACTGAGCTTCTCTCCGGCATCGTTACCGACGACTCTGATCTCAACACCGACTGCCGAGGCGTTAGCGGTGACCCACTCTAGTGCTTGTGGCCATCAAGGTGTTTGCCTACCCTTCGCAAGGTCTGGACGAAGCACCAGCGCGTTTAGCTTCATGTACTTGACGGCCTTGGGGTCGAAACGCAGAATGCCGAAGTCATGGACGGGATCACGGTAAACGGGGTATGCATCAACCTCCTCATGGTTGTCGAAAACGATATATCCCCAGAACGGCCCAGCTCCAACGACGTGTCGGTTCGTCAAGACGTAACTGTATCACAACGATGTTAGCACGGTTGTCTCTCTTGCATCTATACCAGCGCCAAGTATATCATACCCCTTCTGAGCGTCCACCACAAAGCCAGTCGCCTCACTCGTCAGCGCCGCGTCCGTGTCGAAAGAGCACGTTTGGCAGAAGCGAATGGAGACGACGTTGCTGACGACGTTCTCAATGGTCTTCTGCCAGGCCTCAGGCTCCTGAGTGATGGGAAACATGCTGTTCAGCCTGGCGGAGTCCTCAAAATCGGACTCGTCCTCTTCGACGAAAGCACCGTGTTCGAGCTCGATCTCGGGAGTATTGTCGCCGGCGGACAGCTTCCCATTCAGGGCGCGGTGCTGCTTGTGAGGCCGCAAGCCTTCTGGGCTCGGCGGAGCCTTGCGCTTGGTGCGCGGCGATGTGTTGTTGCCGTTCATGTTCGCGGCCTCGGGTGTGGTGGTGTGGGTAGAGGTGTGGCTTTGTTGCGCAGTGGAGGAGGTATTCGGTGCGGCGGCGGCGGCAGAGGAAAAGAGACGGCGGGTCTGGGCAAAGTCGAACCGTCGCGTGTTCTTATAGCGTATGTCTCTAGCAGGAACGACAAGAGAAGTGCGGGAGCGGCCGCGTTGTGCGAACGGGAAGAGCTCGTGCTGCCGTCTGAAAAGCTGGGGGAGGAAAGCAAGTGTGGTGGCGGTGGTGATGGTGGTGGTGGTGCAGGACGCAGTCCGAGGTCGTGGTGCTGCTACTGTAGTGGATGCAAGGCTCGAGCAAGTCCCTCTGCGTACGAAGACGGAGCGCATCCAGCGTGGGTAGGGAAAGGACGGTATGGTGGCAACCTAACCCTCCAGCAACAAGAACAACGTCTCTGTGAATGAACGGCGGGAAATCAGTGCTCTTAGCTATCAAGGTAGCTATGAACTGTACCTAAAGCCTCGGCACAAGTGATCCCCTGAAATGTGATGAGGACAATAGAAAAAACGCTGTCCCAGAACCAACTTTTTTATTTTTACTTTTACGCGGTCTGTCGTCGTCGTCGCCCGTCGTCCGTCGTCAAAAATTTCGGGTGCGGAACAATCGATGGCAAACAAACAGGATCTGTCCAATATGGGGTCACCCAGACTAGATCACCAGGCTAGTTGCATAAGAGCCCGCTTATATGCGTGTATGTCCCGAGTGGGTGTCCATCCCTGGGTCAGTCTCCACTATCGTCCGGGTGCTGATGTAATGTGCTACTAGCGTCATGTTAGAGCCTTGTAGCCTTCGCTGAGCCGGTCCGGTAACATGGTGAAGTTCGGTTAACAGTCTTAACAGGCAGAAGTCAACGGGTGTGTGTCTGGCCTGCAGCTTTAGATGGGACGGTATGGATCATGCTCTCATATGCACACCACCATTGTCAGGATTTCAGTGTGTATTGATATGCAGGTCTCACAATGTTCTGCTCGAATGACCGCTTGAGATGCACCCTTTGCCTCGGAATCTGCCTTCGGCAATCTGATTCGCTCAACGACACATCTATCACTCACCGGCCGCCATTTCGAGCCTTTACCACCACCCACCACGGCGGTCGTTACGATTCCAATACGAGGCAGGAAAGAGAGTGTAAAGTATTCGTTATCGATCCTGCTGGTTTTGGCTACCTGGTAAATCTGCCTACTCGAGGGAACATATGTCCAGTATCCCTAAGATGCTCTTCCAAAGAAAAGAAAGCTCATCCAAGTAAGAATAGAGCCATGAGTGCCACCAGTTGTGTTCATAAACCAAGCTATACCAGCGAATAGCCATCCTCAAAGCGAGATCCATGAGTGATGCGTAAATAAGGAAACCGAGCTGCAGTAATGGTGGGCAGCTTCACGCTGTAGTTGAAGCGTCCCAGTTGACTAGGGTAGCATATTGTACCCTCGGACGAGATGGAGAAACGACTTCAAGCCCTTCCGAACTACTTCTCATCGCTGTTTTCCTCCTTGGGAACATCGGCCTCAGTACCAGCCTCATCAGATACTGGTTCGGTCTTGGTGGCTGTCTTCTTGGCAGCGGCGCGACGCTTTTTGGGAGTGCCGTCTATTATGGATAAGTCAGCGGCGGCGTCTTGTAGAGGAAAGGGCGAATCAACACCTACCAGCGTCGGTGGCAGCCGCGCGCTTTTTGGGAGCGACCGTCTTCTTGGTCTTTCCGTCATCCTGATCGTCGCCAGAGTCCTCGTTGGCATTTTCGCTGTTCTTGGCAGCAGCAGCCTTCTTCTTCGCAGCGGACTTCTTGCGGGCTTCGAAAGAATTAGTAAGAAGCGATGGCCGATGTAAAGGAGAAGGAAGTGATGGCTCACGAGTCTTGGCCTTGGAGGCAGGGGCGTCACCTCCGTCCTCTGTGTTGAGATCACGCATCTGGGCAAGGATCGAGGTCCACTGGCCTTGCATAGCCTTCAAGGTGCGGTTGGGCATATTTACACCCTTCCAATCGACGCCTCGGCCTTCGGTGAGTATGGTTGCGAGGACGCGGAGCACAAGCTGGAACTATCCGCCTTGAAGTAAGCAAAGAGTCGGGAACAAATGAGAACCGAAGGAAAGAGATACTTACACGCTCGGTGTCAGTCCAGCCACCAGGACGGCCACCAGCAGGAGCGCCTTCGGCGGCGTTAGTAGAGGTGGAATCGGCCATCTTGAAGGTATAGTACTGTTGAGGTCAGCAAGAGAGTCAGTCGAATATTAAGAGTGAACAAGCCAGGAGCCAAAGTGTCCGGAGGTGTGAAAATGGAAAGCGAGAGTGAACATGAACGAGATAGACGAGAGTGGGGAATATGGGGAATGAGGAACGAGGAAGAGTGTGCGGGAAGGGCGATGGGAGAGGAGAGTTACCACGTACTCTGTAATATGAATAGGAGATGGGAAAGCACTAGCTACTTTGTAGTGGCTGAAGCGGGATGGCTCTGAAGGCTAATGAAAGTGGTAGTTGTTGAAGGTGAGTGCGAAGTGGAAGAGGAGAAATAGTAGCAGGTTGAAGGGGTTTTATCTGGGTGGAAATCAGGAAAAAAGAGCAGCAGAAAACGGAAGCTGGGTATTCAATGAATTGGGAAGGAAGCGAAGGAAAGGAAGGGGAAGGCTCAGGGCAAGTTCTAGGTATCTCCTTCCCATACTTCAGTTTCTTTCGGACAAGTCTGACTTGCCTATTTCAAGTGAACACAAGACCTCCAACGAGCGAACTCCTTTCGCCAGCTGTATCCATAAAGGAGAGAAAATTCCCTTTGGGATATGAGACCAGAACACATACCCACCAACGAGGACGGTGCTCCTGACTTCCCCTTCTTCAACAAGGGGGAAGGGGCAGTAACCCAAGACATTTGTTCAACTTACACACTGCAACATGCACGCTTGAGTAGCCGACCCTAACCGTGATTGTTCTGGTGCCAACACATGCGCGGCTCCCCTTACTCTCTGGGGATCGCGTGGAAGAAGGCACTCTTAGGCGCGGCTTTGAGCGATTCTAGCCGGGGGGGGTCAAACATTGTGCCTCACTGAGAGCCTCAAGCATGACCATGGACAAGGTTGAAGCCATGGTTTCGGGCACCTTTGATCCAGGATTTCTGTCAATCCAGACCGGCCGTTCAGATGTGAAGCGGTATGGTAATGTAAGAATGGAGGGCTTGTGTATGTCTTCCATGGATGATGCGAAGTTGGCCGGTAAATGTATTGATGAGTCGTCGAAACATCTCAACTATGAGAAGGTGCAGGCCTCCGTTTTTGTACTGAATATGTGACACTGCAAAAGGCGCTGACGATGCCAATCGCTAATAGAAGGCACTATACCAAGCAGATGAAGGATAAGAAATGACCAATAAGCAGAATGAAGGCGAGGCCGATGTAGCATGGTATGAACATGGTGCTTTCAATCACCACCACATATCCGGAGATACAGAGTAGCAGCTGGGACGATACTGACTTCTTGATGATTATAAAGTACGTACGGCAATGAGTTACGAGTACGAGCTTGGCATGTGGGGGGAACGATGCCACATATGGAATCACACCGTGGCTTCTTTCTCCATCTACTCTGTCCGAGGAACCCAAGAGACATCCCCCTTGTCCGTCTCGATGGAAGCCAGCAATTTTGCCGGCGCGGAATTGAATATCTACCACCATAAAAAAATTGGTAGAAAAATGGATCTAATATGTTAATTATCTATCTCATCCCTCCGTCTCTCGTCAGCGTAAAAAGTACCAACGCCTCAGAAGACAACCAAGTTTAGTACATATTACACAACCCATTCCATATACCTTAGCCAAAGCAAGAAGCAGCCAAGGCTTGTCCTACGAAGACTGTGTGAAACCCTTTCTAAGGCGACGTGACCAGTGTTAATGGTCGAACCAAAGAACCGCGAAGTCCAATGCGGAAAATAAACCTGTAAAAACGTAGCGCATATATGAGGCGTGCAACCCCCTCTCCTCTCGTCTACATCGTAAAGAATCGCCGTCGTTATGTGAGATATCGACGTCCAAGTTGTATGTGCAACGCGGATTGAACAACCGCAGGTAATGATAGACAAGTCGAAGCGTGGTTAATATCCTCCCAAATGCCGGGTTTCGTTGCGGGTCATGTCCCTTCAAGTCCAAGCAGTCGTCAAAGTTGCGAAACACTTCGCAAGGCGAGGAACAACAAACCACCAAAAGGTATGGAATCCTCCCGAAAAGAAAGAACGAAGCTTGCGGCGTAGCGGAAGGTTAAAAAGACAACAACCACACCCGTTCCATTACGCTGCCATCTTGCCTTTGTACACCATAAACTCCCGAATGCGGGCTTCGTGGTCCTCACAGGCAACAGCCCACTTTCTTCGAACCTCCTTATCCTGTGCCATCCATTCCAGATACTCCAGAATCTCATCGTCGCCGCGAGAGACGAGGAAAGAATAGCTCTTTCGAGCCCGAAGATCGGCAATGTTCGCCTTGCGTGCATTGAAGTGCTCGATGACTTGAGCGTTGAAGATCTCCCATCTCAGGACATAGCTCTCAAAGTCCCGCGTGTACTTTTGCCAGGCACCGCCCGTGGGCTTGAGGCCGACTGCGAATGTCGGCGGAGGTCGAGGTGCCTGGGGAATCACTGGAAAGTCGAGAGGCGGCTTCGTCTCTTTCTCGATCGGTGCTCGGCTTGAAGGCTGACTCTCGAAAGGAAGGTTCATTTTGAGGTCGCCCAGAGAACCCAGGCCAGAGTTTTGTGTAAAGGGCGCCACATTCTTGAGGTCAGCGAGGCTGGCCCTAAATTCTTCGCTGTCCTCCGAACCGGCAGCATTGGGATTGAACTCTGGCTCCTTACGCGGGAGCTTGGGACCGGTCTCCTGCATTCCATTCACATTTCCAGGCCTCCATTCCGGGCGAGATGGTTCGACGGGAATGTTCCTCACACCGCTAGAGCGGTCTCTTCGCGGTGCATCCCCGCTCTGTGGGGGGTCAATGTCCATCGCATTCGGGCTTTTCGCCCCAACTGGCTCGGTGGTTGATTTGCGACCACGCCACTCACTCTCCTCATCGCTGTCATATTCGTCACTCACTAAACCGGCGCCGCCACCTGCTGTTGGCTTGACCCTGGTCTTCCTGGAATTCGCCCGCGAGATACGAGTCGGGGATGTCGACGCGGACTGTGTCGGCACGAAGTTCTGCGCTCCAATCTTCTGTGTCCAGTCCTGAGCGTCAAATTTGCCATCAGCCGAAGGTGAACCCAACGGCTGACCAGAATTGTCTTTCTGATGTCTCAAGCTCGGACGTTTGATCGGCGATCGGCGGCCTACACGACTTCCAGACTGCGAGCGAACATTAGCAGCTGGATCCTGGATGGGGCTGCCAGCACTGAATGTGTAGGCCTCGGAGCCATCGCCGTTAACAAAACTAGTGTTGATACCATCGGTGCTCTTTCGGCCGAACGTCGGCTGCCGCGGCACGGTGCGGGCGAAAGTGTCGTCGTCGATCGGGAAGTTGAAGCTATCGTTGGTTCTCTTGTCAGCAGTGTTCACACCATTGTCATGGTCAGGGGCAGTAGTATGGCGCTTGTGACGCCCGAGCGGCGTCAGATCGGGGGCCTGCCTCTTGACAAGCTTGCTCAAAAGTTCACCCTGCTTCCGTTCGAAAGGCGTGAGCAATTGACTTCCCGAGCTGTCTCCACTAGGAGACGGCGACTCGAACACCTTGGCGTCGCTTGTGCGTTCAGCCCCCTGATGCCAACAAGCCTTTGGTTTCCACGTTGAAGATGCTCCATAGTTGCCGTGCGTGAAAGTACAATTTGACTGAGGAAATGCGAAAGTAGAAAATGGAGCTGGAGAAGGGAAGTCGTACATTGAGGATCCTTTGGGCGTTTCTGTTGCCTGGCTGTGACCAGTTCCTGATGTCGGGATTAGCTATAGCTCGATACTGACAATAAAAGATACTCACCGTTGGGGTTATGCGAAGCCGCTGACTTGGGCTGACTGTTATCAGGAGGATGACCCGCGGCAGTGTCTGGCGGCGTATATCTTGCGCTTGCGCGGGATCTGAAGGGGTCTTTAGGGGTACGGGACGCGGTGGCGCTTGATGAGTTTGGGCGGTCGTCCTGCGGCGTCGACGTGGATGTCCTCGGGCTCGAGGGTTCAGTCTTCGCCTCGCGTGGGACACTCTGGGCGCGTGTTCGAGCACTGCCCGGTGAAAGATTGGAGCCATGGCCCTCCTGAGGTGGTCGAGGGCTCTCACGAGTGCTCTTGGCCCGTCCTATGGGGATTCCGTCAAAAGGGTTGGTCTTCTCTCCGCCATTGGAAGTGTACGGAGTGCTTTGGCGAGTATCCGAGTATGCCTCGCGAAACTGGGCGAGAGGATCCGGTACGCCTGCCTCTTGTTGTCTGCGGGCATTGTCTGCGAAGATGTTTGTGTGCCGGGAAGAGGTGGAGTAGTTGGATGTGTTTACCGAGGGCTCATCTCCAGGCACTGGGGAGTGAGGAGTGTAGCCACCCTTGCGTCCAAATGAAGCCTCGGCTCTCTGTTTCTGGGAAGGAGTTCGCGGTACCGGTCGCTTCGGAGTCTCAGGCTGGGGTCTTGGCTGGGACTGGCTGGCGCGACCGCCCTTCATGTTCTCGAACGCATGCCACGCGTTGCGCTTCGCTTCAGGGTCGTCTCTTGATTGCTGTGCTTTAGCCGTAGGGGCGGCACCCGACGCAAAGTTGCGATATCTGCTCGCACCCGAAGCTGGGGGAGGCGGCGGAGGGTTACGAGTCGTTGCGTTACGGCGAGGAGGGGGTGGGAAGTTAGCACCCGCGTTCTGCCAGGGGTTGCCTCTCACCCCAGAGGCCGTGGGATATCTTGATCGTGTCCGTCCAGCATCATATTTGGCTCTCTGCTGGGGATCGGTAAGAACCTCGTGGGCCGACTGGATGATCTGGAATCTGGAGTTGACTTCGGCCTCGCGTCCTGGATTACGATCGGGGTGGTACTTGAGTGCTGTCATGAGTTAATGAAGTGGCCCAACAAACGTGCAACAAAGTGATCTCGTCGTACCAAGCTTTCGGAACTGCTTCTTGATCTCGTTGGTGTCAGCGTCCGCTGAGAGCTCCAGGTCCGCGTAGTAATCGCGGCTCATATCAACTCCTCCCATCCTGAAGGTGAATAGAGGCAGTCAACGGGCTAGCGATTGTTTGATTGCTATGTTGCCCAACACGCATACCAGGCTTGAGGCACTCCTCTGTGGTCCAAAGTATCGAACTGTTTACGAATCGCCAAGTCGGAATGCACTTGGGAATGTTGAAGCTGCCCTTGCCAGTCGAACTATTGGAAGTGTTGGTTGAGTGCGGGCAAGTGTCCTGTGGCGTCTCAGCAAGGCCAAACGCTGTGTCGACGGTGGCTGAGCAGGTGATGTGACGTCCAGATTTGCGAAGCTAGTCGGCGTTTCCCGAGCGGCGCGATTGCGTTATGGGAAGCAGCGAGTCGTTCAACTGCCCTAATCAGCAGTGCCACATCCGTTGTCAGATTGTCCGACAGCGGATAGTTGTCGGAAGTTTTACTCGAAAAGCGATCGTTCTTCGGAAGGATGAGGGGCAAAAGTAAAAGAAGCGAAGAACTAAAGGTAGCGAGGGTGTCAGCATCAGCGTCACGAGGAAGTAGAGTCAAAGCAGCAAAGGCGGCGTTCGCCAGCGGGAAATATCGCAGTGAAAGAGCAATAGTAGTGGTGTCAGACGGAGGATAGACAGTTGGACAGGTAGGTAGCACGTGGGTAGAAGCAAGCAGTTGTCGAGTTGGAGGCAGACGGAAGAAGGTTGACAGTTGCTTCCCCGCGGATCTGGTAGGGATTCGCAGCCCGCGGTGTTACGTCGAACAGACGACTATTGCACAGCAGGGGTATGCGTGTGTTGATGTTGGATGACGGAAGCAGGCACCGCGGGGAGGAGGGAGAGCAACAACCCGAAGATGCAGCGCAGGGCAGGCTAGTCCGGGCTGAGATGGCAGGTACACCCGCAGCCAGTAGGCGTCGGAAAACAGCAAAGCAAAATCCCGACAGTATGGTTGGTCTCTCACCGTCTTTCCTCGGTCGTTCGCAAAAGTGGAAGAGACGTCGCGATGATTGGGCACATGTGCTGCGACATGCGTGCGTGGGAAGCAACTCACCGAGATGACGTCAAAGTGCAACTGCGTCACATCCAAAAGCTCGAGGCTTTCCGTTTCGTGAATGTCGGATGTAAGAAGTTGATGGCCGAGACACAAGTCCGGAGAGATCGCAGACGTGATGCGACGACGTTTCAAGGGAAATGGTTGTTCAGCGAGGGAAGAGGTAAGGAAGGGGAGCGAGCAAACAAATATTAATTGCACCGTTATTGTTGACAGCCAGTCTGTTCGGTTGCGCGGGCAGCAGGAGGGATGGATGGATGGATGGATGGATGGATGGATGGGGCAAGGGTCTAAGTTTTTAGAAGTACCTTCAGGGACTCCCCCGCTAGCTTGGCCACTGCTCTGCGTGTTGCCCCTCCAAAAGGAGACGCCTCAGCTCCTCCTCAAAGGTCCCCCCTTCCTAGAACGTCGGTCATCTTCTTTGCTCCAACCATGCCTCAAACGCGTCGCGCGCTTCCTCGAGCTCCCCCTACCTTTCCTCCTCCTCGGTAGGGAGACCTTTCCTGAAGCCTCCGCCCGATTTGGTCATTTGCCCCAAGCTCTTTTTAGCCAGCTTGCCCAGGTAGCTGTCCACGCCCATGCTAAGCCACCCTTCTAGCGGAGGGTGTCTCGGGAGGCGTGTTACGCAACATCGCCTCAGACCAACCACGCCAGTCAAGCCACCTACTGGTTACGTTCACTTCCATCTCCTTGTCCTGCACTCAGCCTCTGCCTGTAATACTAGGTAATTTAACTTAACCATGTCTGACTTTGTGAGAGACAGGCAGTCGGAGCCAAACCCGGTCTTCCGGCAACCTCACGCCAGCCCAAGCTTACACTATCTGTACCTAGCTAGCTAGCTGACTGCCAATCTGCCAACGAGACTAAAACATCGGAGAGGCAGCTTGTGAGTCCAGGAAACCGGTTTTCAGGGCGAAATGCAGGGCTTATGGCTTATGTGTATAACGATTCTAAAGGCTCTTCGTGGTTCCTGAAGTCATCGTGTTTGACTGAGCTGCCTCCCTAGGCCACAGTAATTCGCCTCGGCCAACACATCCTTCTTCCGGATTCGACGTGACTGATACATGTTGCCCTCTTGACTTCCTTTGGTCCCTTAGTGTGGGTGAACCCGACCACCCCCCTCCCTACCTGGTCGCCTCCCCCGCAGAGCCCAGTCTGCGGGCTCCGACCAACTGCTGCGCCGGCCGAACGTACGTACACATCACCCCGACGACTCGGCCAACATGCGTCTCGCGCTAAAAACCGTCGGACGAGCCTTCAAAATCATTTTCAAGTAAGTAGAAAAACCCCGTAGTGTTGGGCCAGATAATCGGCCACGAGATTCGTAGTCTTAGACGACGACGTCAGACTCCGACCCCGCCCCCGCTGTGTCTGAACCAGAACCCCGGAGCAGCTCAATATGGCCGGTCCCAATAGCCGACACCCCTCAACATCAATGACCAGCAAGTTAATTGCAATGCCAGTTTACTTGATGGGCGCTCCGTTGGACGAAATCTTCAACCTTCGCTGGGTGGAAGCCAAAGTCCTTGACTAAACACTGACTGCATAAGTGACTAGTATCTCGTCGGTGGTCAGAGAGGTGGTATATTCTTTTCAAGCCCCTCTTCCACGGAAAAGTTTGATATCATGGTACCCAGTATAGCTAGCGCCTAGAATATCTGCCGGTTGCATTCTCTCGCCAACCGCCTGGCGCAAACATAGCCCTTGAACGCCTTCGCTGTGATTTGTTTTCCAGCCCCAATTGTTGGTACATACAATGTAAGTTTGTGGCCATCTTGGTGCGAGTGTCCAGATGTTTTCATCTTTTTTGTCTGATTGTGACCGCCTTGATCGCACCCCCTTTCATCCCTTATAGCTGGGTGGGCGCGGTGGTCTTCGTCCATCCCTTGTTCTTCATGTTCGCCTCAATGGCCCTCCAGACTGACTCTGCAGCCTCCTTGTCTCTGAACTTCGCAGCCTCCTGAGCTCCAGTACCGTCGCGCCATCTGTCGACGCCCAGTTGCAACACACGGTGACCCCACTCCTTGACGCTGTCGGGCGGCTGCTCACCACGCCAGCCGATAAAGATGCCCAGTATGCGGCGGAACAGGTCTGGAGGAGAGCTCCACTTATAGTTCTTGAACTGCCACGACTGACCCGTAGTGAACACGGCGACGACGCGGTTCCAGTACTCGGGCTTGAACTGTTCGGGGCCTTCGACGAGGATGAAGCGCATGGGCCGCGAGGGGTCAATATCCTTCATGATGCGAGAGACGTGCAACATGCTGGCAGCGGCGCTGCCATCAGGTTGCACATAACGGCCTCCTTCGAGGAAGGATCGAATATTGGACAGGCGAAGCAAGGACGACGCGGACGGCGATAGGAGGATGATGGGATCCGGCCGACGCGTCGGAGGCTTCTGATTGATAGGGAGCGACGGGTTTGTGCCGATGCTCGATGCACCGTGAGGCTTCTTCTGGACAAACGGAACAGCGAGTTTACGGACATGGGAGAAGTCCTGGCAAAGCTCGCGTTAGTCACACGGGAATCGACATCTGGGGCCACGCGCAACTTACTGTAGGCTTCACTCCGCGCAATACGGAGTTGCGGTCCCCCATCTTGCGCTCCCCATTGTAAATGACCGCCAGTCGGGGGTCCAACGTGCCACGTCCAGCTCGGCTCGCCGCCGTCGCCGGAGCAGTCTTGGACGCGCTCCCGCCAGCCCCCTCCTTGCCTTCCTTGTCGCCAGCCAAAGGCTTGATGTGTTCACTCTCCTCACTAGCACCTTCCAACCAGGTGAACAGATCCAGACGTTCGACGAAGGCAAGATTCTGGACCTTGCCGAGGCTGCCTAACTCCTCGTTGAGACGAGTCGCACTTGCATTGTACTCGGGAATGGCAACATCCTTATTCAGCCACGCGAAGTAGATGGATCGTAAGTCGACGGGGCGGTCGCTAGAGATGAAGCGTGTAGGCGTATAAAGAGATACTGAGACGGGGACTGGATGGGAGAACAGCAAATGAGTGGCTTTCGAGAGGGGCACCTCGGGTGCAGAAGCGTCGGCGGATGCTGTTGGGACTGCAGGTCGCTTGGATGCGATGGATTGCCGCAGCAGGAGCAAAGGATCCTGCTCGACAGCGGCCATTGTAGGAATTCGAAAGGCGGTACCAAATGGGTTGGAAGTGAGTGTCTAGAGTTTTCGATAGCCTGCAAGAATAGCCCGAAAATGCAATGAGCCGGACGAATTGAGCACGCCGGGAATTGACGATGAAGCACCTATGATCTGGACTTTGGCAGCCTCGAAATTTGGGGCCGGGAGGTTCAGCCTCAGCTGCTAGGTTCACCCGCCACAACCAACCACTGTTAGTGGAGTACTAGAGCTCGCTGCGCCACACTTCCCACCCCGTGGTGTAATTTCACCTCTCACCCCATCCAAACGCTGTTAGCAGCACCGAGACATGCATGATACCAGTTAGCTGGGGACAAGACTATCTTCTTGGGGTCAATCTCTGCGTATATACAAGGTTTCACTGTATGGTTAATATCAACTTATTACTTAATTCCCCTCTTGCCATCCCTTTTCGGTCTGTGAGGTGATGGATACTTCCGAGCCTTGGCGTCTATCGCTCATAGTACGTTCGGCCTTGAGCGTAGACCCCGTCTTCCTTCTCCCGTGATAAACACATAGCCCTTTGCCGCCCGAGGTATGTTTGGGGTTTGCTGGACACATTGGGCTATTTGGAAGATGCTCCGGTATGTCGAACTCAAACTTTGGCAGCGATGTCAGTTTCCTGGATTGCGTTCGCTGCTTCGCGTCCCACCATTCCATGGGCCTTTTGGGAAGAGTATCACCACATTTCCCCTGTAATCGCTTCACACCGGCCGATTTGTAAGTTTGCAACGGGCTCCAGGTGTCCTGATTCCTTCTAGGCGGTAACATCTCGGTAAAGAACCCGCGTGGCTTTCCGTCGGCGGTTTCTTCGTGTGTAGGTGGAGTTTTTACGCGGGTGGCTTCCTATTTGAACCGTTAACACGGGATGTTTTCAAGGTTCCATGACAGCGCTCACTCCAGCCGGATATGGGGTTGTGGTATAGTCCATTTGGCCTGATATTTGACATTAGCCTCTGAGCATTTGGCGCAACAGCGGGTTGATGGGTTTACGGTAGTAGAAACTGTCGGGATCGGGCGTTGCTGGTGGTGTTTTCCCAGCCAACACTTCCCGAACCGAACTTGGGACACTGCTGACGGTTTCGTCGGAGTCTTTTCGATGCCATGGCGCTTTTCCAAACCAGCCAGTTCCATGTTTCGACCCGAGCTGCTCTTCTTTGTTGGTGAACCAACTCAGAGCTTTGGTCACCGATGCAGTCGAAGTGTCTTTCATCAACTCGGTGACTTGCTGATGATCTGGTGCTGATGCATTGCTTTTGGCTGGTTTCTTTTCATAAGTGTCAGCAGTTGAGCATTGTGCAAGTTCGAAGCGGCGGTACCCACTACCTTGAACTTGAAAAGGGAGGGAAGATTGATTCCTTTCCGACTCTTGATGCTCGATGCTGCGGATTGCCTGCAATGGATTGATACTAGAGGTGGCTGAAAACCCAACCCCTTATCTCCAATATTTCGAGACATGGTATTCATTGTCTGTGAGATGCCAAGCATTCGTTCGCCATAGCTGCTCATTGGCTCATGGGTTCCTGGTGTTCCCGGTTGTTGTAGAGATAAGACGAGGGCTTGCTCGGACATGGGACTTAAGGGCCCGCTGGTACTGAGAATGTTCCGAGGGTGTGTTCCAGATTCGCTGCCAGCAAGTTCTCGAAGTTTTCCTTGCCTGATCGACCATTTCCAACGTTTATTGCCGCTGCTTCTCTGTGACGCTTTGGAGACAATTTCTCTTTCCGCCCAGTACCCGGCAGGGAACCAAACCTACTCGAATCCTTCTCTGGGGGACCTCGGTGGATCAAAGGAGAGTGTTGGCATGGGTGTCAACAGTAAATCTTGAGGCGATCGCCTAGTAGCAGTAGATTTGGGTGTGAGCCGGGGACCTGATTGGGACGTTGGCGGTGCGGATGAAGGGGACTCTGTTGTCGTTGATTTCCCAAAGTAACCATCTCTGAGCACTGGGTTAGGCGTGCTGTGACCATCCTAGCTATCACCTGGTGTGTCTGGGAAAGTGACTTGAAGAGCTGTCTTGAATGAGAGCCTTTGCACATCACGGCGGGTTGCGGGGTACGATTGTGAGGACGAACTGTGACACCCGTCAGTATCCATGTTTGTCCTCTCAAGCTTTCCACAGTCTTACGACCTCCTTCGGAAGCTGAGGGGGTCTGGGGACGTCACGACGCCTAACGGTGGGTCGCTTCCGGGTCGTTCCATAGGTGCTCCTAAGGACAGAACCATCGACCATAATCCCTATGACCCTATAGGTGAATAATGATGTTGGGTGGAAATGATAGAACCAAGTGAGATAAAAGGTTGTTTCAGGGTATAGAATAGGCCGGCTTTAGGTAGAGAAGGAGAACGGGGAGAAATGCAAAAGAAGACCCAATCGATGAGCCGGGGACATAAAGAGATGTCGGAGGTGAAGTTGTATCTGTTTGTATCATAGGGCAGGGAAGTGTCACCCCAGATACCTACCTAGGTAGACTGAGTCGTTTTCAATGTACCTGGCAAATCGTTAAAGTAGCAGGACCCCCATCAAGTATGGGCACGAAGTGCTTGCCCGCTTCAGTCATACGATAGATTATTGGAATAGAGAGAGCACACTGAACATCCATAAGCACAATAAATAGATAATACGGTCGTGGGTTTCTCAGCATCCATTCGGTTAGGATTGCGGGTATCAAATCAGACCTGCTAACGCCTTCTAGTACCCCGGGGCTGGCCAAGCTCCAGCTCCCATATCCCAATTTTCGTTTCGTTCAGTCAACAAGCATCGTGTCATCGCCGTCAAATGGAGCGGCCTGCTGCTCAACCGCTACACCCTTCCCTCTGCCAGCCAGCAGTTCTCTTCGGATCTCCGGTGCAATTGAGTGGTGACCATGCGTCAAGAGCAAGTCAAGAAGAGCCTCTCTCTGATCCTCGCTGAGATCGTTCCTGTATCTCTGGGCGAAAGCCAACAAACTCTGGTGGAAGACAACAGGCAGCGACTTGACCATGTCTCCGGAGACCGACTGGCCTTCTTTGATCGATGCTGGATCCACACTTCTGAACCTCAAGAAATGGAAAACGACCGAGTCAATGACCTGGTAGGGAAGAGCATATTTCTTCTCTAGCAAAGTCTTGATGAAGATGTTGGCAGCTCCACCGCCCTCGGTGCCTTGCGAAGCTTCCTGGGCCGCACTACGATGATGTCAGCATCCTTGCAAGAATACATGCGATAAACGAAACACGTACATTTCAGTGATGCCCTTCAGGGCGGCAGCGGAATGGAGCACTGGCACCGACACTCTGGCAAGCACTGCAGAGACGATGTGCGCCTCACGAATCGTGCAGCCGCTAGAAAGCAGAGGGAACAAGAAGCCAAGAAAGAACGCTCTGGGTTTGTACAGGGACTTCTTCAGCGCGTTGAAGAGGTGCACGTTCAGCTTCTTGTTCTCATAGATGTCCTCGCGAACCTTGTCGAGGACGACGATCTCCATGAACTTCTGGCAAACGAGGGGCTTTGAAGACGAGAAAATTCTGGTCGCCTGGTACACAGCATTGGGCGTCCACTTTTGAGGCTCGGTGATTTGGATAATGTCCTCCCAGTGCGGTAGAGTTGGCAGGATCTTGAAGGGTTTCGGCAGGGGGCCGCTTTTATATCGCGACAGAATGTAGCCGACCCTAGTCATGGTCAGCAATGATTTTTACAGTAACACAGCCGGCCACACCACTTACTTTGTGTAGACTTCGATAACCTTTGGGGGAAGCTGGTAGTCTTCGTCAACCGCCGGCACACCGGCTGCTTTACGAGCCTCGGCAGCCTCGTGTGCAGCAATCTTCTCCAAGATGAGCTCGGTCAGGTTGGTGCCACCGCCAGCCATTTCGTCGTCGGGACCCTTACTGCCCCAACCGTGCTGGTTCAACATCGCCGCAGGGTCATCCTCAGCTTCGGGCAAGAACTTGCGATAGGTTTCGAGGTCCTCGGGATCGATCTCAATCTCCTCAACAATCTCATCCTCCTCACCCCAGGCCTCCTCGTCCTCGTACGCCTGCTCGTCACCAACATCTACACCGTATCTCGATTCGATTCCGAAAAGGTCGACAGTCGGTTTCGCAGCGGCTTCTGGCTTGGCGGGACCGTCCTCCTCGGCCAGCTCACGGCCCAGCCTGAGAATGGTGCGACTGCGTGTCGCATCGACAAAACCCTCGCCGTGATCGTCATCTTCGGTGCCCTTGCCCTTCTTCTTCTTAGGGGCCTTGTTCTTCAAAGGACCCGTAGCAAGGATGTCATCCTGCAGAGGGTTGTGTCTGCGCGCCTGGCGGTCGGTCGGGGTGGTTGCCTTGCCCATTTTCGAGATACTCGGACACAATGTGATCGTGGCGGAAATCGAAAGGCATGCGGGATTGGCGGTTGCCTCTTTTTTTTTTTTTTTTTTTTTTTTTCCCCTTTGTGCCCGAGCCAGAAATTTTTGATTTCTTATCGATTGCCCCGCGCCTGAAGTGCCCAGAACCCTGGACCGGCTTTTAGCGGGTTGCAAAGACTTTCTAGCCAATCAAACGCCCTGTTGTTGACTTCATAGGCGGACACAGCGACTGCCCCGCCACAACACCCCACCAAAAAGCTTCTGCGAGTGACTCTCTCGGCCTGTCTTACAGAGAAAGCGAGACAACTTTCTTGGAACAAAGTTAAAAGCTGGCACTTATTTCGAATATTTGCACATTTCCTTTCATTTAAAAGCATATAAATTCGAGGAACATCAAAATGCCAACAGAGTTGGAAGAGGTAAGCCCGTCTGATCAAAGCGTCACGTGGACTCACACTCATACAATGACAGCTCGTGGGCTTCATCGCTCATCCCAACCCTCAACTCAGAAAACTAGCCATAGAGAACCTCGTCGGCTACTCTCAGGCGGACCCTTCAATCTTCAAGTCGGAGAATCTTACACCAGTCAAGCATCTCAAATTTCTAGTCAGAGATCATCCCGTACGCAATACCCATAATCGGGCTCTTTCGACTGCAGCTTTTCAACTAACGGATCCTAGCAAATCGCTGAACATGCTCTCACAATTCTCATCAACCTCACTGCTGAGAAGGACGTTCTTGAGAACGTTGCGACAGATCAGAGGTTCATTGATATTCTCTTGGACTTGATTATGGTAGGCACAGTTCTTGGATCGAGAGGAAACAACACCCTCGCAGAGACATCATAAACCGATTGACACCCCTCATAGAAACCCGATGAGCTGAACGCCAACTCGATGGCTATGCTACTTGCCAACCTGGCAAAGTGGGATGATCTCAACAGCATCGTTTCAAAGAAGCAAACGCCGCCCGCAGAACTCAAGTCCAACGACCTGGTTCTCAACCAGCTTGTCGATCTCTTCGTCAAGGAGAAGGGCGCATACAACAAGGATGCCAACTATGACTACCTCGCCTACCTCTTCGCCGATCTCACCAAGCACGCCGAGGTGCGCCAGCACTTCGTAACGAGACAGGACTACGACGATGTCATCCCCATCACCAAGCTCAAGGTCTTTACCGAGCACCCGTCTGAGATCCGCAGAAAGGGAGTCGCGAGCACCATCAAGAACGTCGCCTTCGAGATCCAGTTCCACTCAACGTTCATGGACGAGGACGAGGTCGATATTCTGCCGTATATTCTTCTACCCATCACTGGCAACGAGGAGTACGACGAAGACGACACCATGGGCATGCTTCCTGACCTGCAGCTGCTGCCGCCCGACAAGAAGCGTGACTCGGACCCGAAGATCATCCAGACCCACATTGAAACGCTGCTTCTCTTCACAACGACAAGGGGAGGCCGCGATCTGTTGAGACGGGTCAAGGTCTACCCCATTATTCGAGAGACGCACGCGCGGGTCGACGACGAGGGCGTCAAGGACGCCTGCGACCGGCTGGTGCAGGTCCTCATGAGAGACGAGGAGCCGGCCGAAGGCGAGGAGCAGCCGAAGCTCAAGGAGCTGACCAACGGCTCAATGGCCGAGGAGCTCGATGACGACGACGAGGAGATCGTGGAGGTCTAGACAGGCCTATGATGAGTTTTCCTTCGGTCATGGCTTACGTAGAGAGGAATACCCAGGTTCATAGGACAATCATGAAAAGCGTGATGATGGCATTTGTGCCATACACTACCCACCAGACCCCATGCGTTTGTGTAGACCGGAGCCCTGCAGTACTCGTTATATACACAGGGCCCGGCGCGGTTTTTCGTGGCTGAGTAGTTGATACCAGACGGGAATCACTTTTGGGCAGACCCCTGGTACGTTTCCCATTCATCCATAATGAACTCACACCCCCGATATTGAAGCGCTCACAAACTCATGCCCCACGGTCGGAGCCGTCAGGTACGCGCACGTCTTACCCTTCACTGGCGAATTCTTCACATAAGGACACCCAAAGAATGGCTCTGAATATCTGAACCAGGGACGACAGGTGCGTCAACTTTCAGAACCGGACTTGTTCTCGCCATTCTCCTACCGGCGAAGCTAGTACCTTCCAAGGAACGTCTGGGACCAAGCCCGATGCCCGCAGCCTGACCCGGCAGCTAGTTCAGAGCCCCTTTTCACTCAACAGTAACAGTGACCTTGCTCTTGTCTACATGATACCAGCCCATCAGCCCAACGGTCTGCCTCAACACGACGGCTCGGAGTACTTACAGAAGGCGACGTGGTCCTTGATCTCTTTGGCAGCGTCCTTGGGCGCAGGGTAAAACCAAGCCGCGTCCTTCAGCTTGGTGTCTGTGCCGCCAACCATCCCGGCGTCAGCCCTATTCTACTTCTCTTCCTAGCGGACCTATGCAGTTCATCTCAGGCAGCGAGGTTGTATCGTAGTACAGGGCAGCCGAAGAGACGACGGACGTGGCGAAAGAAAAAAAAAAAAAGGGGGGGGGGGGGGGGCTCACCGCCGGCCTTGACCGAGTAATAGCTCGCGGTCCCCTTCCACGGGCAGAACGTCGTCGTGTCAGTCTTCTCCAACGCGTCCGCCCGCACCGCCGAGGGTGGGAAGTAGACGTTGCCCTCAACCTCCTCCCACTCCGTCGCCTCGGCGATCGTGGTTCCGTTCGCGACGGCCGTGGCCTTTCCCGACTTGGTCATTTTTTTATTCTCTCGATTCCTTTCGTCTTTTTGTCTGGGGGGTGGTGTCAAAAGCAGAGTGTGCGTATGTGGACTGTAAAGTTTGGTACTGCGCCGGATTTGAGAACAAGACCGCCATATGCGGGGAATGCAGCCTTCGCCCAGTTCTGAATCTTAGCCAATCCCCAACGTCATCATTCTCGTTTGATTTATAAGCCGAGTATGATTACATCGTCTGAACTCTTCTTTGTGTCGATGGTTTACGTATCTCACATCACTGTTCATGGAGTGAGCGAACTTCCCCTGTGTTGAGCCAAGAGTATGTTTGAATGAATAATTAACGCTGTTAATGCTACTTTTTAAGACTATTATCCACTACTGATAGCCTCCCCTAACGCCGGCTGGGTATATGTGTATGTTTGTATATCACATGGTTCGAAAAGAAAACAACCCCATATCAACACGACTTAGAGATTGATAATGTCAATCTCTGAGAAATCCGGCGGGTTAGCACCGTACACAACGCGGACCTTACTGTCCAGCGCCGTTCCCTCGTTGCTGACCCAAATGTGCTCACTGTACTCCTTTGTGCGACGAATCTCGTCATCACTGACCCCGATATCGTCTCGGGGGATCCACACAGCGGGTGCTCGTGCTCGCAGAGCGTAATGCTTGAACGCGTTCTTAACGAGTGCATCACGCTCAGTGGGCGTCAAGTCTTCGATTTCGTCGTGGAACCCGCCGTACAGCGCCTCTCCAAGCGCCCGCTGGGCTTCGAGGTCCTTGAGTCGCTGCTGGCGGCGGTACTCGGCTGCCGTGTGGACGGGAGCTGCTCCCAAGTTCCAGGTCTTACTGCGGAGGTTCTTGCCTTCCCGCTTAGCCCAGTGGCCGACGTCTTTGACCCGACGCATCGTCGATGGCTTCCGGTTCGGCGCACCCGCGTTGTTCATCTTCTGCAGTTCAATACCACGAGGTCCTGTTCTGGCTCGGTCGCCATTTGACATCGGCGTCTTCTCGTCTCCCATGCCATCGTCGTCGTCGTCGTTGGTGAGTCCCAAACGTCGGTTTTGAGCTCGCTGGAATGCCTCGTCCCTGATTACCGCCTCGTCCTCGACAGTGATAGGCAGGTATCGGAATAGGGGACCGAAGGACGTGTTCAGCGAAACTTGGTAGATCACCGTCAGGACAAGCGTTACCAGCATGATGGCGCCCTGCGGCGTTGCAGTACTGTTTCCCTTATCGTCCTGGACGATGAAGAACAAGCCTGCCAAGCACGCCTCCATAACATACAGGCCTGTAAATGTCTGATTGATCGCGCGGGGATACAGGACACCACCTGTATCGGTCTCGAAGCGCGTGACGTACAACATGCTGTAACGCTGCGCGAACCATAGCAGACCGAATGTCAAGACTGCAAACAGGGAAATCAAGGGCGCGATTACACTGTACACCAAGGCGATGCAGGCGAAGTTGGTGTAAACCGGGAAGAATTGACCCCATGCAATCGACGAGAGGGTCGTATTTCTTTTCCATTTATCGCGAGCCGTAGTATCGAGGATTCGAGCCAGGAGATACCAAGTGAGCAGGCCACCGATCTGGAGCAGTGTTCCGGAGCTGACAGAGAGTGCCTGAAGCAACATGTAAGAGAAGAAGTAGTTGGATGCCCTGGGCAGATTCCTGGCGAGGATGTTCAGAATGTTGGTAACATTTGACAGCTGCTCAATGTTGCTCCACAGCTCGTCGACTGATGCAACGAAGAACGAAGCGATCGACACGACAAGGAAGACTTGGATGAAGAGGAAAATGAAATAGAAGCGCTGGACGAACTCGGCCTTTTGTGACCCGGTCTTGACGCCGCGGAAGAGGGCAAGCTGTTCGAGAATCAGGGGGACAATCAAAAGGAGAAGAGCGAGCAGAATAGCGGGCAAGACACCAGTGATGGCTCCAGCAATCTTCTCGACGGGTTCCTTCTTGATCCATTTCAGCCAGGGAAACTGTTCCACAAGACCATCAATGTTGGCAATGGAAGCCGTAAAGGCAATGGGGATGGCCCAGAAAAAGGCCATGGCAGCAATGACGATGGTGACGATACCAGACCGGATGGATTCGTGCCACCACTTCAAAGCCATGTTGTCCCAGATGACGTCCTTGGGCGAAACTTCGTTGATTCGGGGTGACATGTGTTTCGGGACGTGGTGCATGAGACTTTGGCAAGCCATGTGCGCCGAGACCTGGTGATTGAATTGGATGAAGGCGGAGTTCATCAAAGGATAGCGCTCAGGGTGAGCTTGATCGTCGTCGATCTCGACGTTCAAACGCGCCAGCTCAGACCGGCACCAATAGATAGTATCAACCTTGGGGCCGAAAGTAAGCCAGGCGAGCCAGTCAGGGAAGCCCCATCGTGGTAGTCGGTGCATCGGCCGGTCCTTCTCCTTGACCCACTTGCGCCACTCGGCATCATCGTCCAAGATGTTCTTGTACTCGCCACCGATGGCGTTGGATTCGGGGTAGTCGACGGGTGCCTGCTCGGCTCCGCCCATGAAGGGAATGTAGGCCTTGATTTTCTGCCACATGGTTTTTTTGTCTTTTGACTGACCAAAAGGGAACTCGCCTTCGTTGAATCCCTGAGGTACGGGCGATGCGTAGCCGCCAGCAGGGGCTTTCCAAAATTGCCAGAACTTGCGTTGTTCTTTGTCATACATGTGGTCCAGGTTGCTGACTTTGCGCACCGTGTTACCGTTGCCAAACGGTTCGTAACTTCGCTTATAGTTTTGGTCGGTGTCCTGGGAGATATTGGAAACATTTCGGGAATGCGTCTTGTACGTTTGTATATTCGTAGATGGCTCGGCTTGCTCTGTGATGCTTCTTGCACTCTTGGGTGTTTCAGGTCGTTCACCATCGGCCAGAATTTGGACTCTGCGAGGACGTTCGCTTGGCTGCAGCACCGCGAAGCCATTGGTCGTCTCAACAGTCTCCTCCACATCATCGCTGAATTCCTTGATGTTTTGCTGGGCTTTGCCGATGCTGCCGAGGAATCCTTTGCTGACTTTACTAATGCCACCCCCAAGAAGCCCAAGGCCGAAACCCCTGGACTGAGGTTGGTTGCCGTCGTCCGATGAGTCCGAAGACGAGGTACTTGACCGTCTCGATTTCGGGTCCTTGTTCTCATCGATTATCGCGCTGATGTCGTGGGGAACATCCTCGTGCTCGCCAGAGCTGAAACCTTGACCAGCCTCGGCCCTCTTCTTGGCTTCGGCATCCTCTCGCTGCCGCCTGAGGGCTTCTTCCTGCCTAGTTGGCCCCTTGGCGTTTGCCTGTTTTCTGGCCGCCTTGTCTTCCTTCTTTTTCACCTTGAGTTGCTTCTTCTTTGCAGCTTTCACGAGCTCCGTCTCAGCGGCCTCCAATCTCAAGTGGATACTTTCGCGCAGCTGGATCTTCTCAAGCAGTGTGGTCAAGTCGCGGTTGAGCCAGATATTCCGAATTTGGCCAGGGAACACGTCGAACAGACCCATCAAAGCCTCCTCTGACAACCATTTGGAAGGGATGCTGTTGACAAGGATGGTCGTGGCTGAGGCTCGGAGGCGGTGCTCGGCACTCGTCAAGTAATCCTGTCGGACTTTGATGTAAACGCGAAGCTCAAAAAAGAAGACTGTGCAGACCCATATGATGACGAGCAGCGCCAAAACCAGATGTGCCCAATACCGGCTGGTATGGGTGTTGCTAACATTGCCCCAGGCTAAGGTATCTAGGCCCGTAGGGAGATCCTTGGCTTCGCTGTTGGCCGATGCGCCGGCTCTGATTCTGAGACGGACTCGAGCGGAGCTCGTTCCGTTGATGGTCTCGTTCTTCGCGTCAGTGATCAAATCATGACCCACACCGTCGCTGTAGTTGAGAGGGGTCAGGATAGGGATGACAATAACGGCAATGGGTATGAAGATTGTAAGCAGGGTTTTGAGGTAGCGGAGAAAGAAGTAGGCGTCCAAGCCGCACTTCTTGATGATCTCGCGTTCGTTGTAGTGGATTAATGTGCTGAGGAGGCTCCATGGCGTGTTTGGAGGACTGTCTGTTCTTTCGCGTTCTGGAACAAGATATGTCTTTGGTTTACTGCCGCGTTTCTGTCAGCCATAGGCCACGGAGATATCCAGAAGAGGCCCACTCACAAGATGCGCGCAATCTTGTTCCGCAGAAGCAAGAAGGCAATAAGCTGAAGGGCAAAAACCGTGATACCAGTTGCCAGAGCAGTGAGGAACGCAACCAGAGTTATCCCTTGCTTTAACTCCACGTTGACACCAGGCAGTGCGACCGAAGTAGTGGGCGGGGGCGATGCGGATGTCGTTGATGACACAGAAGAGGATATGGTTCCGTTCGGGCTTATGGTGGCAGAGACTGTGGCAGACAGGGCTGTTGACAGAGACGAGGCCAACGATGAGGCAAGCGTGCCCGTCAGTGACGCCGAACTTGACGGCGTTGTGGTGGAAGTTGCCGACATCTTGCACTATTTGTGCCGACTGTCGTCGATAGCGAAGTGGTCGAAGAAGAGCGTTCTTCTCTGCCGGGGAGAAATGAGGGAACTGAGGGAGAGAGGGATTTCGTTCACGAGACCAGCAGAATAGGCATCATAGTTTTTTGTCAAAGGGCGGTTTTGACTCGTGTCGCTTTCAAGGAAAAGGGGGACAGCGTATGGTTGTTATCTATCGCTGTCGGTGGTGAGCAGGCACCGCGGTGGCGGACAGCTTCGAGGGTCAGCGGGCAGACAAGCAGTTAATAAAGAGTCGACGAGGTAAAAGAAGAAAGGTGCCGAGCAATGGCAGTCAAAGGGTTTTGACCAGAGCTGATATGGTTGATTGATTGGCTGGACAGGGTGCAGAATGCAACCTTACAGGGTGCCAAGCAGGGGTGGTTGCACCTGCTATTGCTGCTTCAGCTCCTGCGGGCCCGCAAAGACAATCCGACCCTGTCTCTTTCTGCCTTTAGCGGCACTTCGCATCAGAGATCCTGGACCTGTGACATCAGCGGCTTCATTGGCTGCTCGCTCCAAACGAAACGGGCCCCTGTCACTTCTGCGGGACAAAGTGGGATCCCGCCGCGGTTCGCCATGACTCTGTGCCACCACTATTAGCATTTCGAGCAGCTTTGCTGGTGGCCTGCGGCCCAATCATCCGTCACGCTGTCAACGCACTCCCCGATTACCTTTTGGGCTGTGCGCGAATATGTAGAGTACACTCACCAGGCAATCACTCAGCGACAGCATCCATCTGTGAGCGGGGAACTATGTTACTGTCTACAGGCCTGTGCTACCTAGGTGCTAGGTACTACTCAGTAAGCCTCTAGGTATCCGTACACTCAGTACACAACCCCATTCGCTGTCTCGCCTATTGACGCGCCACGCTGACGCACGTCGTAAATAGATCAGCGCGCGCTTCGTCCCAACAACGACGACCACATCTTAGCCAACCGCCTTGTTTCCTTGATCCAAGACCTTTTCTACCCCTGAACACAGCTGCAGTTGCTCATTCGTTTGTCTCTCTGGGGAACCGGGGGAACAGCAGCACCTTTCATCCTTCTCTGCTCCACAGCACAGCACAGCACAGCACAACGAATATTGTTTTGTTTGTTTGCAACTACGCGTAGTGTACGACACAAAGACGCGGAAACCAAATCTCATTTGTTGCGGCTGGTTTTCACCCGCGATGCCTCAACCGGGAGCTCCCTGCGCGGACAAGGTGAATCCGCCACGAGCCCCTCTCCACACTCGAACATGCTCCCTCACCTGAACATGCTCCCTCACCGGTCAAACCAATACCGGTAGCGGTTCCACGGCCACAGGGGTGGTACGTGGTTGCGTGGCTGTGTAAAAGTGCCACCCGTTGGAAGGCAAACGCCCTACGTCGCGGACTCGCCGAGGAAACTGGCAACATGTGTCGCCTTGGTTTCTAAGTCTTGTTGCAAGCCGACCTCTTTGAACTCGATGCGGTTCGGAAGACGAAGCTTTCACCGAGGTGCCGCCCCGTGTATGCCATTTCCAACGATGGAAATCGACAGCTACTACGCCACAAGCCACTGAAGAGGTTAGTTTGCGTCACCAAGCATGCCAAGGCAACTACCCCACAAGGGCTGGCGGAAACCACCAGTGAGAACGAGGGCGCGTGGGGGCCGTCTTAAGAGGAAGACCATTCCTTGGCACAACCACGACAGTCCTGAGCAGCACCTGAGCACACACAAATACTGGCCATTACATAAGATGGAAACCTTGATATCGATTCAAAGTATCGACAGTACTGCCGCATGCCATGTCCCGGCCGTTTTTTCGACCGGCTAGTGAAGATCGGGTTCCACTGAACGGCTTAAGCAACTGAAGCAAATCATATCAGTCTCGGCACCGGGGTATTACCGAGCCGCTCTCTCGCAACGCAACGACGGGACTTCGACCCTCTCTCCGCATTCTCTTCGAACGCGGGGATGTTCCCTGATAAACCTGGACAGCCTCTTCGCTCCAAGCCACACTATCCATCCACCGTGACAACCGCAGCTGTCAATATGCAGCTAGCAAGCCACATTTACCCAAGCGCAGCACCCTCGACACACATCTATCACTGTATTGCCGACATTCACACCCGACGCCTACCTGCCTGATAAGCCGAGTCTTTCCAACGATGACTGAATCTTGAAGCAACTTTGACTGCCCAATTTCGAGATGGGCAGTATTCAAGTTAATGTTCGCACTGACCCCGCAGCGCCTGAATGATAGCTCATCAAACGTTTCTCACTTCCCGTATTGCGATCCCGGCACCCTTACCAACCTATCAACGGGCCAGGGGGGGGGGGGGGGGGGGTTAGGAGACATCGAACCGTCCGCGTTCCCCTCATTGTTCGTGCCTCCTTCCCCACTTCTCAAGCCGATGATGAACCCCGAGCTCCCCCTCTGACCCCCCCGCCTCCTCCCCACGTGAGTCTCGACGCGCCAACTTCATAAAGAAGTGATGGAACGGAAATTCCGCAAGATCTGGTCGAGTTGATCTCGTCGGTTTGCTACGCTTCAGAGAAACACTACGGCATTTGTTTCAGAACCATGTCAAACCCAAAAGACTTGAAGATTGCCATCATTGGCGCCGGTACCACACGCCCATCTCTCTGTACTTTTACAGACTAACACGATCCCACGCAGGCATGGGTGGTTTGGGATGTGCGCTGGCGCTAGCCAAGAAAGGCTTCAAACACATCGACGTCTATGAGACGGCCTCCAATCTCGGTTTCGTTGGCGCGGGAATTCAGATGCCGCCAAACGTCGTCCGGGTCCTCGACCGCCTTGGCTGCTGGGCCGACATCGAGAAGACGTGTACCGACGTTAAAGGTTCAAGCATTAGACGTAAACGCTCCCCTGCTCCCTGATCCGGAGAGATGTAGAGAGCGACGGAGAAAAAGAGCCCTTGGGATTGACATTGCAGACAGAGGGGGCAACAAACATCGAACTTGCCCACGTAGACATGCCTAACATCCGCGACTTGTACGGCCACCCGCACTGCAACGATCACCGGTCCTCGCTAGCCGGCGGCATGTACAACGCCTGCAAGAAAGAGCCCGCGATCACGTTCCACTTCGCGACGGCGCTCGCATCCATCGATTCGTTCGCGCCCAAGCCCGTCTTCACGGCGCAGCCGCGCGGCGGCGATGCCTACTCCGTTGAGCCTGACATCCTCCTCGCATGCGACGGCATCAAGAGCATTGTTCGCAGCTCCCTCCTCGACTCCGTCGGTGCCGTCGGCGGCGAGGAGGAAACCGGTCAAGCTGCCTACCGCATTATGCTCACTCGCGAGCAGATGGCCGATGATCCGGAGCTTCTTGCCCTCCTCGACTCAGACAAGGTCGTCCGCTGGATAGGCGAGAAGCGCCACATCATCGCCTACCCCGTCTCCTCGCACAACATCTACAACCTCTCTACGACGCAGCCCGACTCCAACTTTGCCGCCACCACCAACGCGACCTACACCACAAAGGGCTCCAAGAAGGCCATGCTCGACGTCTTCCACGACTTCTGCCCGTTGGTTCACCGTATGCTCAACCTCGTCCCGGACGGCGAGGTCTGCGAGTGGCGCCTGCGCATGCACAAACCCCTGCCGACCTGGGTGCACATCGACGGACCCGTCGCCCTCCTCGGCGACGCCTGCCACCCGACCCTCCCGCACTTGAGCCAGGGCGCCGCCATGGCCATCGAGGACGGCTCCGTCGTCGCCGAGGTGCTCTCCCGCGCGCCCGACACTGACCCCAAGACCCTGCGGCGGTGCCTCAAGGCATACGAGCTCTCGCGCCGTGACTGGACCGCCCAGCTCGTCAACATGGCTTTTCTGTCGGGAAAGCAGCTGCACCTCGGCGAGGGCAAGGCCAAAGAGGAGCGCGACCGCATGTTCGCCGAGCACAAGTCGGCCGGCTCTGTCCCGGACAAGTGGGCCTCGCCCGACGTGCAGCGGATGATTTACACTAATGACTGCGTGGCCAACATCCGGCGAGACTTTGACGAGCTGTACAACAGCGCAGCATAGACGTAGATATTTTTGGATTTCACATGAATAGCTATCTGATTGTAGCTACCTTGCACCCTGCCGTTCTATGTTGGCTTAATGTTTGTGCTCTGCCTGGCGGAAACCATGGCGTTCGCCTAGGACGCATTGTGTGTAGCCGGCCAAGCCACCTCGGTGAAGGGCGGTCCAGGCTTGTCCCCCGTACTCAAGCTCAGCTCAGTCCACCACGGGCGTGCTCAGTTCACGTTCACACAGTAAAGAATGGTGGGATAGAGGTCAAGTTGCATCCGTGATGATATTATGCTATCCGCCACTTACTTCGGAACTCGTCTATAGGGAAGAGTGCGATCGCATTGCGGCCTTTCCTAGGCCCCTTGAGCTCTCAAAATCCACCACAAAAAAAAAAAAAGACGAATCCCGCGCAGAACAAAGCGAGAGGGGGAATTTGCATAAAGCGTAGAAGCAAATCCCCACCATCTCCACGCGGGCCCTTGCCGGGAGCCCCCCCGAGGCGCCCGTTGCTATCTTTCCCTCCTTGATCGCCCACGAGAATGAATAAGATTCCGTCACCCTTCGGACGCCGCGCAAAACTCAAACGGGGGAACCCCCCCCCCCCTTCCCGTTGACATTGCAAATGTACTGCCAGCTCAGCTCAGTTCAGCGCAGCCCCGCCCCCTGTCGGCTGCTGCTGCTGCTGCTGCTCTATCGCCCCCTTTCCCAAAGTTTGCCGGCTGGTTCTGTCGTATACATGCCGACCTTGCCGCGCAAGGCCGAGAAAAACATCTGCTTATATGCCGCGTGTCTCAGCATCGAACAAGTCCCAAGCCATATCGATCCCTTCCCTTCCTCTTGTCTCGCTCATCCCGATCAGGCTTTCTCGGTTTCTCGTAGACTCTGTCGCCCTTTCGAGGGTTCGGGTATCATTGGTAATCCGCACTCCGCCTTCGTTGTTTCTTCGACGCACGCGCTCGCTTAGAACAAGCAGTCAAGACAGCAGCAGCACGCGAGCGCACCGAGAAGACCGGCCATGATGCCGCTTCCGCCACCGCCGCGGTTGTCCTGGTAGTAGCCGCCCTGCGGCGGGTACGGGCCCTGCGGTCCGCCCGGCGGGCCGTAGTACGCCTGGGGAGGGTACTGTCCCGGAGGGTACTGGCCGGGGGGCGGGTAGGGGCCGCCCTGAGGGCCGTATCCCATCTCCGGGCCGGGAGAGTAGTAAGGGCCCGGCGGAGGAGGGCCGTAGCCTCCGGGGCCGCCGGGAGGAGGAGGCGACGCGTAGCCCTGGTATGATTGTTGGGGTTGCTGGGGGGGAGGGCCGCCGTACGCGGGGGGCTTATCGTGATCGGCCATTGTGTGATGTGCTGCTTTGGTGATATTTGCGGTTACAAGAAGGGAGAACGGGCGAGGCGCGTTCAAATGTCGAAGGTCGAAAAGAGAGAGAGTGTGTGTGCGGTGTCGAGAGAGATTACTTGTCCTCTCGGCTAACAACGTCGGTGTCGGGGGGTGATAAGATTGCCTTTCGGTTAAGCGCAATGCGACAGATGATAGTCGATCTGATGACGAACGGTCTTTCGTCGGTCGGAAGGCGTAGAGGGTATATGGAGGATGAGAGCAAAAAAGAAAGAGAAAGAGAAGAAGATATACAAAGGATAAGAGTTGCGGCAGGCGAAGGAGTCGATCGAGAAAAGCCACGCCACCCGGAAGAACGTGGTTATGTTTTGGACGAAGGGGTGAGCAACTCGGCGCCGGGAGGCAACCTGTCTGGTCTGTGCCTCTTCTTGGCTTTTGGGGGGGCGGGGCGATGGGGGACGGCGTTAAGTTTGCAGTGGTGCTCGTGACTCTAGCCTGAAATAGCTTATGCGCACCAGGTCTCTGGGTGACGCGCCACGCCTCCAACTGGTTGGTCGCGGGCATCTTAGGGGGGCTTGGGGTCTTGGGATCTTCGTCAGCCGATTTTTTTGTTGGGTATCGTTTTTTTTTCCCTTCCCCTTTCTGTAGTGTAATCACTTTGTAGGTACGACAAGCTCCGTCCTACCCGTGTTCGACCGGGAAATCGGCATTACCTTGCCCCCTTAGCGAAATGGTACAGGTTGGCTGACTGCGTATACCTAAACACTATTTACGCTGTAGCTCATTTCCAATACGAAAGGAGGGCGGAAGAAGAACCAGCAAAAGCACCACTCCGTTCACACGGGCAGTGGGATACCTCTCTACTTTCGTCTCATCATCCATGCAGACCCAACGCAGGAGTTCGGGAGGCAGAACGCAGCGCGTCGAGCAGGACTGGTCCCAAACTCTCCCTGTCTCACAATCGTCAGCCTGTCTGTCGCCTTGTCTGTTTTTCGCCCTGTAGCCCCTCCGCTCCCGGACTGCCCCTGGCAGAATCCCGACAATCCAGTGACTGAACGGCTCTCATCCCCAGCGACTGTCTGTTTACCCATCCATCTGATACCAGGGAGTCGGAGGAACGTACCGCCAGCGGAGCGGGACCATGGGTCCGCGTACCCACCACGGCCGACGCATAGCACGAAATGCGCTGACACAGCCCGGGAGAGATGACAGCAGACGGCGCCGACAGTACCGGTATCCACTGGGTATTATGGGGCTCCCTTTCGCCTGGTTATATGTACTGACGACGGCGGAGGTGCACTTGTAGCGTCAGTATCACTGCGGCGGCGGCGGCAGCAGCAGCAGCGAGGGAGTCGGGGCCCTGGGTCGGATGTTCGATCCGGACCCGGTCCGGTGTCCGGCTCCTGTTTCTGGCTTGCCACTTACCCTGACGCCGGGGCGCGTCAAACTTCCTTCTTTGGTTCATCTTGTTCGTCTTCAATCCCAGCTACGGACCCTTTTAGGTATGCCAATCCTTGCAGAAGTTAACCTTTCCCCCCTCCGCGACCCTCCAACATCTGAAGCGTCAACCCTTCGATAAAAGGGCCGGTCGTTGTCGCACCAAGCTGGCCAGGAGCTCGTGGCTATTTGGAGAAAGTAGGCTTCTGGCCTGCATATCTTGGGGTTAGTATACTCGGCAACCCCCTTACCACCACCAAGAGGGGGAGAAACAAAAACTCAATGACTATTCAAGGTGAGAGAAGTGCTACCTTTCTCCAAGCTCCCATTGTCCCGGGCGAGGGAGACAATGAAGAGGAGGGCCCAGCCCATCCAGCCCATTTGGCCAGGCGCATCATCAAGCCATCTGGATCCAATGCCCCGGCATTTAAGTTGACGCGCACCCTTGGGTGTATAAAAGAAGGGGGGAGCAGCCCTCCCCGGCACGGCTATCCAAGACCGTTCGTCTACAGCAGAGACGTGCAGTTTTCGAGCCTCGGTCCGTTGTCAAGGACAATGACAGTTGCAAGGCGACGGGGGCACAAGCAAGATACCGAAATCATCAATCCCGAATGGCCAAGCAACCAGCGAAATAACCGAAATCCCAAAGCCTGCAAATTCAATCGATGTGGTGTGATGGGTTCATCCCCATCTCAGTCCCCGCGGGGCTCTGCCCTCCTCCCTCCTTGCCCTTTACCCGAAACTTTTCGTCTCAGTGCCATCGGGGAGTGTTCCAACCAAACAAGGCCCAGGGCCTCGGCTATCCAGAGCCCGTGGTATAGGCTTCGAGCTCAGAACAAACCGCCAAAGGAAGGGGTGCGCGGGCACTCCATTGAAGCTCCTATGACTGCGTACGGTCAATATTGTGTACCTGTGCATGCTATGGGAAGCCGACCTGGTATGTGTCATGTTTGGGTAATGTGCCGAACGTAAAAAACCTGTTTGCCCCCCCCCCCCCCCCTCCTGCCAAACAAGGGTATATGTGGTTAGCAAATTCTTGCCCTTTTCAATACCACTGAATCACGTATGTTGGCTGAAACGTTCATTGCAAGTAAACCTAGATAGTGGCAGCAAACGCGCAGACTACATGTGTTGACAACCACTAAACAAACCGATGGTGATGCAATTATCAATAGTATCTATCTGTCTGTCCATCTCTTCAGAGTGTGTGGAACCCGTCATCAGGATAAAACCATTTTTCAAACTCCAAAAATATTCCGAAACCGAGAATCGAACTCGGGGCTATGCCTAACCTCTCATCGAATGAGAGGGCATCATGTTGGCCACTACACCATATCGGAGTTCCATTACTCCAGCTTATACATTCGAAAAATAAGTATTCCAACTGTTCCAAACTACCCCACCAACTATCTTTCGTCTTTCCCAAGGAACTTCGACTACGAGTTGCCTCTACTATCTTCCTGTTAGGGCCCAATGACACTTCACACAATATACATGACCCCCATCTCACCCTCGTGTACTGCCCACTTTTTTTTTTCTTTCCCTTTTTACCGTAATCGGAGCAAAAGTCCTCCGATACTCCATTGCGGAATACCGGGGATGTTACCCTTCCCTTGCACTGGCAGGGAAATCCCGAGCCATTCGTGCATTCGGATCACAATGCTTCGCCTGTTTGACCGGCCAAAAGCAGCAAAAGAGAACTTAGAGTTTGACAAGGGGAAATTGTCGTGCATAAGTTGTGAATGTATCGCACAGTGATCTGTGTCAACGAGTGTTCCCCGAACCGAGAGACGGCCATCCCCGTCTCCGCAGGTTCTCGTTAACCTCATCCACATATTCAAAGAAGTGGCCTTCCATCGAGTCCCACAGAGATGCCGGCGGCACTGTAAATGTGTCGGGTTAGTTTCTGTATGCCTCTGCCTCACATCGGGACAAAAGATGAGGGGCGTCTGTACCTTCTAGCACGCCGCTCCTCTCCAGAGCGTATTGTGTTACTGCACAATGTGCGCTGATATGGAACATAAATCCTGCATCTCGTATCAGCCTTGGCGCTTCGTTTCTTGAGTGGCTACGTCCATACCAAGGTACCCTTCTCCTACGCGTTGTGCCTTGAGCTCGCTGGTCGTTGCTTGAACAAACGCTTCGTGCGTTTCTACATATTGTCAGTGTCGGTAGTCATGTATCAGGCCCATGGAGAGTTACCTCCATGAGGCGTGTAGCTTGATTGGAAGCTCAAGCCACCGGCCTGCAAGTTACGACTCGTGCCCTTGTAGTCACCGTACACTATCCCCACAACCTCTGTTGCCATGTTCCGATGATAGTACTACTGCAAGTTAGCTGGGGAGGGTCACATCTCCGGGAGAGCACGTACAGGGGGACGAAAGGTGTTCGTCGCCGATGACCACTTGGGTGTGAAGAACATGACATCTGTTGCAGGAACCCCAGGCGTTTTGGACTTCGCCGTCAGAACAGTATATAAACTTGGATCGGCTTGGTCTTTATCGACAAAGGCCGCGTTGACAAACTTCTCGACCGCGTACTTGAATGGTACATAGCTGTTCCCAAGTTGGCATCGTGGCCGGTGAACGGGGTAAACGTGGATAGTGTGTACTTACTTGCCATCCCAGGCAACAACATCGAAGGGCGTATGGTTTTGCTTGCATGACCATAGTTTTCCAGCCAGCTTATAGATGACTGTGAATAGTAGTTAGCTTGGATTACTGACCGACAGCTCCGGTAGCCTCACTTTCCCACTCAGACTTGTCCATGTCGAAGGAGGCAACGGGAAACTCGAAGTCGCGTGGCAGAGCCATTCCGTTGCTTCCGAGCGGTCCCAGTTCCGGTAGCTCGTACCGGCTTCCAAAAACCTCTTGTATATCTAAGCCCGTCAGTTGTTTGTCCTGTGAACGGCGAGGAACCGTCAAGCGACTCACAGCCCCGGACCGGCCCATCCGGTAGGTTAACCTTAAAGCGGATGCCAGCCTGGACAACGGCCAACTCTCCAGGTCGTACCATCATCCTAGCATCACTATCAGCAAAAGGGTCTTCCAAAAGAGGTCATTGACACCGTACCTTCCAAATTCTGTTTGAATATCCAGTCTACCAGCTTGGGGGACAAAGAGCATGTCTCCATCATTGCTGCAAAAAGCACGGTTCTTCATCGATGCGTTGGCGGCGTAAATATGCACGGCCAATCCCTCCTTGGCCGTCGGGTCTCCGTACCCGACTATCGTCTTGAGCCCTTGAACAAAATCCACGGCTGGGCCAGCGGCCTTTGGGACCGGAAATGCTGTCCAACAGAGCCCACCAGGGACGAAGTCGACATTCTCGTTCCCGGAAGAAAACCGGGACTCGATCTTGAGGACCAGAAGAGTCAGGGAGTGGGTCCAATCACGACCGAGTTGACTCGTTAGTCACTTACATCTGCGTTTCGTGGCATCTTCTTGAGGTCTCCGTGGGCCACAGAAGGGAATATGCGGTAGAACCATGCATGATGAATGCCCGCTCGCGGCGAAACAAAGGTGGTGCCGTTCAACTGCTCGGCGTACAGATTGTACTTGACTCTCTGCGGGACATTGCAAGACTGAGGGAGAGTTCCCGGGCTGCTTCCTTTAGCTCGAACGCACTCGAAATGAGAAACTAATGACGGAGTTCACTGACATGGCCTCGGAGGAGAACCGATTCCCAAAGCCGACTTGGTAAACGTACGGGTCCGTCGGAGTGGACCTTGTGGTAAAGGCATATTGTGCAGATGCACCAAGGTTTGGCAGCCTCTTGGAGCTGGGGGCGAAGGACCCCATGGTTGAAGTGCGTGAAGGGTGTGAGAAGGAAGAACGGCTAGGTGTTGTTGAGGTCTGAACCGAGTGGTTGAAGATGGACAAAAAGTGGTAGCTATGTGGTTAAAGACAGAAGAACGCAGGCGTGATAAATGGTAATATTCTAGTTGAGCTGCGGCAAATGTGGCGTCCAGCCAATCTTCTTTCCCGACGGAAGAGACAGCCTTGGGCCGATTGTAGGCATCCAATGACACTAAAAGGATCAATCGGCCAGGTTCCGCAGATATTGATCCCCATGGTATTACCTACAGGTAGGTAGGTAGGTAGGTAGACATCGGTACAGCCAAGGTACGTATTCCCAACGATCGAGCGAGGGAACGTCCCGCTCCATTGTCTGCCGCCGGCAGACAGGACTGGGTTCAAGGGCATCTGGTGTCAACCCCCCTCTCAACCATTGACCGATTTGCTGCAACTCAAATTGAACACACACACACACACCCACCCCTCCTTGCATTGGCCGGATCATAAGATGTCAGCAGAAGGTCGAAACACTAGTGTAATGCCCTCCATACAAGGGTCGACATAAGCTTTGGTCAGCGGTGGCCTTTTGCGGCACACAACAGGTCCAGCAGGAGTTATACCTAGTTATCAGACCAAGGCAGCCGCGATCTGCCGCATAGACGTCCTGTTGATGACCGCAATTTGGTCCGGGCTGATTGATAATTTTCATCCGGGTTCATGTCGGATAAAAAAGACAAACTGGGGGTCCTCCGTGCCACGACCCCATCCATGTATTGGCCTCGAACACCGTTCTGCCTCAAAAGATGTGAGATGTCCCGTAAATACGGAAGAAAAAGCCCAGCAGTGGCAATGTCCGGCCTCGCTCGCTCGATTTCTGTTCGCTTCCCCTGTTCCTTCTGCCCAATGGAGGCTGAAATGGGGTAGTGCTACGCAAAAAAACCTCAGGCTGAGGTACAGATACAAGGCGGTCTCTCTGTACCGAGAATGCAAAAGAAGCTGCCGGGTGACAGGCGCCACATCGCTGACCAGCAATCGCTAGCCCCAGTCGATGCTAAGATTGGGGCCCGGCAGTGTGTGATCGCTGGGTTCGTTGTGTGTGTCAGCAGCCAAGCCAGGTACCTATATCGAGGACTCAGGACATACATGTAGCTAGTATCGGCGCCTGAGACATGACGTGGGACTTTCAGCTCTGTCGGACAGACTATCGCCCAGGCCACACCTCTATCCACTTGTCGTCGGATAAAGATGAGAAAGATGTCTCCGAGGTGCTGAGGCACGCGGGTTCAGAAAAAAAAATAAAGGAAAAAAATCACCGCCGGTTTCTCCAAGGCACCTTACCCAAGCTTGCAGTATTGACCGGCGGTGTATTTTGGAACCTGCGTGTAAGGCTGGCTACTCTTAGGATACGTCATCTCTTTCTGAATCGTACAATGCCGGCGAACACTTTACGGCAACACGATGCCGAAGGCCCTTAGATACTATTGCGTCAAGGCAAGAAAACTAGGTAGATATTGGCAAGGACCCTACCGATCACCTTTACCAGATGCCGCTGTCAAGTCGGGCTGGGCCTTAGCTTGTCCAACGCTGGAAGGCCCCCTGCTTGCCCCTCTTATTATACCTCATAGCGGCCATCGTCGTTCCTTGGAATCTTGTCGTGTGATACCAAATCGTGATTGTTGCGGGCTCGATAGCCTGTCGCAAGCAACTAACCGCCCCGAGAGTGCCGGGTTTCTCACGTGCTGCCCGTCACGGAGATGTGAAGGATGCCAAACACTTGGAAGCTAACGCCGACGCAGTGATGCTTACATCATTGGGACATGATGGCGTGGTTCCCCGAGTAAGTCAGGGTGCAGGGGCTGCTTCCAACTGAATAATAACTGTGGTTCTTCAGCTGTCTGTACCTAGTGTAGTTTGTCCAAGGACGAGAGCCGGTCTCCGCGTCGGATGGGCAAGGATTCCCCAAAGTCTCATCGACAATGGTGGGCAACCAACTTGAGAAATGCTCGCGCTGGTGCCAGTGTGTGTGGTGTCATTGTACCGATAGTGGCTTACTTGTATTTTTCAAGCAGTCCTGTGTGCAAGTTTAGAGCCCTGTTTGTGAAACGCAGTCTGGAAGGTTACAGAGACTCACTTTGTGGATTAGGCAGTTTACAGCGCAGGTTGGTAAAAGAGTACTGATTGAAGACTGGGATACAGGTACAACACCTTGCGTAGCGAGAGCATCTCCATATAGACAACTTCTGCTTACTTGGACATGAAGGAAGGTCTCGAAGTCGAGTACTCTGTAGTCGTCGGGCGGTGTATTGCCGGGTTGCTTGCAAGAGACGGAGACGAAAAGATGGAGCGAGAGCCGGAAATAGCGAGAGCCCGTGATAGGTCATAGCCGCATAGTGCGACCGTAGACTGCAGCCAAGTGGAATTCCAGCAAAGCACTCAAGAAGCAACATGTATGGCCGGGGAGTTTTGACGATGGGGTGGTGGGAGTCCACCCTCGGAAGTGTTGCCATTACCTAGCAGAGAAAACAAGTCGATCAGCAAAAGG